AATTAAGAGGGTGGGTGATTGCCAACCACGGCGATAAATACAAATTAGGGGAGAGAAAAAGAAAGAGTAGCAAAAAGAACAGCAACAGCAACTCCGTAAAGAAAAGATAATGTCAAATAACAACAGTGAAAAACACAAAGACGCAAGAGACAGGCGGAGTGAGGTCAGATCCTTAACTTCTCTGGGTAGAGTGAGCCAAACAAAAAAAGCAATAAAGAGAGGGGAGCGCAAAAGAGTGGATGAGTTACACTTAGGGAGTAAGAGCGAGTTTCTAGTTCTTAGAGAAGAGAACCAATTAAAACACATGAGATGAGGTGGGCACAACTCAAGCTTAATTAAGGTGGCAGACTACCCAAAAATCCGCTGAAAAATCGAATTTGTAAATTCATATCGAGTGTTTACAATATGATAGATTACATCTGCTGCCGTCAGAACCAGAGTCCCCTTCTAACAGACGCAAGGTCGTATGCGGGAACATGTGTATTCTCCGACCATCGCCTAGTTGTGGCGAGACTGGACATGTCGAGATTCTATGGTGTTCTGGGTATGCACCAACGCAAGACCACTGCCGGCAACATCCGCCCTGACACTGGAAAGCTTGCTTCAGATGTCGCAATTCGGGAATCCTACAAGAGAACTGTGGAGACCCAGGTCCAGTGCAGCGTGTCATCAGAAGCCAACAGCACCCAAGCAGTCTGGGAATCCTTATCTGAAGTCCTCAGCAAATCAGCACTGGATTCGGCCGGCACTCAGCAGAGACAACATCACCACCATGACTTCTCCCCTGAAATTGAGTTGCTGTCACGCAAGCAGAAAGAGCTTCGCCTGGCGATTGGAGAGTGCAGGGATGACCAGAAAAGACAGTCACTAAAAAATCAAAGAAATCGCACAATGCATGAAATTCGTGATATCGAATCTGACAATGCCGAGAGAGCCTTGGATCGTCAAGCAGAGGAAGTGGAGCGACTGCATGATAGTGGGGCAAAGATGTTCCGTGCTGTCCAGCTACTGAAGCGAAAACCGTACAGCCAGCCTATTATTCATGATGAGAAGCAGCGGGTCGTTATCAACCCTGCAGACCAGCAGGCGTTCATCATCAAGCATTATGAAAGCCAATTCCATGATAAATCCCTACCTGACATTCCACAATTCCTAGGTGATCCCAGCCCTCTCCCCAATCAAATCACATCGTCCGAAGTTAGGAGGGCCTTCCAAAGCCTGAATAACGGGAGAGCGGCAGGCCCTGACCATCTCTCCGGAGAGTTACTCAAGTACAGTCCTCCCATTGTCGCTGAGATGACTTCCGACATCTTGAACCGAGCTATTGAGACACATGACCCACTCGAAGTTGGCAGAGGAACCCTAATACTGCTGCAGAAGCCCGGTAAACCACTAGGGCCGCTTACTAGTACGCGCCCTATCGTACTGCTCTCGGCGTTGAGAAAGACGATGTCCCTGATTGTGCTGAAGAGGATACAGCCAGCGGTTGATCAGTACCTGGCTACATTCCAAAGTGCTTTTCGTCGTGGCCGCAGCACAAGTGATGTGGTGTGGTGCCATAGATGGCTATGTAGTATGACGCAGCGATTCAATACGTCCATCTACATATTGGGAATTGACATGAGTAAAGCATTCGACACTGTCCGCCGCGATGTCCTGATGAGGATCCTTGAATCCTTCCTCCAAGAAAGTGAGCTCCGAATGATCCGTATACTGTTGACTGAAACCTGGCTTGAACCTCGTGTGAAAGGTGCATCGAAAAGCTCCTTCAAGACAAATATCGGAGTCCCTCAAGGGGACAGTCTCTCTCCAGTGCTTTTCACCATTTACCTGGAGGCTGCTCTCCGGGACCTACGACAGGAGCTGCCACCTCGCCCTGCTGTGGACAATGACCTGCCGCTGGATATCGCATACGCGGAAGATGTTGATTTTGTGAGCCGGGATGAGACGTTTCTCAGTGAAGTTGAACAACAAGCTCCAGCAGTTCTTGCGAGATGGAACCTGAACGTTAATCCCTCCAAGACAGAGCATACCACCGTCGCCCGATTTCCCGATAGGAACCAAGAAACGTGGCGTACTGTCCGCAAACTAGGCTCCCTCCTGGGTGACGCCGAAGATGCTGCTCGGAGGCGTCAACTGGCCGCCGCCGCCTTCAACTCACTCCTCAAGATCTGGACCCGGAGGCGCCAGATCAGTGAAGGTCTTCGGCTGAGGCTCTACAACGCCTACGTCATCCCAGTCCTTACCTACAACTGCGGCACTTGGGGCCTACCGATGTCGGAGCTCGCGCGAATGGATTCGTTCCACAGGACCCAGCTAAGGAGCATCATCGACATGCGGTACCCTAAACGAATTAGCAATGACACTCTGTATAAGCGCTGCGGAGCTGTCCCCATCAGCGAGATGATCACAAGGCAGCGCTACAGTCTCGCTGGCCATATCTTTCGTTTGGCCCCAACTGCTCCTCCACAGTTGGCAGTGGATATGTATCTTCGCCTGGCCAACGACGAGGGCACTGAACGCTTCAGGGGTCGACCTCGGACGACTTTGGTAACGGTCTTGCAGACGGAACTGTTATAATGGCATGGACTTACCCTCCACCAGCCGCTAGATGTTGACGCAGTCCGCACAATGGCAGCGGACCGACAGGCATGGCGTGGAGCCCGCCCCACCTAACAGGACTGACCAGACATGTTGTATGCATATTCTATTTTATTTTATACTTTGGATGAAGTTTTCCATTAGTCATATTTGTGTTGTTGCTAACGGCTTTTGTTGACGTCACTTCTCTCATTTCATTGTATCGTATTACTCTTCAGACATCAATCCTGAATGGCATAAGCGAAAGTGGCACCCCCGCCACCTACGCGGACATGCTTTAAAAAATATATATATCGAGTGCTATGTCAGTTGAGAGAGCATGAATAGCTGCGAATTGTCTGAAAATTGTGTCCCGATCTGACCAGGCGTTCAAGAGTTATGGCCGAAAATGTGCCCTTGCAAGGAAAGATTTTTTTGTTGCACGCTGTCATTTGTTGGCAGCACTGTATTTGAATCTGAGCAGACCGTGCGCAACTTGGTGTATCATGGAAACACGCGAAAGTGTGCAAGTCCAAAAAGTCCAAAAAATCACGTTTTTGAGCCACGTATTGGGCATGCACGGCGGCTGGACTTTGGCCAGCACCCTCGTGACGTTGCAGATATGTGGCTTGAATATTGTAGTTGACGTTGATTTAGTGACTATGGCAAGTTTGAGTCGAGTCAAGAAGTCAGGTAGGATTCAGTACTAGGCAGTAGTGACACGTGAGTGGTAGTCTTTGCCGGTTTCTGAGGGTATCCTGGATTTGGTATGCAGCGCTGTGGAAATGGCTTGCTGTGGAGGTCCCAGCACTGGATGTTGTATCAAAGGTACGACCTCGTAGCACGTGCTAAACCTAAAAAAATTCAAATATTGACTTGGGTCTGTGTGAGTCTGTGAGAGAACGCCCACTCGTTCCGTTGTGACAGATTCCAGGGCCTCGTTGAGGGGCCCTACCCCATCACCCATGGCTGCTTCTGGACTTGTTTTAGGTTTGGGTCCCGCGCACGGACAGAATGAGCACGAAAATGTGAAAAAAGTGTAAATGCATTTGTTTGGCTCCTGGGTGGCTCGCACACCGTGGCACTTTGTCGGAAATTTGAGTTTTTCCGGCCTGGAAAGCCTGTCAGTGAGGCGCAAGAACATGTACATGTACATGTATATCATGTCCTAGTGGCAGGAGTGTGTGGTCAAAATTTCACTCAAACCCATTGAGAAACACCAAAGTTACGGTCAATTGAGTGCCATATGAAATTTATGGGTAGGCTGCCCCCATAGAATGGGCAACAGAAGCCAGGTGTGCACTGCGTCCATGTAATAACGGGGTTGGGTGAGAGATTTTATAAGGGCGGATGATGAGAGCATGCGGGGTTGACGGAGCGGAATTTTAAGGATTTGCTTGTGGTGTATTTCAAGGTGTTTGTGAGAAGACACTATGTCAATTGGATTTGGAAAGTTGGCATTGATGAGGGTTGTGAACTCCGGCTGGGGCGGGAAGAGCATGATCTTTGTTTTTGCTAGATTTGGGGACAATCTCCAGGACGACATACATGTACTAGGGCTAGTAATATTGTCATTTTTTGCTATGGCAGATTGCAGATAATACCGACTAACCGTACACAGCCGTGGAATAGCATCACCGGTGCATGTGTATGCTAGTGCTGCTACTGCCTGGCAATACCAATACTACCGGTAGTACAGCTTGGTGAAAGGTTGTCGCGCGGCCTCCCCGGCTGGATATCTGCGCTGGCGAAGTAGATCTACGGTTCAAGGACCGGTCAACCGCAGTGCGACAACTACAGTGTATATCCCTAAGTAGTAGACCACATTGTAGAGTATTTTACTTATACACAGTGTAGTGGTAAACATGCACCTGGCAGTGGCAATATGTCGGCAAATACACGCCGGACAGTAGTTCACAGTGTGCATACCTTAGTGCGGCCGTGCCATACATGTCATGTACACACGTCATGGAGATCTCGATTCTGATTTTCAGATAACGAAGTGAACGTGTTGAGTTAGTCATCACATTTTGGTGAAAAAATCACAGTTTGAGCGAAGGCTAAGCGGATAGTGAGTCATGCTGTCATATGACAGCAGGACTCGTAAATCTATGTCTCATGTCGTAGACATGAGCTTCACTCACAAGTACCCAGTTACTTAGTTACATGTGCTTACTAGTAGTAGTACTCCACAAGGAACGTGTTACGTAGGATACGGATTTCTGTTTTCAATTACTCACAGCTAGCAAGACATCTTTCTCTTTCGAGTTCACTTCAACTAAAACACTCAGAGTCACAGTCAGTCTCGATCTCCAGCATGCATGCAGCAGTGTTCGTTGTGCGTGGGAGCGCTGGCCTGGCTGCCAGTGTGCCAGTGGTGAACGCTTTAAAATTATGGGCTAGTAGGTCTAGTACTAGGAGTACTACTACAGCACAGCCTCGGAGTCGGAACAGCTAGCAATACTCGTACGAGTCGGAGCTGGTTAGCTGCAACTCACCTTTACTGCTAAAGTTAAGTTTAGCTGAAGTTAGTATTAGCTCTACAGGGAATTATTCATCATGCGCGAAATATTGGGCTCCGCATTACTACTAGTATAGTATCTTCTTCATTAATTTTTTTCTGGCGAAGACAAGTGCTGCGCTGGCCGTGCATCTGAAGCGGCAAACTCTCCTTCTGGCGTTGCAAAAACGAAAAATAAAGTGAACAGGTTCGCTGCTCAGGAGTTGTGCTAGCATAGTTAGATGTTGCCTCGATAAGCTCGGGATAAGAGAAAGACTGGAACATGCGGAGAAAACAGAGTACTCTCCGCCGCAGTTCCGCCACGGAAAGCAGTGAGGAGGATGATCCAATCTGTATCAACCAGGACATACCGCCCGCTCACGGCTATGGCGAACATCGCAACATCCGCGGAGATGTTGACGACGCTGCCGTGTTCCAGGGCTCAGAATGGACGCAAACCGCGAACAGCACAGCCGAGACGAGAATTGGAGTGTGTATGTCGGGCAATGAGCTGTACGACTCAATGTTCTCCCTAGGAGTTCTCAACTCGCTACTAGCGCGCAGTGTTCGCATTGACTTTCTCAGCACCGTAGATGCTGGATCGTTCGTAGCTAGCTCCTATCTCCGCTGGAAAGATCGTGAACGGCACCAGCATGACACCCTGCTGTGGCAGGAGTACTATTTCCGTCGCCAGTGTGTGGCCTATCAGAAAATCGCCACGGAAAACGGCGACCCCCGACCAAGACCATTTGCGTCTGGCTTCTTTGGCAACCTCGTCCTACTTGGGTTTGTGTTCATGGTGATGCTCCTGCCGATCGTGGAGCTTACTGCATCTGTGTTCACGCGATGCTTGTATGTAGCCACGTCCTGGGTGTATCCGCAATGTCGGGAGAATAATGTGCATGGCGGAATATTTCTGACACTGCTATCAACAGTTGGACCGCTAGCGGGGCACATGCTATTGGTGTTGGCAAAGAAGGTTCGTGTGTCAGCGTTTGGGGAATCGCTGGTTCGAAATGCTGCCGCCAAGCTGTTCGTCCTAACAGCCGTTTTCTTGCAGACGTTCTCTCTGGTGAGTTTGAGAATAGAGCTATTTGCTCAAGATGTGATACATGTATTTGTTTTGCCCATGGCCTTTGGGGACGGGGAAGGGGCGTTGAGAGAAGATACGACGACATTATCGTCTGTGCATTACACTTTCCTTACGCAGAATGACCAGGAATTCGGGTGGGCATCACTTCTTAGGAATACTGTAAATATACAAAATAGCGGCGCTGCAAAATTTCGGCAGTTCACGATTTTTGACATTTCGGTGGGGTAGAGGGCATGGTATAGTGCGACAGATGCTGTGAACAATTTCATCGGCGTTTTAATTTAGGCGTTTTGGGTCGGTGCCGAATATAGCCGAAATTAAATAGCTGCCGAAAATTTGTATATTTACAGTACATGTTTAGTTCAGTAAGCAGTCCGGTCACTGTAGCCAGTCAATAGTCCACCACACAGTCTGAACCCTGAAAGCAGCTGGACTGTGTGCTCCCCGGACTCTGTAAGCATAAAAATATGGACCCCAAGTGTACGGGGAAAGTCGCACAAATACAGCGACTAGACAGGGATTCAAAGGAACACTTCCAAAGCTTGCTTGTACTTTTTCAGGTAGAGTGGACAGTTTCGAATAGAACCGGTTTGACAGCAAAATTGTGTAGATCCAATCCGATCATCAGCGTGGAAAAAATGTTTGTGGAAGGAAGCAGGCACGCTGAAGTTTGCACTGAATCCAGAGTCGATCAAAGCGAGCCTCCCCTTTGTGTTGGCAAGTTGCCTCCAAGTTGCCCGATTTTTCGTTCCAAATTTGGGATCACAGAGGTGGCTCGAAACAGGAACAATTTTGGAGTCAACGTCAGGTTCACCCTGAGTTCTGAGATTAGGTAATTGCTTTCGCTCCATGACGACCAGTACAGAGAAAAATAAGCCTTGGGTGTGCTTCCATCAGTTTTCATCGGTGAGGGGAGAGGCTGGTTACCTGTCCTGGCTGGTTACCTGCGACAAGATGTTGATTTTTCGAAAAGGTTAAAGGCGCAGTGTGAATCAACACTCCAGACTCACCTGCTTGGTATGGCGTTTCTGTTCATCGCAGAGCAATGAACCTTTGGCTCGGAGTGAAACACATCTTGCTGTCACTTGATAATTATGTTTTTTAGTCAAATTACCAAGAGAGAAAGTGAATAGTGAGCCCCGTCCTGTTTGCCACCTATGTCCATTTTGAAATCAACTCCTCTGCTGGTACCTGTGCCCTCTTTTTTCCCAGCTTCCCAAAGCCTTTCCCTATTTTCACACTGTTAACTTTTGTTGCTCGCCACCTTTTGTCCTCTGTTCTGCAGTTCTTTTTGATGCACACGGCAAGGGACACAGGCCCCGAAAGCCTAGCGTCTGTGTTTCAAGGTGATTCGCTACTTCATGTTTCGCCCCAGCAAGCTCTATATGCAGGTGTGTTTGTTCATGCCATCATCTGCTGCCATACACACAGATGGCCTGTCTTCGGAGGCATCGTACTTCATTCCATACTTCTAGAGGTAAGGCAAAGATCATCGGACATATGGATCATATACGGGTGCAGAAGTGATTTCACGCACGCCTAAGCTGTGCTTGCCATAATAACAATATAATAATACAAGGCGGCAGGTCTTGAGTGCAACAGCCATCACACTAGCTGGATTCTGTATGTGTGTGTCCATTGCACCATCCAGCTGACCTCCATACGTTGCCATAGCACACCGTCAGCAATGCGACACATCTAGTGGTATTCTGTGCTTTCAAACAACTGTTTCTAGAGTGATAGTGATCTTCACAAACTATCAGCCATTCTACGTTATCTGACTTCACTGGCGAGAGTTGTCTACATGTACTCGTCAAAGCTGTATGAAGGAACTCAGAGTAGCAATGGGTGTGTCGCTTTGCTACTGGTGTGCTGTGGTAATGTGTGGAGATCGCCTGGACAACTGGTTACTTGTGGTCCTAGAAGGAAAAATCAGGAAACTAAGGGGAAGAGATCATACTAGATTTTGTTATCATGCCAGATGTGCTAGATAAACACGTGTTGTGTTTTTAAAAGTCAGCCATGTTTGCAATGGTAAGTGCATGGTATTCGGGGATGCGATTATGGACCAGTTACCAGTTTGTTGACTATTCTGGACAATTGACAATCAACCTCCCTATCCATTCTCTCTGTGTTTGTGTGTCACTCTGCAGTATCGCCTGGGATTGGAGTTTTTGCAAACAAACATATACTTGTTTGTTATGTCAGCGCTGCTCATTGGTCAACCATTGGTGGTCGCTTGGTTACAAGACCATGATATTCAGAAATACAGGTGGGTGCTTGTTTTCTAATGCTCACAGGAGACATTGTGTTAAACTGGCCTTCTATTTCGCATTCCAAGCCTGATCTTCCTTTTGGAAAGAACCTTTCAATGTGTGTGTGTATGTGTGTGTGTGTGTGTGTGTGCGTGTGTGTGTGTGTGTGTGTGTGTGCATGCGTGTGTGTGTGTGTGTGTGTGTGTGTGTGTGTGTGTGTGCATGCGTTTTTTTGCATGTTCAAGTATGTGGATGTACGTCTACATGTGTGCGTGTATGGTGAGACTCTAGCCATCGCGTAAACCAAGCAATTGGAGAGACTCCCAGTCTGGCCATACATCATTGCTGCAACAATTATGCAGAAAACTAATGAAAGGTTTCATATGCTAGTCTTGTTCTCGTTCGTGTCTGCGGGCGGATTGTTATCTCCACTGTAGAGGCCAAGGGACACCATATCCATTTCATGAACTTTGGACATAGATACATGTTAATAGTATCCATGTTGTGCCCAAGAGCATACTGGAACAGGTGGTCCTCACCTCAGTGGGCTCTGGTTTGGTCAAAAGATCGAGTGGGCACATTTTTCGAAGTTCAAACAAGAAACCTAGACACCCAGTTCACTATCCACCGAACTGCACCGCGCTTGACCTTCATGTTTCTAAGGCTTTTTTTCGTCCATTGCAATTCATTACCTCCTTTGACCAGATACTGGCTCAACCTGCTTTACAAGCCCTTCTTTGACGCCAAGGACAGGTGGCAGAGAGCAGGCAAACAGGTCATAGCGGGTAGCAGAGGTGACAACCTTGGCAGGAGTCATGGCGCAAGTACTGTGGACGAAAGTGAAGAAGAAACAATATCCGACAACGGTAAGTAGACTATGGGTAATGTTTAGAACTTTATTTTAAGCGTACGCTGCCTGCAGTGTAAGCTGTAATGTTTTTATGAACCCTATGTATGTTTCAAAATTTTGAAGGACGCCTCACGCAGCTTCATTATACTTGAATTGTTTGCAGGCAACCTGCCTACACTCAAGAGAGCACTGCATTTCACACAAATCCATTGGTATCGTTACAACGTTTCGGTCTTTATGACCATCATCAGGAATGAAGTGAACATGGAAAGAACAGCAGTATAAAAAAAGGAGGCAAGCAAGCAAAGCGCAGTACATAGTGACAGCGCGCGTAGAGAAGTGCAAAGCAGGTCATGGCGGGTGTGCATTACTACACATTCATGACAACACAAGAACAAACGGCGAGGAAAGTAGATACTGCGCTACAGCAGTGATAACAGCCCAGTTCCAGTCTCACACCACCAGTGAGGTGTGTAGAGCCCCGCGCCACTCGCAGTAAGGTGGTGTTATAGCAGATCCCAGCCACTGTTGTTGTTAATTTCCGGGGATCGCTCCCTGATATTGAAAAATCTGATAAAAGCAACAAATTTGTAGCAATGAAAATGACCACTTACCTGGAGAAGGCAGAATCCCTGTTGTCGGACAAGTCCCGGTTTGAGAAGGTTGAGCTTACTATCGACCAGTGGGAGGAGGAGACCCGAAAGATACTCCGCCGAGTTTGCGAGGGATCCTTGGAAAAGGATTTATACACAGCCATGATGCCAGGCGACAACAGCTTCCCTGAAATGTATGGTCTTCCAAAAGATCACAAGTCCAATATTCCTCTCAGACCAGTCGTTGCGGCCTGCGGCAGCCCAGTTACAAACATCTCCATAGTCCTCGAACGCATCCTCAATCAATGTCTCCAGTTCGTGCCAGCACACCTGGAGAACACTGTTGAAGCACTCCAGTGTATGAGGAGCGCGTTTCCCAACCTCAAGGCCCTGCCCGGCACCATCATTGTGACTATGGATGTGGTGGCCCTTTACCCTAGCATCCCGATTAACGATGGTATTGCAGCAGTCATGAGAGTCCTCCGACAACACGAGGGCAGCATCGATCTGTTCGGTTTCCGAATTGGGCAGGTCAAGGAGCTCCTCGCACATGTGCTGAGCTCCAACTACTTCCGGTTTGGAGCGCAGGTGTACCACCAGAAGGATGGTGTGGCTATGGGCAATAACCTAGCGCCCCCCTTTGCCATCCTGTACATGCATGACCTAGAGAGTTCGCTCTTGCGTAGTGCACCTGCCAGCCCAGTTCTGTACAAGCGCTACATCGATGATGTTTTCATTGTGTGGAACCTCGGTCCGGAACTTCTGCAGAGTTTCCTAGATCACTTCAATAATGCCGATCCTAATATTAAATTCACTCACCAATCCACGGAGTTGACTGGCTCCATCAATTTCATGGACACGACCGTCCATGCCTCACCAGATGGATCTATATCCTATGAACTATACCGCAAGCCATGTCACAGCGGACTGGTATCAGACTACAACTCGTCAGTTCCCAGCCAGCAAAAGAAAGCAATTGCTTCCTCTGAGTTCCTGCGTGCCGTCCGTCTATCCTCCAATGCTGACACCCTAAAAAGAAGTGAAGAAAAAGTAACCAACATCCTAAAATTCAACAACTTCCCAGAGTCAGTTATAGTTTCGTCACGTGAACGAGCTATGCGCCCCCGACGTGGCAGAGTGCAGAATGAATACCCTGTCACCCTCAACCTACCGTTTCACACCAAGTATATCCACAACAAAATTCATAAATTACTCCGGAAGTACAAGATAAATGCCCAGCTGATTTACAGGAACCGCTGTCTAAGTTCTATGATTTGCACGTCTGCCCTCCGCAAACCACCATGCCGCAGGTATGTAGACCCGTCCAAGCCCCGTAAACGGGGGCGGCCCAAAGCTGCTTGTGTCGCCTGCATGTCGGGTTCAGAAGCATGCACAGAGCGAAACGTCGTATACCACCTCGAGTGCAAATGTGGTGATAAATATGTCGGAGAGACGTACCGCAGCCTCGCCACCAGGACAAAAGAACACAACGACGACGCACGCAACACAGTGAGCGGCACTGCGCTGGGTGAGCATTTCGCGGCCAAGCATGCATCTGACCCATTGCCATTGGGAGCAACGACTTTCTCGGGTGTCCGGGTTCTAGGTTCTGAGCGTGACCGCCCCAGGAGGAGGATCCGGGAGGCCATCAATATCAGGGAGCGATCCCCGGAAATTAAAGGGGAAGTTAAGGCAAAAATTAAAATTTCACCAGTTGTAGTCTTCGGGGTGCTGAGTCGAATGGTCGTGGTCCGAGGAAGCTGAGACGCTCCCTTCCTACTTGAATCCCAATCGAACTCGCGCACTTCCACCGAAACTGGGTGACTGCGCCCTACTAGATGGGGATTTGTATGCAAAATGTCACTAAACGCGCCATTTCGTTCTTATAAAAGCACGGATGACCGCGATTGGCCCATATGTTGTAGTCTTTTGGACGCTGAGTCGACTGGTTTTGGTCCGAAAAGGCTGCGATGCAGCGTTCCTCCTTTATTCCCAATCGAACAAGGTTGAACAAGCGGTCACGTGCTCCTGGGTGCCCAAATCACCTTGTCACCACGCCAGCAGGCGAGAACTTTCACACCAAGGTTCAACTCGAGTGACAGGATTGCACCCAAAAAAGGTCAAACAGGCTAGTAAGTTGTACCCTGCAGGCACGGTGACCAGGTGACTGGCGTACGCAGGAGCACGTGACCGCTTGTTCAACCATGTTTGATTGGGAATAAAGGAGGAACGCTGCATCGCAGCCTTTTCGGACCAAAACCAATCGACTTAGCGTCCAAAAGACTACAACATATGGGCCAATCGCGGTCATCCATGCTTTTATAAGAACGAAATGGCGCTTTTAGTGACGTTTTGCATACAAATCCCCATCTAGTAGGGCGCAGTCACCCAGTTTCGGTGGAAGTGCGCGAGTTCGATTGGGATTCAAGTAGGAAGGGAGCGTCTCAGCTTCCTCGGACCATGACCATTCCACTCAGCACCCCGAAGACTACAACTGGTGAAATTTTAATTTTTGCCTTAACTTCCCCTTTAACAACAACAGTGGCTGGGATCTGCTATAACACCACCTTACTGCGAGTGGCGCGGGGCTCTACACACCTCACTGGTGGTGTGAGACTGGAACTGGGCTGTCATCACTGCTGTAGCGCAGTATCTACTTTCCTCGCCGTTTGTGCTTGTGTTGTCATGTATGTGTAGTAATGCACACCCGCCATGACGTGCTTTGCACATCTCTACGCGCGTTGTCACTATGTACCGCGCTTTGCTTGCTTGCCTCCTTCTTTTATACTGCTGTTCTTTCCATATCCACTTCATTCCTGATGATGGTCATAAAGACCGAAACGTTGTAACGATACCAATGGATTTGTGTGAAATGCAGTGCTCTCTTGAGTGTAGGCAGGTTGCCTGCAAACAATTCCTATGTATGTTGTATGTAAAAATATTTTTACAAAACCCTGTGAGTTTTTGTATACTATAAATTCTCCTTGCTGAGTAGTGGTTTTGTAGGATTCACGCATCTGTTTTTTTAGGCATATAATTATGTGGTGCGTGTTGTGTGTGGAATGCGTCCGTGCGTGCCCTTCTGTGTGTGTGTGTGTGTGTGAGAGAGAGAGAGAAAGAGAGTGTGTGTGTGTGTGTGTGTGTGTGTTTCTGTACTGTGCGAGTATGCACACATGATTGTCCGCTTTTTTTTACCACCATCAACAGCATTCACAGTGTTCGCGACATTCTGATCATACCGTAGTAGAGTTGAGTAGTGGTGATCCTGACAGTTACATGTACAGAGGCAGCTGTGTATCACCCAACTAGCGAAGATATTGATTCTGCGTATTTCCAGCATACTGTCTGGCTTGCGGAAATACCCAACCGTGGTGGTGATGATGTCAACATTGGATATGATAAAGCTTTCATAGGTTTAAAATGGCAATAAACATAATTAGCTGAAGCAACATGTTACGAAGTTTTATTGAGATGTAAAGTGGTGTTGGACAAAGAAGTAACTTTGATGGAAATATCAATCAATAAAACTTTCTTAATTAACATGTCGCTTCAGCTGATTCTGTTTATTGCAGTCTTAAAACTGTTGTCACCTCGCCGCCTGTTCAGCTTTCATAGATGATGGAATACGTCCCCTTTTTCTCTTTCCCATTCCTGTGCTCAGCAGATAGGATAGCAATGGGACGTTTGGCAGGGATAGCACCGGACTGGTTGTTCTCAATGGCTGATCAGGGACCAGTGTACAGCAGTCATCAGGTATCACTCTGTCTCACAGTGAATCAATGTGAATCTGTGGAGTACCTTCTTGCAACTTGCCTTCATATTATTCTTTCAATGCTTCAGTTCACTGTCGTTAGCGGCGTTGCTGAGTTTGTGCTTGGTGCCTGATTTTAGTTGCAAAGAAACTACTTTTTAAGCAACATTTTAACTAGAGTACTTAGGCATGGGCACATGTTGCATTAGACTTTCAATACATTTTTGTAATTGGAATTTTCTGATGGTGCTTGGGTGGGAGTGGGGTATATGTACTAAGAACAATTTCTCTTTGGATATAAGTTCATCCGCTGCTTCTGTGGTGTATAATCAAAATGAAGGTTTCAGCCATTGTGACAAGGGGTTGTTGACCGGGAACCATTATAGGAAAGAATTTCGGGATTCATTTCAGTCCCGCCTTTCAAAGACGCAGTAATGTTGCCCAGGACAACCCATCATTCTCACGGGCTAGTTTTGTTGTGTGCCTGTGTCACTGCAGGAGGAAGGGTCTGGTGAGGAAGGTGAGCACTGCCACTCGATACCGTATCTCTCAAGCCTGAGACTGGCCACCATACTCAGCAGTACAGCACATGGACAGCCACTTGGTAAGGATGGAAACAATTTGTAACGCATGACTCTATTGAATATATTTTCTTTCAGTGAGGTTTATTCTGTATTTTATCTTGAATATGTATAGATTATAGACCGGTTAGGAGGTCTATACAGGATATATAGACCGAGTAAAAGACCTCGGGGGACCTCGGTTTTTTACGAGGTCTATATCCTGTATAGACCAACTATGAGGTCTATAATCTATTTATCGTGTTCTCCACGCGATAGTTTCTCTTCATATACCACTTATCCTTGTAATTCTAATAATATACTATAGCCTATACCGCCTTGTACGGCATTGCAGGATCAAGGTCATTGTTTAAACTGAGGTCAGCATCGGTAGCGCAGTGGCTGGGTGGTAAGGAAGAGTGAATGAGATTCACATGGTTGTGGGTTCGAATCCCATCTTGTGCATTTCTGCTTTCTTCACAATTTCTTTTCCTAAGTGGGAGAGAAAAATTCTAAGTCCGAAAAGTTCTAAGGAGTCAAATATAAGTAGTCAAATATATTGTGTATTTGACTAAGCAGTCAAATACGCGATAGATTTGCCTGCTTTAAGTATCAGGGAAATTAGTGGGGTCAAATACTAAGCTTGTGTTTACATGAGGCGTTTCAACCCGGGTCAGATTTCAACCCGGGTTGAGTTCGACCCGTGTCAGATTTCAACCCGCCATGGACACAAGATGAATGGCGCGTTTACATGACGCATTGCGCTTGACCCGGGTTGAAATTTCACCCCGGGTTGATTTCAACCCTCCCCTTGGGGGAGGGTTGTCATGGGTCAAGAAAATCGTACAAACGTAGTTCTGTGTGTATCTTGCGCCAGGTTTGAACAGCATTGCACATGCAAATTTCGCGCGAACGGATTCACGTGACCATACAGGATTCTAGAAGTGGACTTTTGGCGGCATATCAGTATTTGACCCGGGTCAACTGTCTTCATGTAAACGCTCACCTCTTTTGTCTGTCGTACAGACTTTCAACCCGGGCTGAACTCGACCCGGGTTGAAATTTCTCATGTAAACACAGCCTAAGAAGGCGATAATGATCCAATATATGCATGCAAGTGGATCTAGGAAAGAAATTTGAGCTCAAGTTCACTTGCCCCTCGTCTTGGTTTTTTGGATATCTGACAGAATTCTATAGAAATAGGATATCATGATAATATCATATGATATGTTATTTGATATTATCATGGTGATGTTGGTCAGCTTAATTATTGCATCAACTACCATATTCGCAAAGCAGAGAGTTCTGCGGCTCATGCTTTACTTTGTTGCATGGCATTCAGTGTGTGTTTCCACCTCTTTGTTGCGTTTGTATTAGGTCCATTGCAGGCAGTATTCCGACAGCTGCAAGAAATAGCTCAGTCCCAGGCAGACGTGGCCTCTTTGGACTGGGAGCACATCTATACGACTGCCAGCTTTTCTAAGTACGCAACAACGGTAAGTTTGCAGGCATGGAAGACAGACAATAGTAGAGATTTCCCTCAACCAGGGTTTGAGAGTACCAGCTGATCGTTGGCCTCGACGCAGTTAATTGCATGTAAGGGTCATGGATGCAGTAAAACACCGGGTTCATGCTCTGGGCTGCCTGTGCGGTTTCAAACTCGTGACCTTGTGAAAAGCAGCCAGGACCACAACCACATGGTCAAAGTGTTGATCCTACTACTTTGAATGAGAGCAACATGGCTGCAGCTAACGCAGTTTTTGCCGTCTGCTGGGCATTGGATGTGAGACTTACCTGGATACAGCTAACAGAGATTCACCATCTGTTGGGCACTGTATGTGAGACTTACCATGTCACCCTCGCACATAAGCGCTACTTTTGTCAAACAGTGGTGTCCTGGGATGAGCGAAGTTTCCTAATCTTGCTCTGGTTCATCACTGTTCTAAATACAAATTTTCGTTCACGAAATCTTACGTTAGATCACTCCACCACCAGGTTTCGCTACAAACTAAATTTCGTTTTTGGTCGAGGTCTGTCACCCCGGACGTTCAGAAGGGCCAAGGAATCGAAGTAACCGTCACTAAACAGGCACTAAGTGAGGTCCTCCAAACTTCACGTGAAATTCGAAAACGACTCGCGTGATCGCGCTTGGTACGGACTTTAGTTATCTCGTCCCCCCCCCTCCCCCCCCCCCCTAACGAATGCAGCGAAAGTTAATTTCAAACGAAACTTTGCACTTATACAGTATCAAAGAGAAGAAACACATTTGAACGAGTTATCCCTTTGGAGTCCATAGCTTTTTTGCTTCCTCGGAATTTGTGGCAGTGACGAAAATGCGCACTCAATTTCCAACATAACTTTGGTTCTACTTCAACGATTTTGAAGATCTCGGGCTCGTTGGAAAGCCCTTGATGAGAAGCAACTATCCACGACTGTAACAAGATGATAAACAGTCAGAAAATCAGTATCCGAGTTTAAATTATACAGTATCACAATTATAATTATAGCCAGTGGTATTGCAGCTGTGTGAATCTCGTATCCGTAAGTATACAAAGACCGCTACTCCAGTACTGTTCGGCGCTAGCAAGGGTCCACACCGCTTTGATTCCCACAGCTATGCAAAAGACGCTACTTCCGTAGTGTCGTCTTTTTGCTGGCACCTTTGTTCGTCAGACTTTTTCCCTTGCAAATCCCTCAAACTTATGGATATGGACAGTGTAATTAGTATTTTAGCAGCATGTACGAGAGGTTGTATTCAGCATTTTTTTTCTTTTCTTGCAGGTCATCCTTGTCATTGTATCCCAATTGTTACTTCCGGTGCTAGTTTGGGGCCAGTACTGGCTACTGACCTGGCTTGCAAGGACAGTCGTCATGACACTGGCAGTTGGTTGGCTGCTTGAGCAGTCAACTGGGAGCATGGCATATATTTGGGATGCTGTTGTTGCCATGGCCCGGTAAGTGTGGATAAAACTTGATTGAATTATTGGAAAGAGTTTAATTCACAAAAAAAACGTGCACACAAACAGGGGAAAGGTGTGCGATGTGAATGTGACGTCATAGAAGCCGATTTGCCAGGGGTCAGGGTGATGCTGACCATTCTGTTTGTTCCGGGATTGCTGATGTACCATGTATACGCCTGTTACAAGAGAAGCACGCAGAATCTGCATATGCACTGGATATAAACCCACACATGTTCCCTTACAGCAACGATAGCGTTCAACATCTAAAATAATATATAATTGAGCAGATCAAGACTAGCACCAGGTAACTGCCTCTTCCACACAAGTGGCGAAAAAAAATTCGACGGGTTCGCATACGGGGCGAAAATAATAGTGTGGTTAATGTCGTGAGACAACGCGTGATGAATAAGAACGATTTTTATGTTTCCGGCCCATAACTGTTCATGCTCAGTGCTGCTCAATCATAATCTGATCGATTTGAGCCAAGTACATGTCGTGTGCTGTCTAACCCGGATTTGTGAAAACTGAACTATGCACTGGTGCTGACTGGTGATAACTTCACTCACATATTCGGATTACAATGAGCAGCATTGTATTACGTGATTTGTAAATGTATGCTGAGTACGTGTTTATCCTGATGCATCCTGATGCCGGGAAGTCGGTCTTCTTTTGGTGGACTTCCTGCAGGTCGGTAGCAAACAAAAGTCCACTTCTGTTACTGGTGAATGATGTTGTGAACTTCACGTCACCTCCACTTGCCGACGATGCACAGCCACAAGAGAGCAGAACAGACGAGGAGGGCAACTACCTTAACTTGCATTCAGGATGTGATGACAAACTTGGTCTGCTGCCGCTGCTTCGGAAGAAGACCGATAGGTAAGCGTTGAAGGCTGCTCATTTTGATAGTGAAGGTCATAGCCGGTGGTATGACCTCACTGTTTCGACAAAATGGTACAAAAGAGTAGTAATATTTCCACACTCGCCCGAAGGTCGCCCAGTTGACCGAAGAATACTGACAGGTAAGAACTAGTGGTGTGCACGGGTAGGCGGGTACCCGTGCTACCCGTGAGGACCTCGGGTAGTCGGGTACCGAATAGTACCCGAAAACCCGAGGTCGCAGATGACATCATGTACAGTGCACGTGTACAAATAATTCACGCATGTCTACCCAAAGCGCAAGGGAAGGGGCCAGTGTGCATTGTGGTCTTACCATGGAAACATTACCCGATCGGGTACCCGTGCTACCCATGGAAACTACCCGGACCCGATACCCGAAGAAAATGCTACCCGTCTCAGCCCTAGTAAGAACCCACCTTATCTTGAAATGCAAAGTACAGCTCAATGAAATCATTCTGGTCCATACCGCACCGGGTGCTATACAGCCCTGCCTGCCACATATGGGGTGTGAACCGGTGAAACGTGCACACATGACTCTCGGTCGGATTTCTTAATGCACAGTAGCTGCACTTCAGGTTCAAGCGCATCCTCCTTTTCCATTTCCGCAAATTAGTAATGTCTCAGTTTGTGCACACGAGTCCAGTTTCTATTTTATTTGTTTGCTCTATTTTACTTCACCAGAAGCACAGGCAAAGTCTGCCTTCTCACTGGCCGTATTGCCACAGTTTTCGCAAAATTATGAAGATATTGATAATGATACTTCCTCCGTATACAAAAACTTCGTGACGTTTTTTGAACGGTGCGTTTGAGCAAGAACCTTCTCAACAAGCCACGCCAAAGGCTGTCATCGACAACCCACATTCATGTCGAGGTAAGTTTGGTTGTTCCAAAACAGATTCTCCATGGAAGCCATGCGTGTGAGGACGTTGCCGACGGGAACTCAAGAGTAAAATAAAAAAGACTAACACTTACTTGCTCGAAGCTGACACAGTGACAAAGTGGAGCTCGGGGCAGGAACACGGAATCACGCGGCACTCGCTGCCGTGAAGCTGGCCAGGCTCACACTGGCGGAGCACTGCCCAATATGCATCGTGAGAACATAAATCAGTTCCGCTTGCACGGCAACATGAAACATTTCAGTCGTTGTGCAACCAGCGCAGACTCCGGATCAGAATGTCGACGGCCTGGCTTTCTTCGCCTCTCTCCAGTCCGACGTCTTCTTTGTGGCCAAGGGGAATCGCAGGGACCTCCTCGAAGCCGTTTGTAGAATGCTGGGAGGATTATCCTGGCGAAAAAATGCGAAGCGCAGACCTGTAGAGAATTGACTATTAGAATGCACTCAGTACGGTGTTGGTGTAATGCATCCACGGAGTCGGGTTTCATTGCGCAGCATCTCCAGTTTCGAAAACAGGACCATCTGTTCCACACAATGCACTACGTCTACTATGCCTTTCTCTGTGTTCTTTCTAGAATAATCCTTGTCGACACGTCACTGAGATACTCAAACAGGCGAAGCGCTGCTATTGGCCCTGTCATCTTGCACGCCAGAAACGTTCTAGGCTGCGTCTTTCACACTCTGGCCGGCATGGAGATGGACGCTGAGTTCTTCCGTGAAATGGATATCATTGGCTGCGAGGATGAAACAGAAGTGTTTCACTTCCTGGTTAGTTCATCTCGATCGATATGTTTATGTGAACAATTGGTACTGCTCAACCTTCAGAGGCTCCTCAACTTTCTATATTAAATTTTCATGACAATGGAGTGATGACTTGCTAGTTGAGAAGGGAAGTTTCCTAAATGGGTAAATGGCTGCGTTGAAGTTTGCGGACAATTAGAAAAGACTTGATAGCACCAGATTAAAATGTCATAGTTGGCATGAGACTCAATTTGACTGAGCATTTCCAAGATTACTTGAAACCCAGAGTGTGCGGCTAGGGATGGGTTGGTGTCACGGCGCAATTCCGCGATCACGACATTCTACTGATGTAGTGCGTACGGGCAGGTTTAAAGCGGATCTCTTTCTGCGCAACTGCAGCTCAGTGGTACGCACTATTCCACTTTTCGTCACTTATCTGCTCTAAATAGGATGTAGTCGCGGAATTTCGCTGTGACAGACACCGAAGCAGAACAAGAAACAAAGTGGACACTCTGGTTTTCATGTGCTTTTGGTTTTCGTATCGATAGGAATACCACCACCCCATGCATCTTGTTACATGTGAAGCTGCTGAAGTGGTGGGAGATGAGTAGATCAGGCCCACCACCAAAGTTGTCAATGGCGGAAAATTCCACTTGCCGACTTCTTTGCTTTGCTTCCCATTGTTGTAATTTTTCATTTACCTCCATCTAGGTGTTGTATCCTGATCAGTGCGAGCCTAAGAGAGGGGAGATCTTACTGCTCCAGTCCAAAAGTGTTTCTTGGCACGAGAGGTCAATGGAGATTGAGAATGGCAAGAACAGCTTCAGCTGGTTCCAGGCTCTGGATCTTCTCCCCAGGTATGTGGACACAGCTAACGTCCTTTTTATACCGGCCTGCTTTCAAACGTGTCCAGCATTCTTGACCCGATATTCCAATCTCTGGTCATGAGTTTCATCGTACAATGAGTGTCCCTTACCTTCCTTGTGAACATAACAGCATGTGAATCAAGTACAGTCAACTTCGCCAATAACGACATTCGGCGGGGCATCAGAAAAGTGTCCTTATTCGCGAAGTGTCCTTATAACCGAAGTCCCATTTGAATGTATGTGAACCCATATTTTGTATAGTATGACATGCATATCAAAATCAAGCTCTTTTCTTGCTCTATGTCAATGTGTACTTTATTTTCATATTGCAGTTGAAAGGAACTAAAAATTCAATATGCAAGGGAAATTAATTGAAAAAATTAATAATAATATTATGCCTTTTTGATACAGTAGATACAGGGCCAGAGACATGTACATGTACATGTATGATGATTACTGTACAATCATGTACCACTACATGTACATTGTATACATATAGGTGTGCTGGTAAATCCAACAATTTTGAAGCCAACATAAAAAAGGAAGAAAAAGCCCCCTCCCCCTTGGCTGCATTTTCTTGCATGTGTGCCTTTATAATAATTATTAATTATGAATAATATCCATCACCATAGGTTCTGGTACTTCTGCATGACAGGTACCGTAAAGTACCGTTGATCCGCCCCCACGCCATGTCGCTTCCCAGCTGGGTTTTCGGCAGGGGGCGGGAATTAGATCAAGGCTGTCAAGTGCAGTACGATGTATAACAACGTAGAGGATCAGTCTCAATGTGCTGGATTGTGCACATTTTGATCCTGGATTGGCAAGTATTGTGTACAGCAGTGTATGCGTCGGTTCAACATCGTATTTCGTTGTATACGCCGAAGTCGCTTCACAAGGAGAAAATCGACAGGGGGCGGGAATTAGAGAGGGGGCGGATCAACGGTACTTTACGGTACATGTACTTGACTGACAGGTACTTGAAATAGCTGTCAAAAGCCCAGAAAGTCGTTATTCAAGCAGTGAATATGACCTCGGGGCACTAAAAGCATGTCGCTATATGCGAATTGTCGTTATTCAGATAGTCGTTATATCCGAAGTTAAATGTATACAGTTAGATGGGACTTTGCTCTGGGCATGGAAATTCGGTCGTTATTCGCGAATTGTCGTTATATCCGCAGTCGTTATTAGCGAAGTTGACTGTATACAGGTATGCATCAGGAGAAAATACTTTCCAATTTCATTCGACGTTCACGATATTACTGGTCGTGTCTGGTGGGGAATTAATTGTGACTTAGCAAATTGCATCCCAGGAATCCAAGTATCCACCAGCATATTGAGGCCCATCACATTGCCTCTCCCAATTGCACTGCCATGCCTCAAAGTAGAACAGTACGCCCGTGTCAACTGATCTTCCCACCACCTTCAGAGCGGGGTGACTTGACTACACGTGTATATAGTGGACTAGCAGTTGGGAACATTATGTGTGCAGGAAAGAAAGAAAAAATTAACGCGAACAAAATCAGTTTTAAGGAAAAGGAAATATGAATACGTGTAACTCTCAATCACAGTAACCAGATACTATATACAGTCAGACTTTCAAAATCACTTTTGTGATGTAGACCCAGGAATGAGGTTTGATGGTGGCCCAGCTCTCTTTCCCAGCGACTGGAAAGACAATACTTAGTTTTGAAATTGTTTGATGTGACAACTAACTGTAGGTGAGCTGGCCCTCACTTTCATGCAGTGGGAAATGTTGCAAGTATCAACTTCGTTTTATGTTGTGTGTCACATCCATTTTCAGGGTGGTGAGCGCGCCGCTAATGACACTCACGGATGCCATTGGGGAGAAATACTCCAGGTTTCGATCATTCTTCAACAAGCCTGGTCATTTGGACTTGAAAGCCTTGTACTATGAAGGCCAGTTGGCTATGGATGGTGACATCGCCAGGGAGTTCACTATGTTCCTTCCCAAAAGTGTTCCCTTTCCATGGGGTAGGTGCTGTCATCTGCCCATAACTGGCTATAGTGAGGCCAGTATTAAAACTACAAGCTATCAAGTGAGAGTTTTCGGGTATTTTTGACGTGGTGATGTGTGGCCGAAATGTTGTTGTGGCTGAAATGTTGTTGTGGCTGAAATGTTGTTTTGCAAGGTTCAGCGTGACAGTGTATAGAGGCGGAAGCAGCACGGGCCGAAAATTTGATGCGGCCGAAATGGGTTTTAGCCCTGGGAGGCCGAAATTTGAGTGGGCCGGCAAGTTGTAGACTTGCAGTATTGGTGGAACTGAGCTGTAGCTGGTGATTTTCCACAGTCAGGGTAGGCAGTGTGGAATGATTTTAAGGTTAAATATGCATGTGATTGATACAAAAAAGTCGGCAAGTTCTGGAATTGTTTTGTTGCTTATGAAAGTCCTGATCCTCCTCATGCCGGAGATCCTCTCCTTATTTACTTTAGCAAACTTTGTTTCCAAGAATATGCATAGAGTATCAGGTTTTGTAGAGTATGGCATTGATGTCACTTTTTTTGTCTCTGTTTTCTCAGTACCCCAACCGCGCCGATCATCTCTGAAGCAGCGTAGAAACAGTGGTACGTTATGCCGCAGCAATCTTGATGTTCTGCTTTGAACGCTGTTGCACAAACATTTGCCTGAAGACCCTGCAATATGTCCTTTACAATCGCTTGCATCCATGCTGACCTGTCTCCTTAGTGCCCACAACGTTTGGTAACATGGTGGTCAAAAAGCTGTTTATTTCGGATTTTCACTACCACCAGAGACCCTCCCTCCATCTGCAGTATATTTATCATATAAAGTCAATAAAACAAGTTGAATACACACTAAAACAAAGATACAAGAATGAGGAGTCACATATCATTTCAGAATAGAAGTTTCTACGCCGATGTCTAATTGTACTTTGAATTTCTAACTGTTTCTGTGTCCCATGCCAATAGAGAGTGGTGGATTTGAGTTTGCTAGTCAAAAGCGGCGAGTCAGTTTCTCACCTGCAGAGATCCAGAGTAATGCCATTTTTGCCCAAGATCAAGAGAATCTTCTCCACAGTCCTAATGTCTTTTCCGAAAGTGTTGGGCAGGATAAAGCGGAAGACGTATCTCCCCGGTCGTCTAGGTCTTCGCGCTCATCTTCATCCAGCAGCTGGCCGTCGCGCACCAGTTGGGCCGACTTGTCACGCGAAGTCGATAGGAACTTGGACAGGGTTCCCGGCCCCGCTGCAAACATCCCCTTCGACAGTTCGTTCTACAAGTTCCGTACGGCAAAGCTGGCCGATCCTTACGGCTCATTCTCCTCATCGGTTGATGGCTCCATCTTTGACATGTCTGACCCGTCAGATGAAGAACCCAGACCTGGACAAGGCAGCGAAGAGCAAAGTGAAGGAAGTTTGGATGATTCTGGTTTTGCAAGCCATGACCCATTCAATGCTGAAGGTGAGGCAGACAATTCAAGGACTAGTCGACAAGACCCTCCGACGCTGGAAAGTCGCCGACCGATTCCAGAAATCACGATTCAGCCGAGCACCCCACTGACAAGCTCAACTAAACAGTGCAGCTCAACCACAAGACAGAGACGGCAAAGTTGGATTCGTGCGTCCAAATCGCAGAGTCATAGTCAGTCATCCATCCCCGAAGAAGATGAGTCGGAAGCTGCTACTGCAACATCGGCAATAAGTACTGGTCTCATGGAAATGCCTCCACCATCTGAAAACTGCACTAATATGTTTTCTCACTTATCTGAAAAGAAAAGCTTCTCACCGAAAGCGACCGACAATCCGTGGTGTGCCGAACATCACTCGCAGGACACGAGCGACATGAGTGAAGCCGAAGACTTTGCAGTCGACTATGATCGAAGCACTATCCCTGGGAACGCAGCATCAAATGCCAACAAGGACACTTCGGGTGTGTTCTTTCCAAAGTCCGCTGATCTGCCCGTCTATCCTGAATCAGATAGTGCAGCACGTTATGAGAGGCAGCGGAGTTTCAAAGCCTTTGACGCACCCCAGATGACGGATCTTCCCACAGGAAAAGTCCTTACGCCAGTGAGCTCCCCATTGGTCGTCATACTGACTCCACCGGACTCACCTGGGGAAAACGAACAACATACCCACTCTGATGTGAAAGTCAACTTGCCACCGTTCAGGACACGGACTCGAATTGTTTTCGACAAAAGGGCCAGAAAAGAGTAAGTCCCTATGTTCTTTCTAATTTTGGGGCAAGAAAACCTGGATTTAAGTTGTCGCCACTCGTCTTCTTGGCGCTGAATGGAATGGATTTTGTATGAGGAAACTAAGACGCTCTATCCTAAAAGTCCCACCTAGAAGCTTCTCGCTCCACGTACACCGACGTACCGACATGGACCCAGACAACAGAGGCAGGAGGACATAGAGTGACGGTAGTAGGCCACAGCCATGTGAAACCGGAATGCAGAAGAAAACTAGGAGCAAGAACAGGATGACAGACCCCACGAAGAAAGATTGAGTACATGCGGCTAACATAAACGGGCGAGGACAACCACCACTTGGGAATGTAAGATTATTCTCTCTGGACCGAGCCAGTCGAAAAAAAACCCGTCACACTTACGAATGCATGAATAAGGGAAAAATCGGGTGTACATGTATAACCTCAAGTGGCAACATGGCAGCATAACAACAGGCACAACATACATGTATCTACAGCCAAGAAAGAAAGAGAAGAAGATGAGCAGACATGAAGGGTGGGGAGGGTGGGGACACTGGTGAGACTAAAACACCTGACTGAAGAAGTCAAGCAAAAAGAACAGCAACAAAAGAGAAAACACCAGGTGCCATATTCGCAAGAGATTTTTTTGTTGTGCGAGAAATCATTAATCGCCTCACTCGCTCCGCTCGGTCGGCGAGAAATATAACGTCTATTTCCCCGAAAATACGTGATAGGAAATTAGTAGATAGGTTTTTTATAGAAACTCCGTGAAAGTGCCACTTTGCTTCTTTTTAAGTAAACTTGTACCTCGTTTATCCAGGCGGTCCGGGACCGGCCACTCCCGGTAACTTTGAAATGTCCGTAACCCCAAATCACAATACTTTTTGAGGAAAAGTCATAGGTATGACGTATGACGTCACTGGTTCCACACAAGGTACAAAAGACTAGTGATATCTCCAGTCACACTCGCCCGAAGGGTGCCCAGTTGACCGAAGTGTTCGTCCGGATAACCAAGGTATGAGTTTACGGGCAAAATTGTAATACTAAAAAAATGCAGTCATCACTCATCAGGACGATGAACCGAATGATCTTGATCCGCGGAGGCAACGATGCAGACTTAATCCCTACTCCCCGCCTACTCACTGTCAAACATGGCCCTTAGTGATGTGTTCATGGCCCCGAAATGAGTCAAGCATGCGGGGCATCATCGGTCAGTTCCTTGTTACCAACACCATTCTATTTCGAGGTCTGAAGATCACATGGAACTTTGATTGAAGGTCATGGTTCTTGTTTAGTTTTGTGATACTAATCCACCACCATATCGAGGACCATTCAAGGGTGGAGCATGGCCCCTGTTCATATGGTTGTTAGCGGATTTTCAGTATCATGTATGTTAGCACTGAGATGGTCAGCCAAATTAAAAAATCACGTTCGCGTGAGACTCGGCTTGAAACCGAGTTTTCCGCATCCGTAGGAACGCCACCACCCTTCAAGGATCATGGCGCAGATGCAGCTCCTAAAGCGGTGGGAGGTGAGTAGACCAGCTCACCAGCAAGTGGTCAAAGACCGAAAATCCCATTCACTGCATCCATGGTGCGCCAAGGAAAATATTAAATGGAGACCCGGAAAAAGTGGGGCACAAGTTATGCGTTAAAGTCCACCGATTGAACCAGGTTTGCACAAGGTAGCACCAGACTGACAAGGAGTACTGAGACATTCCACGGCAAGGAAGTGAGCTTGAGCACTGCACGATAGCGCTAACCAATGGCCTTCCAACATGGAAGGTTCATTGATATTAGTGATAATTCCAAAGAGGGGAAGGTATGCGCCATGAAGCCGAACACAAGCTACACTCCAAGGAACAGTGGAATAATGGCTTGGTACGATAACGGGACGGTAAGACCATTGGACAATACGGTCTAACCATAAGTCGACTACACCAAGCAACAACCACCCAACTTCCTTGCCGTGGAATGTCTCAGTACTCCTTGTAAGTCTGGTGCTACCTTGTGCACGTCTGACTGTTCAAACCCTGGTTTAGTTGGTGGACTCTAACGCATAACTTGTGCCCCGCTGAGCATTTGCAAGATGAACACGTACATCGCACACGGCACAGCAGAGGCACCACTTACCTGTGCATTGCTAGCTGAATTAATGGCGGGGAAGAATTTGTTCTTGTGCTTAGGATCAGCCATGTATTGCATGTGCTAAACCATTAGCCATCAATGGCTCTAAACATGTCCCAAGAAGGACAGTGATGGAGGGTATGTAACTCAATATCTCATAATGTGCACTGTTGATTTGATCAACGTGTACTTGGACAGTGCTTATCTTTCATTTTAAGAGTTGCGAAATTGTCTTAAGCACCAGTAGCAATACAAATAACCTAAAGATCCCTGTGTGGTCGTCCAAAGGTCCATAATGTTGACAAGTTTATACTGGGGACTTCCGCCTCTGACTTGGGCTGTGGATTTCTATGTGTGTGCTTTCTGCAGATCCTAAACTCTTCAAGCAACAGGACAGGTTTATAACACATAGTAAACATAATGGTAAAATCGGTAGAAAATCCAGTGTGTTTATTGCATATATTTTACTGTTAATGTGGTTGCCAATATGTTTTTTTTAAGTACATTGTGATCCATATCTATGTGGTGTCTGAAACTTAACAAGGACTGCTGCAAATCAATGCCGCAGTTTCGATTGGCAGTATTCAACATTTCACCTTGGGAGGTGGAATATTTTATGAACCCAACAAATTAGAGGTGATCAACTCGATCCTCATAATGACTCAAGAGGATAATTAAGAGAGCAGAAAGAATACCTTGATGTCTCAAGTTGTTGAAAAGCAGGCTTTGCTGAAAACAAAAGTAGATTGGACAAATTTTAATTGTCCCCAATGAAGTCATCAAGAAAATGGCTTACTCAAGTTCAAATTTAGGATTCTTCTTCGAGTCTGATTTAGTAAAAATTGCACAATTTTACCGAATTGGCTCAATAAATATTATATTATGGTGGAATTCCTGTAGTATAATTATTTCAATAATTTTGGAAATCCAACAAGAATTTGGAATTATTGGAAATCCTGTGCGATACATCGCACCGCAGATCTTCAGCCATTATGAGGTGTTGTGACTAGACTGCTTCCCTTGCCGCGTGTATGATGCGCTTGCAAGCACAGAAGCAGTTCTCCTGGTAGTACGGCTTGCTGCAGAGGCGCAACGACATGACGCGGGAGCAGTAGTGGAGACCTTGCTTGGTGCATTGGCTCGGGTCGCCAGACAAGAGATTGCTGTTTGGCCGTGTGTTTGGTGGCCGGGATTGACCTAGTGAGAACAGAGGGGAAGGGGTTGAAAACATGTTACGAGTTAGGACCAACTTTCCACCAACGTAACTAGATCGTATACAGTCAGTGGGTGCGACAACCCGGTACAGTTGGTTTTTCGGGACTTTATTTTTTGTTCTGTGTTCCGTCAACATAGTATATGAAGTCAAGGTCAGGTGAATATGTCAAAAAGACTCGCACACTCTCTCCATGCGAGTCCTGAGCCACACACACACTCTATCCGAGTTCAGACTCACACGCACTCTCCATCCGAGCCCAGACTTCTCCATGCGAGTCCAGACTCACACACACTCTCCATCCGAGTTCAGACTCACACGCACTCTCCATCCGAGGCCAGACTCACACACATTCTCCATCCGAGTGAAGACTCACACAGCCTCATATTCAATCGCTTCCTAAAACGTAGGAACCATTCATACAAGACTAGTCTCAGTGGCATAACAGTGCGGGGAGGAGTGATGCGACAGGAGTCCGGGGAGTGTCGCGCGGGTATGGGGGGGGGGGGGGGGGGTGCAGATTTTTCGGACACACCAGGGCAACTTTTAGCGCTCTACAGGCGCTCAGTGCTGACCATCCTGGCCGATAAGTGGTACGACCATGGTCGTGTTGGTCGTAGCTTGTGTACTGCGCCTGTCATGGTTGAGAGATTCACTCAAGAAACAACAGTACGAACTCACTCAAGAGGTGATGTTGTGGACAGGTGCCACAGCTTTGAAATCGAACTGGCTCCTCGGCGACCTCACGACAGTAAGAATGTGGCACGGATACACGTGTCAATATGTAGATGCATGAAACATTGCGGCGCTTCACACAATCCACACACTGCAAGCACAGACAAAGAGATACGAACAGAAACATGCTTAGGGCCACAACATTAATTTCCCTTGAAAACCGGACACATTAGCTATATACAGACAGAGTGTATATCCCAAATGTTTGTAGAGCTCTGCCTTGTGGTATACAGCACTATTTTCAGCGAGTATCGATGATGCTTTGTCTGATACATATTTCGTGAATACCAGTACATAAGTAGGTCTACAACATCACAGAACAGGGCTGTGGTATCGCAGCTGGTGCAGTACGGCCGACAATGTGCTTAGCGTCGGCATTCTTACCTGAGACCACCGGCTGATGTTCCACTGTACACACGCTTGTCGTGTGACTGGCTTGGGCTGGCCACACACCGAGTCCCTCACCTTCTTGCCGCCATGATAGCATATGACTTGGCGAATGCGGTAGAAGTTGTCACAGGATTCCCACTGCATAGCCAGCCAGAGGCGGGGCAAGCACTCTGTGCTGTTGCTCGGCAGTCCGAAGCAGCGCCGGCTGGCCAGCTTGGGCTGATCTCGGCACCGGCCCTCGGACTTTGTCTCGCGCCACACGTGGTTTCTGGTGTACCGCATGCATTGCGCGCGCAGGTGCTGCACGCCGGGGCCACACGTCACACTGCATGGTCCTCTATTCATGTAGCGCCAAACACCCGGGCACGGCACATGGCAGGTCTGCGTCTGGCCCTGGTTGGAGAGGATTTCGCGCACGGCGTCCGGTGTCATACCGCTGAAGCAGCGCTCCATCGGATACTCCACGGTCCTGTTGTTCTGGTCCCTCTTGCTGCGGCAGATCTTGCGACGTGTTTGCGTCCCCGGTCCACACGTTACATTGCAACTGGACCATGGGCCCCAGCGCACTCTGCAAAGCAAAACAGGGGACAAATCCTGTCAAGGCACTTCATATTTCTATAAACAAAGAGGCCAATATCAGCGGTGTATTGAGTGCACAGAGAGGTATACTCTGTCATAAAGGGGGGGGGGGGGGGTGCATATTTTACACTTATTAATTAAGGCATCACTACTCTATTTGTCGTCACAGTCTCTTATGTCATCACCTGCTTACTTCGTGCCTATATGGCTTCACTGCGACATTCTCTATAAATAACTCCAGGTCATTCTCTGTATCTAACTCCAGACGCGACTTTCCCTGTATCTCCACTCAGGTTGAGACTTTCTCTGTATGACTGTCACTCCAACTCCGGTTTTCTATGGGGAAGTTGGCAATCTGAGTTGGAGTCATACAAACAAAGCCTCAACAGTAGTGGAGGCATATAGAGAAAGTCGGTCTGGAGTTATATAGAGCATGATCTGGAGTTATATAGAGAAAGTTGCAGTGAAGCCATACAGGCACGGAGTAAACAGGTGATGACATATAGAGGAGCGAACACAAAATTGTAGAGAGTTGATGTACTACTGAGTGCTACCTACACATGTATTTCGATTTTCGCCATCTGTCGTCAGTGGGTCCAGACCTCTCGGTGTGTGTGGCGCAGAAGTCAAGCGTGTATTGCTACTCTTCTCTGCATATAACAGTCCTTAACAGGTATAGGGCGGAATGTCTGCAAAGCACAGGGTGGAATTGAATATTGACTAGGAATCAGCATATTATAGGGCTTGCGGAAGTACTGTGTTGTTGTTTTTTACTAGCTTTCAAACTCACTTCAGTTTTGGTGGGCAGTCGGCTTCATAACATGAGACAGGCTGCGGACGGGTTTGATTGATTCCGGCGCAGTGATCATCATCGACAACACCGGCACCCTCTTCAAAGCACTGTTGATGAAAGGTCCTTGTGCCTGCATTGGAAAATATGGTAAAGACAAAAATCTTCGTTTGAACGGCACATTGTGTATTTTGGTAATGTAACAATGTTCTACATTTTCACTTCTTTTTACTTTATCTGTATTACTTTTTAAAAGGATAGCCACAAGCCATCATGGTGCAAAGGCCGGCAAACACGCACAGAGATGCACATATCGATGACAGCCGAAGCAGTGGATATGGGGCAAGAGCAGCTGAAGCGACCAAGGGTCTCGGGATCAACACTGCTCATGCACGCCAGACGTTAACTCCAATCCAGACAAACATTCATCTTAATACTCGAAGTCCAAATCTATTGGTTCTATTTCAAACAGAATTGCCACAAAGTTGAGGTGAAATTGAGAACACAAATTATCCATGTTCTTATCAGGTCAAATCCGCCTAGTCACTATGCCCCAAACTGGACCACTGGAGCATGAATTTGTGTGCTGGGTTGTTTGGATTTTTGTAATCGCTTTTCAAGCATTCGACTAACCTGTTCCACATGACTTGGAGCATGATCCCTGGATAGCTTTCCAGTATCGTCGAGCTGTTAGTGTGTACACAGAGGAGAACGGATCGTGACATTTTCAATCCAAAGAGTAAAAGTGGCTTTAAATACAGTAAAACGTCGCGAAAAATGACTATCGAGTGGACATGAGAGGATTTTTGTTACTCGAGAATTGTTGTAATTCGCGAGGTTCTAATTGTGCAGCCAACATGGTTACTAGATCTGAAGTTTGCATCGCTATTCGGCGGTATTTGCTTCTTGTATCATCCGGGGTTGTTGCTTCCGAGGTTCAGTCCGTGTTTGACTACAATTGTCCAAGGTATGGCCTCCCGACGATTAGAGGATGCATGATATCACTTTTGATTCGTGAAGGCGATGACATTCATACGTACGTGCATTGACTCTGACGTGCATGGCAACTGCTTGGAATATACAGTACACCGTTTCTGGCGTTGTAGGATGTATATTACATAGCTCAAATACGGATAGAGAGGATTGTGTCTGATGTTTTTTCAACACTAACCTGCCAAAGTCGGGAAATGGTTACAGTATGGTAACAGAACTCTTTCAACATCCAATTTGGTTTTACATTTAGAATTAATCAAATCCCTTGCAAAAAAGTGGATAATGCATGTTGATGCATGGCGTTAGAATGAACCTACCTGTCACACGGAGGATAAGGGGAGATGATACGACTCTCCGGAAGCGATTCTCAGCAATGCATCGGTACGTTCCAGCATCCTCAAACGTCATGTTCGGGATCAGCAGAGCGGTGTCGTTCACAATGCAATTGCAAACGCTGCCACCGTTAACCAAGCCTCTCTCCGCCTCAGCTATGGCCACTCCATCCTTTTCAAAGGATACCGTCGGTCTTGGATACCCATTGACTTGGCACGGGAACTGAAGATAGTCTCCAGTAGCCTTCTCCATCACTTGGCCTAGTTGACCGCCTGAACAACAAGTTAATAAAATCCAGCTTATGTTCTTACTATAATGATGGCATGCCTCATTCATTAGGCAAAGCAATCACAAATTATTGTATATCCTGCCATGCTGATTATTAACACCCCCAAGCCAAATGGAAAGTTCAAATTCTGCTTTGAATGTTAGGAACGAAAGGTATGGCTTGTTTGCAGTAGAGCTGCTTCAATGATGTTGGGTTGGAGCATTGAATAGGACAAGTGGTGATCCAGTTAGAAAGTGACCCGATGTGCATTCTGAGTTTTGAATCCGTAAGCTATACGAGCCGTTGCACACGTTTGCCATGTCATAAAATAAACCTATAATACTATAAATGACATGAGGACAGCGGAACAAACACGGCCGACATTGTGTGACTCTGTAAAGGGGGTTGATGGAAATTGAGCGAACAAGGCGGCTTGCCCCGTCTGATTGTGTTGTCCTTATGTGAAGCATAACAATACCGTCTCGATGGTTTCCAGCGCTTACCAGCATTGTTGAAGGTCGGAGGTGACTCCATGAGCATTTCCCCAGCAGCCTTGGTCTTCTGCAACAGGCTGTTCTGAGCAGTACACGTAAACCGTCCCAGTAGATGCTCCACGGCCCGCGCAGGAATCTGCAGCACCTGTCCGCGTTGCAGCAGCTTTAGGGAGCGTCCTCGCTCGCGCTCGTAGTATTGATGTTTGTCGGCGTCCAACCACGACCATGAGACCTGCGGCGGAGGATATCCGCTGACCGGACAGTTCAGTGTTACCATCGTCCCGCGCTCGGCTATCACAGGCGGGAATATGCTGACTTCGACGTCGTTCACCACGAACTTTGGCGACACCGGACATGGCACCCCGCGGCACCGGCGTGCTCGCATTTCGTGCTGCACTGCATGTCGACAGGCGCTAGCAGTTGCTAGTCGATCACCCACGACACAATCCCAAAGGCGGTAGGACCAACCTCGGCCATTGCATGAAGCATTGCACTGTAAAAGGAGTTTCATGAGCGAGAAAGGGAGAGCGAGAAAGGGAGAGAGATGTAGATAGATAGATAGATAGAGGGAGAGAGAGAGAGAGAGAGAGAGAGAGAGAGAGAGAGAGAGAGAGAGAGAGAGAGAGAGAAAGAGGGAGAGAGAGAAGCATTGCTTACATAATTCCTTGGTATTAACATTCGGCAAAAGTAAATAATGTCCGTAATTGTTGGTGTGTCTAGCTGCTTCTTTCCAGATCAAACTTATTTAGACTGGTTTTACAAATGAGGGTCAAGTACTGAGTGATAATCAGGGGAACACTCCAATCAAAAGCTTCTATTTTAGCTAGAGCCTACTAAATGGATATTTATAGTATGATTTTAGCATGAGAATGATGCGCAGTCCCCCCACAGCCTTACCTCTCCCCATCTGCTGCTCTCCACCCATCGCGGACATGGGTTATTTGCATTGCATGGCTTTGAACTGGAAGGCTGGGCCTGGGAAAGGCAGAACCCATCGTCGACAAGCTGCTCACGAGTTCTACCGCTGCCGCCTGGGGTCTCCTCTCTGCAGCACGTGATGTTGCGATTCAGATAACCCGTGTCACAGGTTGTGGAGCACTAAAGAGCAAGCAGGAAGGGACAGGGTGAGAAGAATCAGTACAGCACAAGACTTTTATAAAGGAAGTTCACCGGTACGTGACCAAGCTTGTCGCAGTCTATCAGTGGATATTTTCATTTCGTACAATGCAAACCAGCGTCATAAACGACATGACAATTGTGAATGGAACACAATGCCAAATCATTGAGCAATTACGTTAAAAGGAGGTAAAAACCAACAAGCATAATTTGGAAAATACGCACCCCCACACACATATGTTTTCATTTTAATTAACCCGGAATGGTAAAACATTATTTTGTTCTAGCTCACTGGACACCAATCTGATCCAATGCGAAGACCTAGCAAGGTCTAACTGGCTGCCTGCCCGGAGATTGAACCAATGCAATTGCAAGTACAGCCATATACTGTTGCTTGACCACAAGCACAGATACAATAGCAATGATAGGAAAGGGTAGACTCTCACCTCGCCCCAGTCTCCAGTTCTCCATTTATAGACACAGTTCTCACCGACACAGGTTCGGATGGCAAGCTCATCCTCCTGAAGCGCAGCCTCGCACTCCGGATTCAATTCTTCTTCACCATCGGCATAGGTGAGCACTGTGCCATTTGCAATCATACGCTGGCAGGTTGGACTGCGTGACTGCTGCCCTTCCCCACAATCACTGCTGCACTGTATGCAAAAGCAGCAGTCAGACAATGAGAAGTCTTAATCCATATATGTACATGTACATGATCGCTCAATGCTCAGGGCGTGAAAGAAAATCTTTAGTATCGTGAGCTACCTGTCATTCTCTGTATGCATAAGCTCATTGGTCAAGTGCTTTTGATGGAAATCTTTCAGAGTGAGTGGAATCTAGAGAAAAAGGGACTCAAAAGCATGATCATGAACATAATTAAAGTTGAGCTGCACTGTATGTGGCATAGCTGCGATATACGATTAGCAGAGCACATGATGTACACTTTTGGCATTCGTTGGCTTCATTTCTCTTCAAATGCCTCCTGGCAGTTTGCGCCTAGATGTAGATGAGGTCTTGGAATGAAGTCTTTGTTGCTCTCTAATCAACAGGGAGGGTGCTTTAAAAGAATTGACATCCTTTAAGGACAAGCTGTCAGTTTCTTAGTTTGTTGGACTACTGCAGTATGTATTCTGTTTTCCAGTCAAAGTGGGTGGGGGATGTGGTCCACATCCTGCAGTCCTGGCCAAAGAAATCCAGCCCATGAATCCAAAGTATCGCAACGTTTCCATTCGTTTAGATGTAATTAGCATGCACAGGCCAAGAAACCATCTGAGGGCTGCAGGGGTCGCATGAGCCATTGCGCTGCTTTTGGCACGTGGGTCGGATTTCTTTCCACATGTGTATATACGTGTGCCAGAGTGGGCGGGGGAGTATGTTCATGGTAGAGATCTAGCAGTGTTGAAAATGCCGTTTAGTGCATGGAACTTTCGCCTTGCACCATTGTAAGTGTTCATCGTGTTTGTTTCCGCACTAGTGGTCTTAACTAGAGTGAAACGCCTGTTTAGAGAGCCTTGGAGATAACATGAATTTTCCTTCGCATTGGATGCAGGCACTATCGGCTCAGTCATTTGACTCCAGTTTCAGAATAAAATTTGCAACATTCTCCGTTTTCCACGTCCCTTCAAAGTACACTACTCGTACTAGGTCATTCGAATGTAGGTGATCTATTGGTACGACTGTATGCTTACATTACTCCACTGCGACCATTGAATGGTGTACGGGCAGTCAATGGCATTGCAGATCTGTTCCTCCAGGACTGTGCAGCGTGGTTCCCCTATCAGCTCTCTGCTTTCCGGGTCAACATAGCGGATGCAGCGACGCTTGACGCGGATCCCGGAGCCGCAAGAGCGCTGGCATGGCTCCCAGTCCTCGATGACTTCTCTAAGGAGGCAAAAGGATATCAAAATAGAGAGAAGATTATTGGCTGGGTCCACGTTACCAAACACAATAAGTACCATACATCTTTGCTATCACAGTAGGCCGCTAAACGTAGTCGCTTCATTATCACCATGACAGGGAAAAGTAAGAATACCCCTCCCCCCCCTCCCCCCCTGAACACACACAGGCACATTTACAAATATACCACCCACACCTCTGACACACACACACGCACACACACACAAAAGCACTCGCAGGATGTATACGTGGATCAAGCTGCCCCCCCCCCACCCCCAGTCCATTCTAGTCGTAATAACTCAATCATAATCAAAGTAGGTGCGAGGCGGGGGGGGGGGGGGGGGCTTTAAATCACGCTGTTGGGCAACTTACAGTATCCATGGTATCATCATTGCTTTTATTAGAGGCTTTATCTTCCCCAATGCGAAATTGAGCAATTTAACGCGAGTGCTATGATAAAATTCGGGCCATAGAATTCTACGTGGGTTGATTTTGGCTTCAAAACAATGATTTTCCACGTATCGGCCTACTCGTTTCTGTAATAATTGTGCTCTTTCCCATTTCAAGCATAGTGCCACCACGGGATGTCCTGGCCGGAGAAGACAAAGGGAAGATAATTGAATGTGACGACGTTTGAGCAAGAGATGATGCACCTGGGATCAGCAGTTTCGCCCAGGTTGACATTACGCCGTGTCACAAAACCATTATCCGTTTGCCCAGGGCGTAACAGATGTAAGACGTCCTCCCTTCGGGCACAAACAGTCAGCCCTAATCAAAACAAGCTTTGTACACTGGATCTGTTCTAACACACAACTGCTCTCTTCACTTGAGTGATGGCGTGGTGTCGATAAATAGTCACCTGCAAAATCCATCCCCTCTGGCAAAGTTTGATTGTCCTGGGGGAAGTAGGCTGCCATCAGGTCACACATCCCGTCATTCCCTCAATGGTAATTCACGCCTCTTTGCAAAGGACGCTGTGACAAATCTCGTATTGTATCGTTTTCACATCCTAGGCGTTCCTGTAGGCAATCAAGGCATGTATTTGTCCTAACCCAGCGGACCATAGTTACTATCTGGATCAAAAGAGCGATCTCATGTCTACAGCTTATAGCAGAGTCATTAGCTATCAGAGTTTCAGCACTGCATGACATTGTACAACAACAGTAATTGTGCTGTATGTAGCCAGTAGTGATCAGGTTAGGATTAAAGCACGTTCATCTGGCGACATATCAGCCCTGATGAACGTGGAGCTCTCCCTTTTGTTCCATGGAGCTCTCCTTGTTAGTGGTGCTTGTCGCCAATATCGAGAAAACAAGCTGGTCACACTCCGTCACTAGGACTGATGAAGTTATGGTCCCAGCAGATGTTGGCGAACACAATTCCATTACGATTCACAGTTTGGACATGTTGATGGGCATGACAGCAGCACTGCTTTACAGCATGATCCGGTGTGCTGTGTACGTCTTCGAAAGATCTTGCCTCTCAAAATCATGTGGTTGAAACGCGCTTAGATATTACTACAGGACAGCTAATCTTGTAATGAACGCTTGAAGAGCATCTTCTGGCAACTGTTTTCGCCAGTGATCTCTCTGGTCCTGGCACGAAATCAAGAATGCGCCTCTCGGCATTCTTCGACAGCCACTCCGCCAGCAGTGGAGGAGAGTATCGCACAATGCACTGCTCCCATCCACAGCCCATCTTGGTACAACGCACTAGAGCAGATGCTGCTGACGGAGACACTGGATTGATTTTCCTCTAGCACTTCGTACTGGTCAAGCACGCCAGACCGCACAGCACTTCAAATCCCAAGTCATAAGAGCAGGCAAAAATCTGCCTACTGGCTGCCGTGAGTTTCCGTCGATCACTGTGACCCTGATCTGCGAGTGATGAGGATGAGGTGACCTTGAGCGGGCTTGACAAGCGACGCCTGAAATATGGCCACTAGCGTGCAAACAGGAAACTTAAGAGCTAGAACAATTCGCTGTGGGTATGATTCTATGAACGAGCGATCACAGTACCCTATACTCAAGCCACTTCGCTGCAGAACAAGCCATTATTCGGGTGCAGGGCAGTGATGTGCTCTAACTGAGTATAGGAACTAGCGTTCTTCACGGTTACAACCATTGTTTTGTCCAGCAATGCAAACATTCGCCCAGGAATGCAACCATTTTGTCCAGCAATGCAACCCTTCGTCCAGCAATGCAACACCTACAATAATATACATGCATGAACATGAAGGTCGTAGTCCGGGGCAATCTCAGACCGCACTCCACACACATAATACCTCGTAGCTGGAAAGACACACATTCTCACATGACACGAGAGCAGTCGATCTGGTGAGTAGCGGGTATAAGTTCCAGTGTTCCCCTGCCTGACGTCATCGTCTTTCATGATTCTTTCATGGTTTCCATGGCATAAGTTGTTCTGTATCCGCCAAGTACAAATAACATTTGTTTTGTACTCGGAGCCGTCTTTATGATGTTTGTTGCGCGATACAATTCCTTCAGATGGTACACTGGGTTTAGCTCCCCTGATGACACTAACACGTACATAATTATATTAATAGATGAGAAGAGATTGAGTGATGACGGACAATAGTAAACGCACGCTTGTTAGTTTCACGCTGGCTTCATTGCATGGATCTCACGCGACGGCTTGAAAATAACATGGTCCAAGTAATTAGTTCAAAGCGAAAGTCAACGAAAAACCCCACCTAGGTGGATTCTTTACATGACGTGATAACACTCCACCTATTCAAGACAACGCGACTTGTTCGTATGTTGTTATGCGCGAATGGAAATACTCCAAAGTTACAATCTGAAACACGTTAAAGATCGTGTAAGGCAGCCAATCTCATCACCACGGTCATCCATATCGATTCCAATTTTAACGATTGAATTCAGCAGTTGTCACAGGCAATTCTATGTGCAGGAAAGGATCACGAAAATCAATCTCCGCGCGGATAGTTAACCCTGTTCAGCATGTCATCTACCGCAATGTTGTCGGGACTACGGCGAACCATTGATCACAGCATATCACTTGCCCCTACTCAACACCATTGTACACCGGTACTACAGAAATACATTTTCTGGCGCGTGCACCTTCACAGGAAGTCGGCTGGAACCTACCTGCGTGTATCTACATGACTGTGGATCTAGTCAGAGGAACACTCAAGTTGTGATGGAGGAAGCGATTCCTAGTGCCCTTATTGGTGATCTTGTTCTCAAAGACAGTGAGTTGTCATCTTGGCACGGCGTCATCAATCAGCTATGTAATGCAGACCCATTACGAGCTCAAGTAACTCCTGTGCTGCTGCGCATTGCGTGTGACCAGTCACCGCACAGCTCGAACGCTGTGAAGTGACCTCTCAGACACGGAGGAGAGAGGTCCGCCGAAACGAAGGGGGCCATTGGTTCGTAGCATGTCTATTGTGGACCCTCGTGCGTTACAAAACTTCTGCTATGGAGGCGGAAAACGAGCTACGGGTGCCTGAACAATCTTACGCAAAACGGAATGTCAAAGTTACATTCTTAACGTGTCTTCAATCCAGGCACATCGGCGCCATGTTCATGTATTTCAAGTCAGACTCTCGTGGCCTAGGTTATGTCCATCATCATCTTTGTCACTCATAACGTCTTCTATTGGACTGTGAAGATGTCAGACAACGATGTCCACATTGGTAACACTGACAAGGAGTAGAGTATTTCCTTGTCAGTTCGAGGGTCAATCAATGGTGAGGAGAGGTAGACGTTCGTAGTCAGTAATGTTGGCACGGAGTACAGGCGCCTTCGTGCGCGAAGGGGACGCCTGTTATCTGTAAGCCTTAACAAACCGAGCTTCTTTGCGCACTCACAGCCACGCAGCTAGCTTCATCAATCAAGCCGTACACTTATACAGCATTCAAATTCGATGATGGTTGCATGTCCTTATGGTTATCATGCTGTGAAATAGAGCGACTTAGAGGCACCCCGCTGTTGGCCCCCAGCCGATCGACCACTTCTCTCCCTTTGTTGTCCATGTTGTGTGATAGTTACTGATTAGGCTGCCAACTACTACCCTTACGCAAATGGAGTGAGCTAATGTGAATTTGGCGTCATCACGAAGGAGAGTCAAGAATGACAGGCCGATGACATGATGGCACTCTCGCGATGGGGAGTTTGGGGCCTGGAAAACTAAGCTACACGCGCTTAGCAAACAGTTTAGCCCCTTCCATTATGTTGGTGAACTCGTTACATGACTAAGTCTAATGAATACATGTATGTATTTTTCTTTGGAGACCATAATAATATTATTATACATCTAGCTAAACGGACATAGCGGTATGCATTCTCGTGCAGATAATTATATAATTTTATTAATCAAAACATAGACAAGACTTACTTCAAAGGGCACGGCTCCGGGTTGCAAATCTCTCGCCTTGACCTCGGCTTCTTGTCCCGACCGCACACAAATTCAGGAAGGATAGTTCCGCCTCGCTCCAATGACGCTCGGCACACTGCCGTCAGCACAAGTGTTCCTACCAGGAGGCCCAGACAGAACGACACGGTCATGAGCAGGCAGAAATTTCGATTGCTGCCCTTGCCGCATCTGGAAGCGCTTGCAGTGGGTACACGACAGCACCCGGTGCACTTTCCCTCTGTTGCTGTTTCAGCGTCTGATCCCATGACTGTGTGGTCGCTCAACTAATGTGTACACACAGTGTCAATTCTTTAGAAAATAGTAAAGTTTCACATACGACTCTTTCATGTATGCCTCTGTGTTGGGACCCTAGAGGTAGCACCATGCGCACGTACATATAACTATTGATACTCTTGGGGAAGGTTATAACTGACCAGGTTGCCGCCGTGGCCAGACCCTTTCAAGCACTAGACCCTTCTTTCTGGCCTGTCAGTCGATTCGATGACCGGAGTCTGGCTAAGCTGCTAAAGAGGCTCGTCGCTCTTATACTGCTGGCAGTGTATGCAAAACAGCCTGCCGGGACAGGTCGCTGCCGTTGCTGGAGCAAGACGAGTACCTAGTGCCTACACGATAAATATTGTGATGTCGTTGAATAAGACACAAACACGCAGCTGCCGTGCCAGCGCGATGTAGATGTTATGCCTTGGGGGCCAGCAGCTACGGAGAACAGGAGCCAAGCGAGCGACGCATCCGTCAAAACTCGAAAGTGCACCGTTAAGTTCCCTACTTTTTGCGCGTACATGCCTGCAACTGGTACTACTGTTGAGCTTGTTGCGTATTGGATGATGACTGTGGTTTCACGCCGGGGTATTCGAAAGTGTCGCGAGGTTTTCGGCGGGAACAAGGTCTTTAACACCAGGTTCCTTGCATTCCTGAACCTCACCATTCCCGCGCGTCACGTGCCGCACGATGGGTGCGTGATATTTGTTCCCGCTGTGATGACCCCCTGGGACGTTTGCTGAGTCTCCCCATGACGCCACATTGCCCTGAGATATACTTGCCAGTGAGGCTTCCTTCGGGCCTCAATCTCTCTCAGTTCAGCGAAGCAACATCTAGGGTTGGAAGCGTGTCAGACCACGTCCTTTTGTTTAGCATTTGAGACACCTGATCCCTCAAGACCACTGGCCGTCCTTTGTCTCGGTGACTTGCATTTGCGTAATGCATTTAGCTGCAGCCGACGGGGTCGGCATGCAACATGAAACTGGACTAGAAGGCATAGTGCTACTGGATTGCCAGAAAGGCGCCGACGATTCTTATGTTCTGTGCATGGTCCAACGCATGTGATCAGACAATCCAATCCAATAGATCTCATCTCTCTCTCAGTCTCAAACTGATGAATCTCTTTCTCTCCCTGTCCATGTCTTAGGGTTTCTCTGCCAGGACAATCCAAACTACAGTCAACTTCGCTTATAACGACTGCGGATATAACGACAATTCGCGAATAACAACAGAATTTCCATGCCGCGAGCAAAGTCCCATCCCACTGGAATACATAGAATGAGACTTCGGGTGTAACGACACTTCGCGAATAAGGACACCTTTTTGATGCCCCGCAGAGTTTCGTTATAAGCGAAGTTGACTGTATGTCCAAAAATGACACATTGCAATTTATGTTTCAGGGGCACACACTCACAGGTACGGCGTATTAAAGCTAGGATTCAATGTTGGTGTTATCCACACGTGGCATACCCACTTGAACTGATCATTACCGTCTTGTTGGGCTCAACATACTTGTAAGAACATCGGTAGTAGCATGGCGTTGTAAAATGATCGATAGTAGTAGATAGTAGTAATGTTTAGTAAACATCATGTAGACTAGTGTGTACATTGATTGTCATTGCTCTACAATGGTGCGTGCGGTAGAGGGTGTCTTGCTGGTCCGTGTACCACTAACGCGATTTCTCATTGTGTTCGAGTCGACAATAGATGCGTGCACTGCAGGCACCGGGGAGCTGGAGGCAAACAATGCTGGTAAACTCAAGCCTGTGTCGAGATGCTTGCTCTAATCAATTTCCGTGAGCAGCCCGCTACTGCACTGTCTTGCTCGAGGGAGGCTGGCCGTGGCCGCTTCCGTACTCTCAGCTTTCTGCCTAACGAATCGGAAAACTTCAGCAATCGATACACAGGTTTTTAGCTGTTGGTTGCATCCTAACCGACAACCATGACTGTTCGCGAGTTATCGGTAAGGGTTTATTTCTTCCGCTGCTAGTGTCATCCTATCGGATGCAAGACTGTCGTCGGGTGAGCTTTAGAACTTCTACCTTCGAGCACCAGCACTGGATTCCTTCCTGACCTCATATAGCCCAGACCTCCTGTCGGGTTCTGGACTCCCATGTGCTCGCGTTCCAAAGCCCTTTCTCAATTACACTCACTTTATCTCTTGTCACGCTGCAGCTAAATGAGCTTCGCCAACGGCGGAAGTAGCTGCACTTCTCTCAGTGATCAGTTTCATCATGCAAAAGAAAGAGGCGAGCAAGTGTGCGAGCTAAAAATACTTCGGCAATGACTTACGATATCCCTGCGTCGTCGACTAATCCGTACCGCAAGGCATGTTGGCAGAGGAATTTAGCAGCGCTCGCAGCCCTTCTTAGCATTGCAAATGACTACACGGTTTACAGGCGAATTCCAATCTTCTTTGCGTCGGTTAGGAGAACCTCACTGGCAGTTTGGAAATTGCTGTGCGACATGGTTAATGGCAGATTTTGTCGATGTTCATCTTGTGCATTTGCACGGGAAATGTGGGTGTAGTGATATTTGGATAGCATTGTATGAGCCATCCGGCGCACTAAAAAGCATTTCAGGTTTCTTTCTCCAAACCTCCTATGGTAGGTGCGTTTGGCAGGGCAATGGCGCTAGTTGATTCAATTTCAAGTATTTTTAGAAGCCATTCATTAAACACGACATTTGTTCAGTCGGTTATGTCCCTAATCACTGTCGTGGTTGCCACTTCTTCTCCATCTGCGTCAGCTCATAGACACAAGTCGTTGATGGCAAACACCTTGACTCACACATTAATACCACCCGTTCCATGCAGGGACAATATGTGTGCAAAGCGAGGAATACAGTGCAAGGTTGCCATGCGTAGTCTAATAGATCAGCAACGAATTTTTACCGCTGAACCTATTCCAGACAGACCATGTCTGATTAAAAACCTAGAGGACAAGCCTGGATATTGGGACCTCGTTAGGGCTAGCCAGCAGGGACCGTTTGAGTTGCGTCGCCACGTGCTGTGTAGCACTGAACTCAAGTGATATACATGTACATATACCTGTAACTAATAATTCTTACACCACATCGCCTTGTACATGTACGTGGTTGCTTTACGTACTCATGCGGTCTGATGGGTACTTTGCAACACATTGTATGTTAAATCGTGTTATCAGCCAAGAGAGAAGTATTGGTTTTAGCATTAACAATTTATTCAATGGCCGAGAGCTCTGTCGCACCATGTAATAATAATTTATTTGACGTTTGAATATTGTGCGACATGTACAAAACATAATCACGCATGCATCATGGTATACTCAAGCCTATCTACACAGACCTCGTCTACACTACGATAAATATCGTGTCCTGTAGGCTATGCACAACATTCCCAACTTTCACAATACAATATTTGAAGCTGTTTCTTGAGGTTTAGTGTGGCTGTGTCACTCATGCCCTCCTACGTGATTGGTAGGGATTCAAAAGACTTCTTCTATCAATTCGATTTGGTGTCGACTCGGGTCTTCAGCATGTTTGATCAGACCGTTCGCCTGCAAATTATAATCCGCTTCGGCAATCACTTTCATTTCGATGGTGGGGACACAACTCTTTTCAAGAAGCAACATGCCAGTGAACAAATCAATAATTAGATTGAAATTCTACGTGCGCTCCAAGCCTTCATCTTGCCCTTCACTCCTCTTTCTTTCTTCCCGTCAGCATTCAAAGAGGCCTGATCTTCATTCAATATGCCTGGAGGACATCGGAGACGAGTTCGCCAAATGGACAGGACTCGAGCTGAATTGCCTCTCGACGCGCCTTGCGCTGCCTCTCTAGGCCACCCTGTTCGCCGTTAACACACCCAGAAAGGTAGTCAGCGAAAGGAAACAGGTTCTTACACGGTAGTAGTACTAGAAAGCATGTAGCGTCGCACAACCAATGTACTCAAAAAGCACCATTGTGATATTTCCGCTCTGTTCTAGTACATCACGCACCCTTCACGCGTGTGAGAACGGTCAATAGCTGTACTTGAGACGGTCTCCAGTGTGTCGCTAGCTACTTTAACTGGTGCTTCAACAGACCTACACCCGAAAACGGTTCCTACCTGTAGGCAAAGCTTTCCAGCGAGTACATCTGAGCACCCATTACGCACTTTGTCACACCACGGTATCTGAAAGTAGAAAAAAATGGCTTGCTCATCTAGCTGGAGCCATGACGGTGCTCGTTTTCCTCCATTCAGATTCGTACATCTAGAACCTTAGGTGAGGAACTCCGTTAAAAGATCGTGGGCAATGCATAACTTGCTATCGGGCTGTAGCCTTCGAAACAGTTTTTGAAGCTCCGCCCGAACACATAATGTGTGGTTGAAGGTTAGTTCAAATGTTGTTTTCCTCCTCGATCACTGGAATGTTTCCGTGGCAGCTGCATCTTAAAATCGGACTTCATCTGTTGCGAAGATTGAACAAAGGCGGATGGAAAATCCTGCTGACGCCCTAGAAGTAAGCATGAAGATTGAGCTTACCCTCTATCAGGCTTGTACATGCACACACTGCTGCTATTGCAGGGTCCCAATTGGGCTAGATAGGTCAGAAATGCTTCCACAAGGAAGAGCCTCTAGCTTAAAGAATTGTGTTGCTTGGAATTAGTGCACCTCGCTGCCTCGTGCGTAAATCATTCGCCCCCTCCCCCACACGTTACGCCTGCAGTTAAATCCAACGAACATGAAACTGATTGTAGTCGACAATGGCAAGTGCTTGTTAGGGTTTTGTAACTCTCCGCTATGGCAAAGTGGCTGAAACATGATTATCAACGAAATCATTGCGTAATCCAGTAATACAAGTACATGTACACAAACACTTGGAAGTGAACATTGTAAATAGGCAGCAGTTATATCGACACGTTGCTTGCTTAACATACATGATGCCTCTTTGTACCTGCGTTTCCTGTGACAAGTCTGCAATTCTTCACTCCAACTGGCCTCGTTTGTTTCACAGCGGGATAAAAAAGCTCGGAGGCTTTGTATAGTGCTCAGAGTTTATTGGAAAGATCAACTGAAATTTTAAACACTGTTCAGCGTGGCATGACTTCAAACAATTTCGCCAAGTGCATGCGGCACCGAATTGTACATTGATTACTAACAAGGCGGCGCAATTCCCACAAAGAAATGCTAATGACAAATGTCGTACTCATCTCCTGACTAGACCTGCCCACAAACAGTTCCGAAATCCTTCACTCCCCACTCCATGTACTAACATGTGATCCAGGGGATCATTCAATTAGGAAATGTGACGTCATGGACACTATTTGCCACTCTTCTTTACATGTCGCCCAGAAATCGCATTCATCTAGCCTCGTTGAGTTTCTGTTTATCCAGTGACTACTGAGGTAGGATGGGTCAGGGGTCGGGGCATTTGTCAATAGTGGACTACAAAAACCTAGCATGGTCTTCTGCATGGAGTTTGAAGGAAGCACATCATAATAAAGGTGAAAGCCGCATCAGAGGAATGTGCCGCCTGTCCCCTTGTATGCTTATGTGCCGCAACCGGCGCAACGTGTGCACTGCAAAGCTATTCCAATCAGGTGGCATTCTCTGAGATACTGTGCTGTTTGCAATGCACGTAACTCCTATGGCGGCCAGAAAGACAAGATCGGGATCTACATGTGTGCTAAGCTAATAGGTCAAAGCCGTGCGGAAAAAAACAAATGAATAGCATGACATGAATAGTGGTTGGGAAACATTCTGGACACAGCCATGCAAAAATGATAAAATGGTTGAGCGTTTGACACCATGTGAACTCTCAGATGGTGCTTATTGCACTAGGGACTCCTGTAAATCAGCCCATTTTTCTACCTCATCCAATCTTGCTCGATTATCACAGGGAAGAGGATGTAGGATCCGTATTACTCCAGATGACCACTATTTCCAAAACCACACTCAAGTTACTGGTAGCTAGCTGAAAAAGTGCAGAATGGCTCTACTGCGACCTTGTACTCATTCCTGGACGTTCCGCGAGTGGCATTCCTATACAGAAACCTTTCGGCTGTCACGGTAAGTCAGTTGTTGTGTTTGTCCCTCAAGTTGTCTGCACTTAGCTGTAGAATTGACAGAAAGATGGTTTGATTGTGAGTTACTCTTCTCTTTGTCTCCTTCTATCATTCCCTCTCTTTCTTTCTCTGCCTTTTTGTCTCTCTCTCACACTCCCGCATCAGCGAATGGTTCCGGCACATGAACTGTCAATTGAGGCCGCTTCTGCCCCATTTACCCAGACATCGTTTTTAGGGCTTTGTTACGGCAGCGCCTAATATTATTTCTCATTGCTCTCTCTATCTCCTTCTCCTTCTCTCTCTCTCTCTCTCTCTCTCTCTCTCTCTCTCTCTCTCTCTCTCTCTTTCTCTCTCTCTCTCTCTCTCTCTATCTCTGCTGCCTATTTCCGTCATAATCCATGGCTAGGGGTATTCATGATGATAGTGAAACTAGAAAGTTTAAGAAATAATATGGAAACGATTTATGAAGCCACTATCCACAGCTGTAACAAGATCAGAAGCAATGAAACTGTTAACCTATAGTTGGGGTCACATTTGAACGAGCTTTTACTTTAATGCATTACTTCTACGCCATATTACATTGGGGTAATACATATAACACAGTACGATGTACCAATAGTAGTGCCTTTCTATGACTTCCCAGCAGGAATATAAGCAAGAATGGTTTGGTTGCTTGGTAGGGCTTCCTTTCCAAAACCTGAAGCATTGAAATTGAACGTTCAAGACCATTGCTAAACTTGCCATCCCAAGTTGAACTCCACTACCTCCACGGTTCCTACATTACAACAGGTATGCTTCATGCATGAACATGTATACTCAACCTGTGGACAGAACTGTTTCGTCCTGTGTGGACCAATCAGCGCAGCACAGGGAAAATGAGGCCCAACCGGATAGCAATGAAAATGAAATTTTCCAAAGCCAGATTTAATTCTCTGGTACAATTCCTGTTTGGCACTTTTAAAGTGGTCTTGTTAAAAACCATTTTTTGAAACAACAATAAAAACCTTACTCAGCCCTACACTACCCGTTGAGAATGTTTTGTCGCATGGGTACTCCATGCTACAAGTGTTATGGGCTGCAGTGCACTATCCCTCTCACCAATTCCAAAGATATTATTATTTAAAGGGCACAAAGGCTTTGGAAGAGCATGTCACTTGAACTAGAAGCACGTCCTAAGTGTGGACTGGGTCCACTTAGTGAATCAGTTAAAACATCCTTGATTCCAAATGTGCGTACCGCTCTGTGTATCCATCAGATATGCACCTAGAACAACCTGAGTAGCACGCCACTGGTTTTGATACTTGACAGTTAAAACAGATTACTAGTAGTGGTTAGTGTGGTAGGCTATGCTGCATTTCGCCATTAGCCCCTGGTCAGGAACTGTACTGACCGTGAAATCCATCTCAAAAATACCTGATTGTATCATTAATCATTTTGGGCGGTGGGGGACGGGGGGGGGGGGGGGGAGGCTGCATTATTGCCCAAAGTCCAAACCAACAAGTCTTTTAAAAAATGAATGTCCCGCCAGACTTTTACAACCATCAATACATTCTGAATGCGTGTGTTGCTGCATGCAGCGACCAATGCATCAGAAACTAATCTGTAAGTAATCAATGCCTCGCTTACATCATCAACTAAGGTTGCCTTTATACACACATGGTGATAAAATGATTGATTGGATATTATTCCACAACATGATCCAAATTCCATAGAATGGTAACCCTACGAATGCCTAATACCATCATACAAAAACCACATGTTAATTAACCCTGCTTACCTCCCCCACACTCTTTGCTACAGTTACTTAGGTCGAATTGCCAGCCAAAACCTTCCAACATAAAGATCAGAGAGAAAAATACGCACACACACAACCACACACACACACACACACACACACACACACACACACATACACACAAAAAATATTGCAGGATATACTAGATTTGAAACTAGTCTTTGTGGTCATTTACAATGTTAATTTTTACACCACTTGAAGAGAAGAGATTCCTAATAACAAGTGGTAGAGAGGAATATTGATTACGCTCAAGATGGATACCACTTTGGGATTGTGACCCCTAATTGTACCGCAATACATGCTTCAAGATATTTGAGTGGTTTTGATGTTTTTGTTTCTTTTTAGAATGCAAACTCAGGGACATTCCTGAAATTACACTGACAAATCTCAAACGCATTTCCTGTGAGAGGTATCCCATGGAATGAAAAGCAATCAAAAAACTAAGTTTTCTCTCAGAGGAGAAGTATAGTCAAGTGGTGTATGCCAAGGCGAACAATACTAGAATGTAGACAGTATACAGCCTGAGTGAGATCCAATTTCATGAAACATGCGCCGGTGACAGACTATACTGGCAGCCATCAAATACCTTACAACGATTCATCAAGACTGGCTCCATATCGTCTAAATTTATTCAAGCAATATGGATAATTATGCAGATTTTTCACTCAATTCGAGGTGGCAACACACAATGCTAGGCTCACATTAATGTCATTCATTGACATCATTGATCGATAGTGGGTGGTACATGTATTCCTATTAATATCATTATGTGGAAAACTGGGCCTCCAGCCTCCATCCAAGTCTCACATGAACTGTAAAGATTTAATTTGTTTGTCTCCTTTGGAGTACTCAACATGATACATGACGACCGCCAACTTATACTTTTAGGACGATAACACAACTGTGCTGATTACTCCAATCGGTGATACACTATGGGGGAAAATATTGCGCTGTGTTTCAGGGGGGAGAAAAAGAGGCCGGCACACAAGCATAACTCCTGTTTACGGACAAAGGAATTATTCATGAATGTATGTGCGCAAGCAGTTGGCTGTGTGGGAGACTGTGTGTGTGCTGGGTGGGGGGGGGGGGGGGGGGGTAAAGCATAACATTGCATTACAACCTTGTTCCATGCTTTCAACGGTCCTTACTGCAATTGCGTGCGGATGAACAAGTTCGACTCTGCATCGGCCTGTGGCGGACTGCACAGTTGGCAGAGGGGCGTCCACTGTCTGGTGCGCGGCACTCCACCGTTCTCCACTGGCGTCCTACCGTTGCACCGCACTGAGCAGAACACTGAGTACAGTATGGAAAAGGTACACTCATGTATGTGTTAGGACTTGGAATGAAGAAAAGGTAACAATGCAGTGTAAATGACTGAAATTCTAAATGACTGAACTGATACAGATTTAACATCTAAATTGGTGAAAATGGAGTGGCAAGCAGTCCCTTCATTAAAACTGGTCCCGTTGCCTTGGAAGCTCGATTTAGGCCAAAATGAGGCCCAAAACCCGCTTTAAGCTTGAAAATCTGGGCTTGGGATTTGCTTCTCCACACATTTTGTCACGGTTGGCCTTTCCTTTCTTTAAAACCTGGTTGGTCTCTCATGTAACAAAAATCTCCCACATCTCCCAGAAGGGGTAAATCCTATTAATATTATGATGCCCTCCCTAGGCTAAATTCTGGTTCATACCTCGGACCATTTGCCTGTAATCCAAATCCCACACGGAGCTGCTTGGCACGGTTCTTTGCGTGCCGGTGACCTCGGTCCACAGAGATCCCGGCTTGCCTCGCGTTCAACGGTCGGGTTTTGATAGCCGTTGTCGGTCACGTTAATCGTCATCTTCACGCAAATCTGCCGCCTGTGCCTTGTGCCATTGCCACACCTAGCGCTACAGAGTAACCAGTCAGCCTCTAGCCACCTAGTAATCACAGGAAAAATGAAAAGCAGTATAATATTATGGTACAAGTTCAGTGTAACATTCAATTCTTCGAAGGTCTAAGGACTGTGAAAGGTTACAAAGGTCGTCAAAAAAGCAATATTTTTACCCAATGAAAACCAGTTATCGTTGTAGAGAGTACTTTCCTACTTATATTTAAATCAGACGTCTTAACCGTCTCCATATAGTTGGTGGAAATTGGCACAAGCACGCAATTTACGAAACTTCGAACATGGTCTCTGTGTGCCAAGGCTGGCTTGTGTTTCTAAACATTCAGGCGATGCAGATGCTTATCCCGCGGATGTTTATTCACTCAAACCTCGTTTATTTGGGCAGTCCCGGACGGGGCATTGCCCGTAACTTCAAAATGTCTGTAACTCCGATTCACGTAACTTCTGATGGGGAAAAGCCATAATATATAATTATGGCATATGACGTCACTGTTTCAACTGAAAGCGACGAGAGAGTAGATATATCTCCAGTGAAACTCGCCCAAAAGGTGCCTGCGGTAGACCGAAGAGCGGGTAACTTCGGGATTCGTATAACCGGGGACGAGTGTGTATATTTAAAACATGGTTCCTGTGCTAAATTAATGTGGCAACTGATAGGCCAAGTTAGACCAAGTCAGAGTTTACAGGAAATTTATGATTACCACTGCAAGCTGATAGGTACAGTCAACTTCGCTAAAAAAGACTGCGGATATTACGACAATTCGCGAACAACGACATAATTGTCATGCCCAGAGCAAAGTCCCATCCAACTGTGACACAGATAATGAGACTTCGGGTATAACGACGCTCCGCGAATAAGGACACTTTTCTGATGCCCTGCCGAGTGTCGTTATAAGCGAAGTTGACTGTATTGCAAAAGGCTGAAAAATAAATTGAGTGTCACCACTAAGACTCAAACTAGGGATCTTGCCTTGAGGCCAGCAATGCTCTAAGTCTAACCATTGAGCTATGGATTATTGGTGACAGAGGGGTCATACCATGTACTGGATCACAGCTTACTGGTGTAATAGGATAGGACATGCACGATTGTGGCATTGTGTGTATCGCGTCCGGGGCTTGGGACTGCGGCTGCAAACGACGTCATTGTAGATCTGATGCCTACCGTGGTCGGACGCCTGGCAAACTGCACTGTGCTTCCTCACTCCTGGAAGAACAGACACAAAAGGGACAGTCACATGGGTTAATACAGATGGAATATGCAAAGGACAATTATTACAAGGCACAGGTGGCAAGAACAGGTAACAGGGACAGATTCGGGGGAAAGATTCCAATAATAGACACAACAGACAGATCATCCGTATCCACACAGGTCAAATTCAAAGTACACACACACAATTATAAAATTAATATTATTCACACATATTGGCCAGATGAGTACACGTGGCCCATGCACCATGGGGGACCCACGAATACAAACCAGCATATATTCCATCAGCAATACAAGTAGGCAAAGACAAATGAGAGCCCAGGCAATGAAAACAAAGCGAAGAGAGATGAGGACAAAGGCCGCGATTTCACAGTTCAAAAAGATATCCTAACAAACAGAAAGTGTGCACTTACCTCCTCCACACGAAACAGAACACGGCCCAGTAACAACTCGCCAGCTGCCAACTATCTCATCGCCAATGTGGAAGAATTCCTCGTGCTCCACTTCGATCAAACTTTGCTCGTGGTTTGCATCCTGCTGCACACTTCTCTTTGCAATGAGCCCTTGGTGGTTTGGTCGATTTTCGTCTTCTGATCTAGTGGAGCGTGTTGGTGTTATGTCAGGATTTCGTTCACGCTGAAGGCGGTCTCTATTATTTGTGTGCATTCCTAGACAGAGACAGAATGCAAAAAAAGATCAGATACGCTGTGAAAGCCAATAGTGTTGTCACACATCCATGCTACTATTTTCTGCTTACTAGAGATATAAGAAGCAGAATAAAGAAATCGTGTGTGGAGTAACACATGAAGCATCTCTCAGAGCCCTCATGCACTACACTGCTCGTATGACGACATGGTTTTGTTTGAACCAAAGTACCTGGTTTGAAACCAGAAGGCAGTTAGTATGAGGCTCACAAAAAAATCAACTCGCTCTTCTTTTACGTGTAGCTAATATTGTCCAGCAAATAGCATTGTAAGAATGGACTAGGATGGAGAGCCAAGGATTAATTTACACAAAAGAACAGCGGCCAAGGAAGTACAAGTAACGCTATAAGCATGAGCTGATCGTTTCGTAACTGTTGGTGTTACTGGACATTATAGCGTAACTTGTAGTTCCTTGGTCCTTTTTCTTTTGTATAAATAGCATTGTGTTTCTCTTGGTGTGAATACTTCAAGACAGTGATGAGCGTCCAATCCACTGGCGATTAGAGTCCAATGTCCTAGTCCAATGCGCTAGCCACACAATTAACGACACGAAAACTAGGATGGTTGCTATGAAGTGTACAGAACGCCAGGAGTGTGCCGCTTGAATCAATGCGTTGCTGCAATGGTAAAACTCCGGGAGTACATTATCTTGGTCTTGTATTGCGTACAAGCGGGATGCAAGAAGGTCTCCTAATGCGCAGCCGCGGCTCAGTAGAGGACAATACACCACTCCTCCCCCCCCCCCCCCCCGTATCTGCACCAACTATGGTGGAACCTATAGATTTCGCCATAACAGACACCCGTGGAGGAAAGTCAAGCGCCTTACACCACTGGATCCGTTCACTCTTTTTGGTGCATTTCTACACACTAGATATCCGTATTGCAAAATTCTCTCCTCTCTTGATAAATGATCAAAGACGTTAAATGCTCAGTGTATTTTGGAAGCTTACGCTCTGGAAGTGGACAGTTATTGGCTGTGCCTTCGCAAAACCTCACTTTCTGAGGTCGTACACTGGGATTGCACAGTGCCAGGCTGGTGGTGGAGCGAGTATCTCGGACGTTGCGATCGCCGTCTTGGGCATCCTCGTGGCTATCGCTATGAGAGTGACGCAGGTGGCAACCTATGTGTCGCCACTGTATGCCTACACCACAGCTGGCAGTACACTACCGAACAAGAAACAGAAAGACGCAGAACCATTATGCTAAAGAACAAGATACCCAGAGCGGAACCATTGTTCACCAGTCACTTCCTTGTGAACTCCTCATGCATGTACATGTACATGCTGACCAAACAAGAAAGGGAGTGAACCACGCATACACATAATAATAATTACAGTCAACTTCGCTAATAAAGACTGCGGATATAACGACAATTCGCGAATAACGACAGCATTTCCATGCCCAGAGCAAAGTCCCTTCCAACTGTAATACATATAATGAGACTTCGGGTATAACGACACTTCGCGAATAAGGACACTTTTTTGATGCACCGCCGAGTGTCGTTATAGGCGAAGTTGACTGTATTATGATGGACGTATCACTAAGACTGAGGCGACTGAGAAATATTCTCTAGAAAGTACTAATCATTTGCCTCGTCATAATTATGACTAGATGGCTTCTACAGGTATCTCGTACAAATATGCATGCAGTGTGGACTGCCATATACCGGCATCTGAAATGCAGAATTAGCACCAAATGTTGCGTACTTTACGAACCAAAGAATCCTATCTAAAATTGCACACTGCCTTGGCATGAAGTTAGCAACGTTACGGGTTTCCGATGTGCTCAAACCAGTGCAGTCATAATAATTATTATGAATCACCCGATATGCCAGTCACTTTGTGAAAACACAAGCATGGTGATATGTTTCGTAGATCACCATGTCCACGAGTATTCTCACCTGTGACCACACGCTGATTTTCCACTTCCCGGGGCATGGCTGCATAGCACACTGGTCCTTCACCCTGGGCTTGGGCGCTTGGCAATAACGATCGCGAACGTGAGATCTTCGCCCGTAGCAAATGACTGGACGAAACATTTCACCTCCATCACATGTTGCGTTGCACAACGTCCACGTACCTTTCAGCCAAATGCTGCAGTTGAAAGAAGTCAGCAGGTCGGGCACAACCAGTTCAAAAAAAGCTTTGAAGATAAACTTTGTTCAACATATGCGGCCTTTTGCTCCACGTGATTAGTCTCAGTTCCTATCTTATCGCGTTGTTTTGGAGCAGGGCTAGGCTGGATGCTTACATGCCTTATGAAGTGTTTGAACTCTGCGCTGAACCATTGAACTATTGAACCTAAACAGAATTTTCAGTGTTTTAGGGCACTGCATGCAGTTTGCTTGCACGACGATCTGTCACCGTGTCAGATCTTCAGCAAAGATCCAGACAGCAGCAACTAGGTAAGTGTAGTACAGTAGGTCATCTATTACAAGCTTGCCCTTTATAGCCCTTTGATGGAAAGCAACTTTACTTGACTCTGGTTTCGCTGAGCGGAGAAAAAAATGACAGGACAAGTAACTAAAGCAAGTAACTAAAGCAAGACTTTGGCGGAGAGACGACATAGGCCCAATCATGTCATTACCAGGTGAGAGTGTTTCTGCTGTGTTTCATAGTACCCACGGCGAGAGTGATGGTGTGCTGAACGCAAGAAACATTGCAATAACTAATAATCATACTCCCTGTGTTCCATCCCTGGACTTATGGTGCGTGTGCATTGTTAGCACACGACAAGTGGCCATCACAAACCTGGACATTGCTTTGTGTTCCCAATGGTGTGCATTCTGGGCGATTGGACCATGATTTCAAAAGTACTTTTTGGGGGGGGGTCCTGGTGTACACTGGAAATCGTTATGCAACGAACCAAGTTGTGTTTGAGACTCAACTAAGCAACACTCCAGCTCGTTCGTGACCTGATGCATAAAGCAAGGATAAGGAGTTTACTGCGGGCTGGCGAACTCCAAATTTGTTTCCCAAATCCCACAAAATAAAACAGGAGAATAGCTAGATCGCGACAATATGTTTTTCTCAGAACGAACTCCTCGAATTGAAGGCTCGAGTGTTTTAAATTTTATGACCAACGCATATGGCCGATTGGTTTGCAGGCCTGCCTGCGAATCATGAGGTCCCGAGTTCGAGACCCGCGCTGGTAGCAGGGAGCGCGTAAAGACTTTTTACGTGAGTAAAGACTTTTTATGCGTGGTGAACTGCGCCGACACCCACGGTCAACTGGGTACTCACAGCTCGGAGTGAGGGTAACAAGGATGCAGTTTACAGGGTTATGGGCCGTTACACGCCCGATTGGTTGAGAGACTCACCTACTCTCCCCTTACTCACTTGTGAGGTCTGCATTCGCCACTAAGGTGTGCAAGGCATAGGCATAGTGGTGGCCTGCGGAAGCGAAGGCTAGTTTGTGTGTTTCTGAACATTCAAGCGATGCCAACGGGAATCCCGCGAATTATTATTATTATTATCAGTTCTATGAACTACAGCCGACAACACCCAAATCAGACCAACACCCAAATCAGGCATTTACTATGTACAGTACTGTTACTGCGAAGATTGTCAAGTCCTTTTCCTGCAAATGCTGAGCAGATTCATTCAAATAAATGTGCCTTGTTGTGGAAGCAAGTCCTGGGGCATGAATAATTAAAAAAAACTCACAATTCAATTGTTGCTGAGCTGTTCCGAAGACCAGTGGTGGGTGTTTGCGCTGTTTGAGGATCCGCTTGCTCTGCACAGTCCCCATCTCCACTGAGTCCCTCATCATTGGCCGTAGCTTGCACACCACTGCCACAACTAGCCGCTGTAGGGAATGCTTCCTGCAGGAAAACTGTACATAAAAGCAAATACTTCACTTTAGAATTCGGTTCCCTTTCGGAGTGCCAACTGTGCATGTGTTCACAACCACAGCCAAACCAGGTCAGGAGCACCAACCCGTCCATTTCTAACTACATTTTACAGGGAATCTTTTCCTTTCTCTGTGGGAGCTGTACCTCACGCTAGATTAAAAAATGATGTTGCATTTCTCGTCGACTGTGCGCAGCAATATAGGCGAGAAAATATGATAACTGGCGTGTTCTTTATCGGCATTTCTTTTCCTGACTTTTCACTCAGTTTTGAGTCTCACCAATGTTCCTGCCCTTCCACCGTTCATTATTGTGCATCTTAAAACGTACTGCTTTTTTTACTTTTCACCGTGATGTGCTTGTCATGTCTACATTTTGCCAAATCGCCAATTTGGATATACACACAGTTTTTTCCTCACTACTGCGTGGGACGATGAGTTTTTTCGTGGCTGGCTCGATTCAGGAAAATTAATCTGACGATTGCAATCGGTTCTGCATCATGGACTATTTCTGTTAGTCGAATGCACACTTTTGTCATTTGCGAGACTCTGTTTTTAGTTCTTGCTTTCATGTCTCACTCATTGTCCGGTTCACATCTGGCAAAGGCCAAATTCCTTTCAGTTTGTGTGTTGTCGATACCGCTGTCTATATCTCCGTGTGTGCCAGTATATGCTGAGCAAGAATGCAATTACTCATTACTAATTGACGGAATTGGTACAGGACGTAGGCATTTATGACCGAGATGTGCTGCGTGATGAGATCCGTGTACTTCCTCTGAAGTATATGTGTATGGAAAAAATCTGTGATCCCAATCCGTGATCCCTGACAGTTTCGCATTTCAGATACAGTAGAGTTACAATTATTCGCAACCCTCGGAGAAGGAGCTGTCTCCAGGGGGTTCAGATGAAAAGAAAGTTCGGATAAGGGAGCAGTCAAACATTTATCTAAACATTCATTACATTCTTTTCGGCAGCACAACAGGAACTAGAAGCACTCCAGCTCCTCAAAATGACACTATCGTTTTACATGGTGGATCCAACTTGTTGTAGTACATCTTGTACATCACGTGAATGGTGCTCAGAGCGGCGAAAATCAGCAAAAACGACGAGAACCCACCCAATTTGGATTTTGTTGAGCCCGACCGATAATCGATCATCCGGATAGTTCTACTGTGTGTTCGTTTGCACTTGTTACGTTTAGTGTTTTTATTTTTGTCACTTCGGCAGTCTCTAGTGGTGATCGTCAGGGTCACCATGGTGTTCACGTTGTGGTTCGTCTTGCATTTCACTTGAAGACGATATCACAAACTGCAACTACCCCTTCTTTAAATTGATGCAAATCAGTATAAATGAAACTACTACAATTAAAATAGAAATTCAAAATTTGTTGACATGCTGGCCTCAAGCGAAGGTCGCTGATTCAAGTCTTTGTGGTGAAAATCAATTTTTTCGTTAGCTTTTTCCCGTTTCAATATTTCCCTTCTACTAGTGTATGTTGAAAAGGAATGGATATAACGAAGACAAATCGATGCTATACAGGTACATCTGGGACATGAGAGCCACAAGAGCAACTACTGGGCATAGGTAAGTAAAGCTTACGCTATTATGGCTATTGTATAAATGTGCGTGTGCAAGCATAATATTGGGGCATGGGTCGAGTGGGTGTTAGAGGTTGCGGTAAGTATTTGAAATTTGCGAAAATATGCATGTGATGTATGTTTGTGTGTGTTTGTGTGTGTGTGTGTGTGTGTGTGTGTGTGTGTGTGTGTGTGTGTGTGTGTACTTTAGCGAACCGTATAACAGCATGACTTGGAAAAAAGCATGACCGTAATACTATTAGATGCTGATTTTTCAAAGGGCACCTTGACACAGTAGCTCGATTTGCTGCTCTCTGCCAAGTACACTTACAAGTACACTGTACTTGCACAGTACATGCGTGGCAGCATGTACTGCACAGCTTAGACTAATGATGTTGACATAGAAACATGTTTTGATTAGAAGCATAACTTGATTCGGAGAATGGTTGGAACCACAGCTGACATGGCCATGAGCACCTCATTTTCTACGCCACTTTACGGTGTGTCTGTGTGTGTATGAGCATGGGTGCGTGTGTGTGTGTGAGTGTGTATATGTTTGTCTGTGTGTATATGTGTGTATGTGTGCCTGTATGTATGTACATTAGCATTCGCATGTGTGTGTATGTGTGTGTATGTGTGTGTGTATGTGTGTGTGGGTGGGTGTTTTTGTGTGTGTGTATGTGTGTGTGTGTGTGTGTGTGTGTGTGTGTGTGTGTGTGTGTGTGTGTGTGTGTGTGTGTGTGTGTGTGTGGACTTGGCACACCTCCCAGGGAGGGTGCTCTTTGCGGAGCTGCCACAGACCCGCCCTCGTCATGGCCCAAAGCTCACCACCCAGAAAGTGTGCATGCTGTCAAAATTGTATATTATGGAATAAGCTTTTAGAAGCTTCCACATTACATTTGACAGTAAAGGGTCGTCTGGGCACTTGAAAATGCCATGTATTGTCTAACAAAAGACACAAAAGGCTGTGGTATTTTCTTGAGGGTCCTGCATATTTGTAAAGATGCAAACACGCCTCTTCTGACTCCATATCAGTTCTGGAGCCAATGCTTCCGCAGATCATCAGGTTTTGCTCATTTTATCTACAACTATGGAAATGGCCTCTGTTCGTCTTGTCGTTGTCACATTCTTCTGTGGTAAACTCCGGAGAACCAAGTGCCAGAGATAGAATAGCGATTGTGTTGAAAAAACCTAGCATGACCAATGGATCTGAGTGGGCTGACTTAGATTTCAAGGAGGGAACGGTACACAATCAGTCTATGCGACCTTCTTTATGTTGGAAAGTGTCTTTGGTCGCCAACCGGGGTTTTTGATGTCTAACCCTCTGAAAACACACTGGACACGTAATGGGTTGCTTTCAATGCCTGTGAAACCAAAGCGCAGGGCCTTTGTATTTAGACATACTGAGACGTACTGCTAAATCGGCATCAGCTGAAACATACAGGCAATGCTTAGTTTCTTTTATGACTCGAAACATTCTTCGGTCGTGTTCATTATTCTGTCTGGTGTTGCCAATTGCTTCGTGTAGTCTCCAAATCGTGCGATGAACGTACGCCTCCAATGAGCATGAGACGTGTTCCCTGAAAGGCTCCAAAAAGATTTTTCTTCACTGCTCTGGTCAATTTACAATGAAGCGCCTGTGAGTGTGTCAGTTCGGAATTACAATATTGGTCATTGGGATAGCAAGTGGTTCGTTGTTGCCAGTGATTGCCACACTGCCCGGAGCGATGGGAATTCAATGATTTTGTTAGTGACAGGAAAGGACCAAAGGGCCCTATTTGCATAGTAATTACAGAGCACCATTGTCGTGTATAAACTTGTGACTTCCAGAGTGTGACTTCACAATCAGCAATTATCCGCCAGACAATTTCCCAGTGGCGGCACATCTGCCAGCGTTCGTACCGCACCTCTACAAACGCATGCTTGTTCCAGGTCAGTCAAGAATCGGGGAGTATGCCGGTGATTAGAGGACACAATACGATAATATGGAACCCTGTGCTTGCCTGTTCTGGGTTCACCTGGAATGCACCCGTGCTGTATTGAATGTTGTCATGTCTAATGATAGCGAATTGACAGTATAAGTCTGGTGTTATACATGCACATGAGTGTACATGTCTGTCGCTATTCATTGTTAACTCTCACAGTTCCTCTTGACAAGGGGGACACGTGATGCACACTAGTGCAATGCTTACTAATATACCAATCGTTGTTGTCTAACTAAGATCAAGATCTTGAAATGAATAACTGGTTTTTGTTCTCCAATGACCTCCATAGGTATATATATATATATCGGTATCCACAACATAATTATTACTCTTCCGCCGAGACACGTTGGACTGAGCACTTCACATCCATGTCATTATGCGCTCCGGAGACACATTCACAGACCAGACAAGGTGTGGTGCGTACGTTTCGAAAGTCAGGTTGACTAATGTCCAAAGCAATATGCTCCTAAAAAAGCCTATTTTTCGCCTCGAACACTGTCTGTTGCTCCGTTGTGCAGTGACGAGTCAGACAAGACATTTATTCCGTTGCATCTCGAAGCGGACGAATCGCTTAGGCTTTCCACGACCTTACCTAAAAATAGTTTTTGTCCGCGCCCGCTGTTGTGGCTGCGTTTAAGTCTGACGCACAGTACATGTACAGTGTAAAGGCTAATAGTGATTTGTTAGACGCCCTGGGTCAAGGCAGCAGCAGCAGCAAAGCCATTGATCGAGTGATGCAAGAACAGGAAATAGAGATCACTTAATCACCATGTTAGCAAGCATTCAATCACGGCACTTTTTAGCTTGATCAGCTAGGCCAGAGTTGTTCCAGACAGAGGGGGAACGGCGGGTTTACGGAGTGGATTAGTCTGGCGTGTAGCGTTTCATTTCGTCGTGCTCGCCTCCAGCTGGGCGCTTCTGCCACGACACAGTCCAGTTGATGGAATTACGTTACTGGCCCTAGCCACCGCAGGGGCCCTAGCCATGTGGAGTTGACGTAGGGTAAGCTGAACGAGGTGATAAGTGTGACGAGGACTTGATTATATCAGCACCTACTGATTTCATCACTCAGTGACCCTCTTCGGCTTTGCAGCGATCTGCTATGCAAACGTAATTTCATTGGCTGGGAATCTGCCAGTCTGTCGCGCTCTTTCACGCTGAACAGCATTCACCAGTCAGGGATTTCATTTATTTCAAACTTCGTGAGAGCATTCGATTCTCTGAGACTTTCTGTCTGATTATACATAATAAATTACTGGCGTAATAGCCGTTTAATAAACTACAGAGCACTGTATTGGTCACCGTGCAAGTGCAATATGACCGCATATCGGCGGCGTAGGGGAGAACTCTATGCAGATATTTATGGGACTATTCACATAAAACATTGTTTCTTCTCCTAACTCAATAAGCACTTGAGCCTGACGTGGATTCCTCAGGTGCAGCAAGTACCCAAGTGTGCACAGAAGGGCATCTGTACACAGTCATGCCCTCTCTAAACAAACATGCTCCAAAGAGACTCTTCGGCCTCGGCGCTCTAGAGCCTTTGATGCTGTACCATAGTCAAGCCCTGGACACCACATAACATGCGCTCCCCGCTGAGAGATGGGCAAACTGTACAACGCCCAGATCTCAGAGAGTGGTGGATGAACTCTGACGGACAATGAAAATCGCCTCTGGCGAAAACCCGATCTCAATTAGAGGAACGGGAAAGGAGCACTCCGGAAATTTTCGACGACGAAGCCAAGAATTCCAGTTGCTCTTTCAACAAACCACAACGGCGTTACTCATGCACCACAACAGGACGCATTGATGACTGGCAACAGTGTTTGTCGTCCATGTGGTTTCGAAAACAGTCAACGTCTCTGGCGTCGTACAAGCACACTCTTTTACTCCACTCACTTTTTCATGAAATTTAGGATTTGAACTGGGACGCCAATCCGCTGTGAATTAGGCCTACTGTGAAATCCATCTATCCAAGAGGAGCTCGACTGACAAAACCTGCCTTGTTCATGATGTGTCTAAAATGATTTTATTTATTTATTTACTTCACTCAACTCGTGGTTCATGACCAATTGGCACGCAAAGTGCGAGAGAGGGATTGGCCGAGCCGCATTCCCCCTTTCTTTTCATCAACATTACGTGCTCGCCATGATGGGCTGAAGTTAAACAGCAGGCCACCATATTTTCCGATTCGCATGCTCGATCTACGCTGACAGCTTCTCCGGGATAGGGCCGTTGTTTCTATTATCATTACCAGGTGAATTTCTTTGTAAACCGTTCGTAAGTCAGGGTGTGGTAGGTTTGGCGGTGAATATTTTTCGCTGGAGTACTAAAATGCTGACTAAAGAGCTCTATAAACTGTCATTCTATGAAAGGTTGGACAATTCACTTGCCCAGGCAAGAAAACAGCAATGCCTGTTTCTGCTGGCGAATTAAGATACAATCCCAAGCCATTCTGCATAAGCGAAGCTGTGGACGCAGCATAATGCTGCTACACTTCAACGCGGGAATGCGTATAATAATAATAATACCAGCTAACCAAACAAGCCTTAAAAGCCCCATGGTCTGTCACACAGTTTCATCCCTACCTGCAAAAAGCAGCATGACTTGTATGATTGCTGCCGACTTGAATTGAAGACACCACGCCATCTTTCGTCCTTGCTGAACCTGACACCTAGAGTGATATCCTTTCGAGGGGGAAGACAAAACGACGTGCGTGTTTCTGACCCCAATATTTCAAGGTACGTACTATCTGTTACTTCTTCTACTCGCCAAAAGTGACCCACTGGCAATGCACAGTAAAAGTGACACGGAACAGGCAGGTTGACAAACTTTGATGTAACTCGTTGACGCCAACCTTTATAACTTACACCCATTGGCGAACCCGATCCCTGCTACGCCCGCCTGCTATCAGGGTTTCTTCAATCGCACTGATCCTAGCTCGGTTCAAGTTAGTTTGTCTGGAAACTCTCGCAACTGCATCATTCCCGAACCCATCACTCTACTACGATAACTTGATCAGTGATGACTCGCCAGCTAGTGTGCCGTGCATGCATGGGGGTGCCAGAGCCCGAATTCAAATGCCGGGCAACGCGCTCCACAGTGTGTTTTTGCCAATCAACGCCACTTGAGGTGGAAAGGTCCACGAATCTACCCCGCTCTCATCGCGACATTAGGCTCAGTTATGACAAGTACGGGAGCCGCGACAGTGCATAATCGCAGACCACGAAAGCATCTTGTTTCAGGCCGTGCAACACTACAAACTGCACGGCTGGCAAAGCGCTCGAGAACGCTGATATTGAAAAAGACCAATCTGCTACAGCAATGGTTGCCCGTCTGTTCGTATTCTCGCTCACCTATTTCTATCACTAGTTTTACTTGATCAATGAAAGTTAGAAGCCAGAAAATAAGTACTGTATCTTAGGGGCTATCATAAAAAGCTTGAAATATTCCTTTTAATTGTATGAAGACTTAGTGTGCCGGATCGCGTAGATGTATTTATAAAAAGTATCAATTTTCTACTGTACAAGATTGCAGTTCTACAATGGCGATGCGAACAACCGTACTTGTGCATCCCAAGCGCGATAGGACCATTCTATCAATTATATCATCAGTTGGAGCGAACCCCGATTGATGTTGCCTAAATGCGCTCCACCATGACCTCGCCGCCGCGCAGTTCGCCTTTGATTGGTGACAGGATGGTGAATGCAAATTAGTCAGCAAAACTCTCGAGTTGAAGCAAATCTAATGTAATTTGAATGGTAAACTCTCAAGGTACAACATTGCGACATCGCCCAACATTACCCCGCCGCGACAGTGTTGCAAGGCGTTGGACACGACGGGATACTGGGATAATGGCATAGAATAGTCAATCTGGCAAGCGCCAACGCATTGCTTGAAGTTTACAATAGAATGACATGACATGACATTTTACTTCAGGAATTGCACCGGGCTGAGTGTATAAAAATACTGGCATTAGTGAAGCACTACAGAAGATAGCAACAGCAGTTGCAGATACATGTGGACAAGTAAATTTGATCGGTTTTATTCGAGAGTTTCATTTCATAGTAAAGTGAAAGCCGCCCCAGGCATGCTCTCCATCGAGTTACAGGGAGTGGGTTTTGAAAATAACGTTATTGGTGCAATGTGCACGTTCATGTACGTGTGTACATGTAACTGTGTGCTGTATGCTTTGATGTTTGCAGTTCAGTTTCGTGCGATAAGCGAAAGATTGGAAAACAAAACTTGACTATCTGCGGTACAAAGAATGTTTGATCCATCCAAGACAGTTGAACTAACTGAGATCTACAACGACTCGGGTCTGGGATAGTCGGTGCGATACATACCCGATGGTGTCAGGATCGTGACGCGTTTAACTAAGCCGAATAATAATGAGCTTGCACGTGATTCTTGCCATTGATTCTTGGGAGAAGAAAAATATCAGTTTACTCTTTGGGTAATTACAGACTCTCGCTCTGGGTGACACCACAATATCCCACCCACATGCTGATCATGTCTGCTCAAACCCAGTATCTTTATTTCAGTTTAGATGTTGAGTGTGTGCATTTGCTTGTGAAATGCCCCATTCAGCCTGTCCCCCGAGGTGACATGTGTGACAGGGTCCATTTGGTAACGGTTCCAATGTTATGCAGTTCCTCCTTTCTTCTATTATTATGAAAATTGGACTCAGGTACGTGTACAATTGTGGAGACAATGGCCACTATGAATACCTCCACCCCTGAGAAGCGTAGACAAAGAATACATAAGTGTATAATGCTTTCTGTGGCCATGGAGTGAGTAGCTCAAATAGCAAACACAGCGATCGTGACCTTGAACGTGCGGGAAACGTCCGAAAGGAGTCCACCGGCTTGCCTCTGGTGCCAATTCCCTCTTAGTACAACTTCGCAGGTCACATACATGCGCATGTATCTGCTGTCATGAATGTTCAGTTACGACATTTTTTAAAGAACTGACCACAAAGGAATGCCAAAGCGTCCAAAAACACTAATATCTCAAGAGTTGGTGAAGTCTAAAACTTCACCAAGTCTTGAGATATAATCACTACTTCAATTTTAGCCAAAGAAGTTTGTGTCAGTGGACACTGGGGGGTAAGGTGTAGAGGCAATACTTAGTATCGTCTTACTTCACTTGGTGCCATCACCCCAATCCACCATTATCATCCCTGTCGCCAAGGCAAGGGAAACGTAAGGATGGTGATAGTAATTTACATTAATTTTGTCAAGCAGGTGCCTAGTTTCTGACACCTAAACTTGATATGCAGCCAACATGCCCGTTGTAAATGGGTTGCGTTTTTAGTTTGGTATCTTGTAAATTTGATGCACCAACGTACACGCAATATGACTCTACACAATGCTGTAGACAGCAAGTTGTTTCGGCCATAAAGACCTCATCAGTGCAGCTACAAGCTAGACACGTTGCCAACCATGGTGCAAAGGTGGCACCACCGACATTAATTTTAAAAGGCAACTCGTTGCTCTAGCGCCAGAGTGCCCAAACTACGAAAGGTAGCAGGCGATGTGTGATGCACCCGAACTAACGCAGCCTTCCAAGAGTGCCGCAGACAGCAAGCTGTTTCGGCTATACATGTATGATTGTGTGTATGACTGTATGTATTTTCAATTTTTCGGTTCTTCACCATCATCAGGACCGGATCATGGTGTATCATAATGCAAGTGTGAAAAGCCATACATGAATCTACATGTATGTTGTGCTAGAAGGCAGCCTGAAAACAATGTCCACTTAGACTGAGTGGCCCCCGACTACTTCACATTTCGTGTATTGGTGGTTTGATCATCACCAGCCCGCAGAAATAACGGAACGGCACTTCAAGGTGGTATCCTAAGTTTTATTTGCATGATTCTCGTGCGAGCTTTGCGAAAGTCCAAATTCAGAGTCGGCCATTATCAATTAAACAATAATAATTATTATAGTTTGATTTCGCTCAAAATGCACATAACAATTAAACACAGGAACACACACTCGCTCGCACACACACTCACATGCATGTCCACAGAACTGTTCAGAAAGAACCTACTTATACATTCTACTTGTACACGAATACGTTCAACGTCACACTGGGCGGCGAAGTGATGCTAAGGCTACCCTACTGGGCGCAAGCCAGGCTTTTAGGGCTCCGTTTAGTGTCCTCCATTGCGTAAGGGCAAGCGGCCTATATGCGTAATTACATGTATGAACAGGGACGGTCAATGAACGATGATTATCTTAAACTTAGAACAGCTCGGATACACGCCAATTACGTCGAACTTTCACGGACTATTTCCAAGGGATGTTTAGTCACACGGCACAGCTACAATGTACATGTATGCCTTCTATAGATAGAAAATCAATGGCACCTATGCATAAAACATGGCGGCCAGGTCGCCATCGCGACTTCGCACCTTTGTGCGGGGCAACTTGCTCGACGCGAGGCTCTCCTTTGTTTTCAGTCGTTGCAGTGGAAGACAGTTTCGATATTAGTTGACAGGAAGATGGCAGTCAGTCAGGATTTTTCCCAGCTCACCTTGAACCTTCTGAAGGTGAAGTGTGGAGAGTATGGTCTCAAGAAGTCGGGAAAGAAAGCCGATCTAGTTGCGAGGTGAGTTGTTTTCTTCCCACAACAAAATCTTATTTTTTTGAAATTATTTGTGAATCTGAGTTTGTTATTTATCTGCTCGTGTCGTTTACAGACTTGCTCAGCATTTCTCTGAAGGCGACGGTGATGGCAAGGAAGGGCCACCTCCGCCAGCTGCAGCGCTTGCTGTTATTCCCCACGACCCTCTGGATTTTCCTGTTACTGGGTGGCAGCCGATTAAATCTGCGAGTGGAAGGCTACTCTCCCTGTCGTTCTCCATGCAAACTATGGTTTCTTATTTCGTGGACACTATGACCAGCGATGGACCTGCCAAGAATTTCAAAGCGCTTGCTGCCACTGATAGCAAGTCAATTCGTCTGTATCGAGCAGGTTATGTCCAGAAAATCGAACTGATGAAGGCCCACAGCCGTGTGTACTACCGTGCCCGCTGTCAGCCTGAAATGAAGACCAAAGCTGACTACAAACTTCGGCTCGTTGCTCAGTGTGACTCAGGATCTGCCACCAGTGTTGTTGGTGCTCAGTGCACTTGTCCTGCTGGCAAGGGTGTTACTGCCAGTTGCAAGCATATAGCTGCACTGATGTATGGCTTGTCCGAGTTCACTCTGCTTGGGTTTAGTGACGCTCCGACGTGCACGGACATGCTGCAAAAGTGGAACCAGCCTCCTGCAGGTGCAGGTAAAAAGAGTGAGCCCATGCTGGTTCAAGACATGGAGTGGCGTAGAGGTGGCAGTACCACTGACAAATCTGCGCCAAAGAAACGTAAGCATTCTGCTGCAGAAGTACTTGACCCTCGTGCTGTTGCAAAGCGGATGGACTTTGCCCGGCGTGTGGAGGAATACGCCAACTCAACCATTCACTCCAACTCCATCCACCTAGCATTGCCTCTTGTTGCTGGTAGCTCAGGATTTGCTGCTAAGCAGAAGGAGGACAGGTTGCACAGAGCCCAAGCGCAGAAAAAGGAGAGACTGGCTAGGGCAGGGGAACAGAAGGACAAGTGGCAGGTTGAGCACAGCAGATCAGGTGATGTGACACCTGTGCCATCTGACTGCGAGTGGCTAACTGAGGACAAGCAGATGCTGTGGTACGAGTCCAATGTCATACTTACTTGTGAAGAAGCCAATGCCCTGCAAGAAGCCACTGCATCCCAAACAACAAGTGAACTCTGGAGGAATGAACGAAAGAAGCGTATTACAGCTTCCATTGCCCATACTGTAGCTCATCGACGACCTCAGACTGACCCGTCATCCCTCATAAAAACTATCATTGATCGGCCGGCGTTCACCACTCCTGCAACCAGATGGGGGATTGATCATGAAGAAGAGGCACGATGTGCCTACGTAGCCCACCAAGCCAAGTCTGGCAAGCTGATAGATGTTGTTGCATGTGGCTTATTTGTGCATGCTGATGAATGCTGGTTTGGTGCCAGTCCCGATGGCATTGTTAGGGATGGTGATACATCACTTTTGCTCGAGATTAAATGCCCGTTTGTTGCTAGAGACCAAAGTCTAGCAGAGGTAGCTGGGTCTACTGCATCATTTTGTTTGTCCAACAAGGATGGTGTGCTTTCTCTCAAAACAACACATGCCTACTATACACAAGTGCAAATGCAGCTCTTTGCTGCAGGCCTTCAATTTTGTGACTTTGTAGTGTGGTCTCCCTGCAATGATCTTTTTGTTGAGCGCATTTCATTTTGTGAAGTGCATGTCAAGAAAACTCTCGCAGCTTGCCGAACATTTTATTTTGATCATGTTCTCCCGAAACTGGCTCTGTGATCAAGTTTCTTGGTAATAGATATATTCCTCGTCATCTGAGATGACCATTGCTCACTTTGCTCCAGTTCCTGTAGTCTTGACTGTTTACATTCTTCCCTGATTTGTGGCAATCTTTTCTTCTGTAAGTGCGTCTGAACTGTTCTATACGCTGCACTCTATGTTCTTTATTATAGCTTTTTCTGTTCTGCCCTGTTCTGTAGCTCCTTCTTGATATAAACGCCGTGATTAGATGGTGGATAGTTCCATCAGCTACCGGCTTCCTGCATTTGTACATGATTAGGTAGTGTTGTATACATGTACCCAAGACGGTGGAACTCTGCTGTAAACAGTGCGTTATAGTAAATTATACTGCCATTACTGGTAACCACTACAAAAACGGCACGTACAACTGGTTTACAATAGCTCGCCATTCCGTGTTACAACGGAGTTCAAAAAGGCATGAACGTTACATGAGTATTCGTATTTACTTCAAAGTAAGCGGCACTTGCAGCAGTCACAGGCCACATTTCCTACCTGGTGAACAGCACAAACAGACAAATAGGAGCATCACTACTTCTACTTCGAAGTACGAAGTCCTGAGTGAAATAAGCATCATTGTGTAGGGGCACCATTACTCACAACATAACACAAAGAAAAGAGGGGAAGAAAATACCGAGGCCACGTAGGAATATCGGCATGCGCAAAAAGCTTTCAACAGAGCGGCCTGGTCATAAAGCAAGAATTACATAGACGCCCATCTTCATCATCATTCTGACACATATGGTGGTAGCGTGAGTTACAAGACCTACAAACTCTAAGAAGTGGGCCATCTGAGCGCTTGCAAAACAAACATACGGGAGTGGTCACATAGGCAGCAGCGGCTACAGAAGAAGATGGCACGCTGATAGCAGCAGCAGTAGCAGCTACAGGAGATGGCACGTTCGTAGCAGCAGAAGTAGCAGCTACAGCAGATGACAACTTGGTAGCAGCGGAAGCAGCAGCAGAAGCAGTAATGGCAGGTGAAAGAAATGTGCCAGCTGAAACAGCCACTGCAGAAATGTTTGCATCTGGTGATATCTGGGCAACTTCTGCAGCAGAGGAAAAGTGTGCAGACTGTGTCGATGGCTTACTAACAGGCGGAGGTACCAGGGGCTCCATGTAGTTAGTGAGGAATGCACACACAAATATGATCTGCTCAGCCAAAGGGCACAACACGGAAGATAAGAAGTGAGTTATCCTGAAGTTCTTGATCCTTTCCATTGCTCTCTCCACATGAATACGCACGCTAGCAATACGCCGAGTTTCGATCACCTCTTCTTCATCAAGCTGATCTCGAGAACCAAGAAACGGGGGTATGTTGAGATCGACACCCTCCGGTAGCAGATCGGCAATGTCGAAACCACGGTCGGCCATGATGGCATCACCCTTCTCCATCAACTTCATTAGCCCACTTCGCTTTGTCAGTTTCTTATCAGAAATGCGCCCGCCATAAAGAGGAGACAGAAACGATATTGCACCGGTAGGTGTCACACCAACTAACAGTTTGAAAGTGTTCCTGTTTTTGTAATTCGACCAGGTGGCTGCTTGTACAGTTGGGTTGGCTGGCTTCTCAATGGGAAACTCTGTTGCGTCAATAATTACCCGGGTGCGTGGGTACTTGTCTTTGAAGACGTCGGGCATGTAGCGATCAATCAGAGCCCGGCTCGGCCAAATGTCCACTTCTTTCATAGAGAAGTACATGCAACGAATGTACGTTGAAAATATTCGGGACACCGTGGATTGATCTATTCCGAATCGCAGTGCTAAATCTGACTCAGGGAAAGCATGCCGAAGTTTGACAAGGGTCAATAGCAACTCGTCTTCATACACCAATGCTCTTCGTCTGCCACGGCTGTCCTGGCCAAGGAAATCAGCTGGCACTTTAGTAGCAAAGCACATGTCTTGACATCCACACCGCAACTGATCCAGCAACAAGTCAAACGCCAGAGAACTCAGGCCCGTGTAAAACAGTACAATCTTGTTGTCATGTCGGATGTTCGAGTAATGGAGTTGGCATTTCCGCAAAGCTTCTTCCGATTCATCCAAATTGTACAAGGCCTGCTCCAACTGGGACCGCAACTTAGCCACTTGTGCTTCCAAAGTCTTTATTTTGTTCTCTTGGAGAACGGGAACTTCACCATAATCATGGTCAGCTAAAAGTGTTGCAGCCTCAGGCACCGATTCATCTGTGACTGGTAAATCAACATCGTCATCAATATCAATCGCTTCAACGGGTCGACTGACTTCGCCTGTCGAAACACGGCTCTTCCTCTTCACTACGACGGCTTTGTCCAAGAAACGGGAAGGTGGCTCGTCCTCCGTCACAGGTCGACCACCAGGAAAGTGCACCCCACAGACATACGAGTTTCCAGAAAGAGGAGTGTTGACTCTTGGTATTTTGGCAAGCCACTCGGCCCTGATATGCCGGCGTCGATCCGAATCTTTAGGCAAACGATGAAAAGATACAGCTTTACAGACCTCTGCTGTTCCTCCGCAGCCAACACGAGCCAGATCTGATCCACATAGACGACGCTTCACAAACACTTTTCGTCCTTGCGAGTTCGCATCATCAGTTTCAAACAAACCAAACTTGCAGCTGCTTTTACGATTTGAGCAGCCAGGGACGATACAATGAGCGTTGCTTGGCATGATTGTGTCAGCTGCTTACTGATCTCTAACTAACTTGCTACTTATACACAACAGCAAACTGTGACAACCCTTGCCTTCCAAGAAGGAAATAAATGTCTTGCTTTGAGTTTGATTCTTCACCAACACAAAGGAAAAAAATTTGTACATTGTACTTCAGCCTCAGCAAACGCGAAGCAGGTACGTAGGGCTCTACGATCATCAGAGTTTCCACGCGTGCATGCATGAGACTGCATGCTGCGCTGCGTGGTGCAAGTACAGTGTCGAGGTTGTGAAGTTGCCCCGCACAAAAAACCGCGGGAAAATTATGCATAGGTGCCATTCGAGAAGCAAGCGGAAAACTCTCAGCGTGCTTGAGATGAAAGCCGCCTTGGTAATGAGCGTTACACGACCTGGTGTATGTCTGCCTAGGGATTTTAGCACCAAAGACACATGATGTAGGTGGCGAAATAGATGTACATGATTGTACTATACTTGGAAGTGCATGACATGTACAGTAGGTCTGAAGATTCCGTTCCATGCCATGCTCCTTTATCTAACCTGGGGACATTGTCAATGTTAGCGGGTCACAAACATGTGTACCTAATTATGTAATTAACTATGGCTGTTAAAGCGGTCTCCTCATTCACTCCCGCTCCCCCCCCCCTCACACTAACACCCATAATAATATTACGAGTTGACCTAGGGTCCCTGGGTCGTTGTATTGTTAACCCAAGAGAAAACAAAAGTCATGTCTTTGAAGTCCACCAGTGACCTGCTTAGCATCTCACGGAACAGAGAAGCATAGGTAGTGGCTGACAATGGCGACAAGCACACCATACCCAGTAGTCCCCTCATTTGCTTCTTCTCTGCCCCACCCCCTCCCCTACTCACTATTATACAAATTGTGTATTATGAGTTGCCTTTCTGCTATGTTGAAAGCAACATAAGCGAGAACCATGCGATGTATGAACGGCGAGCAGATCTAGTAGTAGTAGGAGCAAGTCCAACGGGGTCTGGGCTTTTGCATGACATCAGGCATCGAAAATGTGCGAATGATCTGGCTGCTGCCAACTACCCTTCACTGTCGCTATTGCTGTCTATGTCTCTGTGTGTGCCAGTATTATGTGGAGCGACAATTAAATTGTTCTATGGTTTTCGAACTCGCACTATCTCCCTGCGCTGAATGCATTCCCTCTATACACTTAGCATACATACACAATCTTTCTCAACATGTGGCCAGCAGTCTTTGCCAGCACCATAACGAACATGTACGGGATAAGGCCAGCCATGGTGCGTCACATGATGACGGTCCTATGCCTACAGACTGCACACCGAACAGGTTCGGGCATGATCATGTATTCTCTCCTGCCGACTGGATGCTTGTTCATCGGTCTCTTGCTGTCGACACATCTTGTCACAAAGCCGGCGAGTCTCCAGACTGTATATTTGCTCCGTCGTTTCTTGCTGTTGGCGTAGCCTTTAGCGAGCACGGCGACTCTCCAGGCGGCGGGACCTCTCTTCTCCCATCTTTTACTCTCTGTGTAGGCACTCCTGCCGACGCCGTCTGCTCAGAGCTTCAACCCTGTCACCCCTGTTATTTTGGTCTTCCTCATAGTCCTCTTGTAGCGATCTCAGCATTCAGGTGGAATCCTGATAATTCGAACCTCCAAATGCCAGAAAAAACTTCTAATTATCCGGACATTCTAATTAACCAAACATGAACCTATAACACAATATGTATGTCAAAATGCTCCCATGGTCACGCAGGGCTGCGCTATGGGCCTTAGACACAGATCACAGTAATGGTATTTATACAACAACCGCTCCCATCAAAGCTCTGCAATCTACCCGAACCTTACATTCCCGGCCCATTCGAAGCACACTAAAAAAAAGTACCTGGTAGATCTACTGTATACATGTATGGCAGGTCAAATTTCAAATAAAAGAAAAAAAGGCCATACCCTGCCTTGCCAGTTAGGTGGACTTACGTGGTCGCCATGGCAATTGCAGCACCCCAAAAGCATTGGAACGATAATGCGATAATGCGACACCGCATAACTGTGATGACGTACATGTAGGCAAAAAACACAATGATGTTTTTAAGATGTGTTTTTGCAGTTGAAATCCCTACTTGAATAAGGTGACCGCTGTCTTCGATGGAACGGTCCGGGACATGTACGGGATAGCGCCAGGCATGCCCGACGACACAAAATACATTTCCCGAATTAAAGCTGTGTGGATGCAGGCTAGCGCCAGACGTTACTGAAGTAGCGTCTTTTGCATTGCTATGGGAATAATTTGATTTGCCTTGCTTGTATTGTCAGCCGACCAGAGCCCACAACCTATACATCACCATAGATCAGTGCGGCACAAGTTCTTCGTGGGAGTTCTTCACCCAGGCCAGATATTGAAATGGCAGACGTGGACACAATCTAGCTACAAAACCCACAACGAGTACTAGTGGTGAGACATCATACAGTGTGAAAGTGAGCTTCGGGACTGCTCAATAATGTAATGTACGTTAGGATTATCGCTGATGCTAGGTAGTGAATTCTTAGCGACACGACTGTACCTACATAAATCAGCCCTGATGGTATCTTGTGGTCGTCTACCGAATTCTACCACAATAATCGTTCAGAACTGGAAGCAACCTATTGTCGCCTCCGAGCCTCTATATTATTGTTCAGTCATAAGTAAAGTGCGCGCTGCCGTGATATGGTAGATATTCAATCATTGGCTGGTCTAAGAGTCCATAGCTACATGTATGCGCATGGAGCTGTGATCATTTTTTTCTGTGGGTTTGCTGCATGACGCGTCGCAATCACTAGATGTATACAGCCGGCCAACACGAACTGCGGAGACTCAAACACCATGTGGACTGAATCCAGCTACATGTACATGTACATGTAGCAGTAACTGGATTGCAAAATGCACCTCCAGTTTATGACTACACAGAGATCGGGTAGGTGCACTTTGGTGTTCTTGACCATATGAAGCCAAACGGGTGAACTGGTACTAGAGTGTCGGGTCTGAGAGCAGGGAATGCTGCGTGCCGCGCCCTACCCATTGCCGAGCCACCGTGCTCACAGCAGAGACTTCTGTGTGTGTTATTGTTGTGAAGTGGACCACAAAGACCTATAACAATCTGGCACAGCTGCGGGAAATCAGTACGGGACTGTAACAGTGTGGCAGGCACTGAGGGGTTATAGAGATCGACCTGACGGCAGTAGGAAAAAGAGTAAGTGCAGTAGCCTGAGCGAGTAAGTGCAGCAGAAATTGCAAGCATGTAACTGTTAATGTTTGGTCTCTGTTCTTGCGATTCGTACAATGAGTGTCAGCCAATGCTACTAATACTATGACATTAGGCACCTGATGATTGCGCAGCATATCCATGAACTAACTGTCTGTCCTCAGAACAGTACAGCTAAGCGCTTAATTGAGAGTGATAAAGGAAGTAAGGGAAAGAAAGAAAGTTTTACACAGCACATGTTTACTCAGAACATTATCGCTAAGCACTTAATTACGAGAGAGAGAGAGAACGAGAGAAATAGAGAGGCAGAGAGAGAGAGAGAGAGAGAGAGAGAGAGAGAGAGAGAGAGAGAGAGAGAGAGAGAGAGAGAGAGAGAGAGAGAGAGAGAGAGAGAGAGAGAGAGAGAGAGAGAGAGAGAGAGAGAGAGAGAGAGAGAGAGAGAGGGAGAAAGAGAGATAGATAGATAGATAGAGATAGAGAGGGGGAAGAGTTAGACAGGAACAGTGACTTCTGCTAGCAGAAAACATACATGGTGAAATCTAGGAAAGTTGACTTTAGATAGTGCTTATACGTTCCAGTGGAGTACAGTGCAACAGTGGTCTGCCAGAGCCTGTCTAGTGTATTATCATTATTCGTTTGAGCGAGCTCTACTGTGAAGCAAGGCAGCAGCAGCCAATAGTTTCAATGCGGCATGTCGACGCTGCTGCTGCTTTTGCTTCAACTTAGCTTGAACTGCAGACCGTCGTTGCTGGAACAGGTGTTGCAGCCTGGCTCGACTAGCATGGCGTCGTTGCTGTATCTGTTGTTGTTGCTTGCTTTGCTGGTCATTGAGGCGCTGTTGAAGCAAACGTAGCACACCATGCAACGGACTAGCAGAACGACGAAGATGTTCCAATTCTGATGGCGTTATCTTTATCTGCGCTGGCGAACCCATCAACTGAACTGCACAGGGATTAGTGCGAGGGCAGAAAACGTTCGATACCCCAATTAGATTGTAATCTACTGATTGCGATGGGTTTCAATGTATATCAAGTGGGTTCAAGAAAATACTCAGCATGAAACTCAGAGTAGCAAAGCACTACGAGTGATCCATTGTTTGTTGACACGTGTCATTGCTCCCCCCACGAAATTGGATGTTGAGCACTTTTTCTGCAGTTGCAGGCATAGTTTTACTGAGTACATCGACGACATATTAAATATTAATGACTGATGCACCGCAAAGGGTTAACTAATTCTGATGATTTTGCACTCATTATCACAATTCTGTTATACTTCCCAATCCGTTGCTCCCAACAATGGCAACTTTGTCCGGTATACCCTATCCTTGGTCATGTACATGTACATACAATTATCCCTTCACTGTGCATAGTTCGAAACTCCCCCCCCCCCCCCACACACACACGCACAATGGTTGCCTCTTTGCTTTGTCATATCACGACCATTTAACACGGTGAACCCCTCGATAGGCGATTTGCCTTTGGGTCATCCTAATACAAATATTACTTGTACATAAAAATAATGCATGCATTGTCGGAAGGCCACATCTTGCGAGATTAGTTACCAATTTAAGCTTTCTTCTTTTCTCCTGTGCGTTTGTTGCTGATCGAGTTCGTGTTTGTATTCATTTTTGCCACCTATTGTCCATGACTTTTTTTCGTACTGCTTGTTTTTGGGAACACAGTGTGAACAGTCGTGAATAAAAGGAATAAAACAAGACCATACATACATGTATTACTAAGAATTGTCAGAAAAAAAAGGAAAGTTATCACATGTTTGGCCAAGTGAGATTACAATTATCTTAGAGAACACTATGAAAACATCTGGTCCGAAACCCTAATTTCAACACAGACTCACGGAGACAATCATCCGTCTCATCTCTTGCCAATTATATAGACTGCAGATTTTCGAAAGAAATTTTGTTGACTTCATGCAAAACGGCATAAGGTACATTTTTGTTACTGACGGACAACAAGTCAGCCGTATTTTCATCTGTTATACAGTCAAGTAGGCACTGAGAGACAGACAGAGAGATGTGAGAGAGAGAGAGAGAGTGAGAGAGAAAGATAAAGAAAGATAGAGAGGAAGATAGAGAGAGTGAAAAAATGGGAAGACAGTGAGAGAGAGAGAGAGAGAGAGAGAGAGTTAGTGAGATAGAGAGAGAGAAAAGAGAGAGAGGGAGAGAGAGAGAGAAAGAGAGAAAGAGAGAGAGAAATACAGGCAGATAAAAAAATAACAACAGGGAATTATTCAAAACTTTGAGGAGCATGAAGTAAACCCTCGGTTGAGGGAGATAGTGAGGGTCGGCAAGAGGAAGAGGCAGCCTTGGAGAAAGGAGAACGGAGGGTAGAGTGGCACAACATCTAATCTTAACAATAAATTACATACTTTTATTTGGTGTCTGGGCTTCATCATCTGTCCCGACGGCAACGTCATCTACGAAAATTAGGAGAAGAAAGACAGACGTTGTCATGCATACATGTACCAAATAAGTGACATGTTACTTGCACCTACAATGCAACGCGTGTGGGAATATTCCAATTCGCCTTGACAAGCTATATTGGACTCAGTAGGCAATCGGGAGTCCAGAATACATTAAATCCAGTCATGGGACCGTTACTGTGATCCTAGGCGTCTACCAAGCAACTGGACCCCAGTATGCAGTCGATGTGCTACAAACATCACGACTGGATAAAACACGGAACACCGACGATTCATGTATTTAGGGAGTTCTTAGACCTAAAGGAACAATGTGAAGAAGATTTTGGCGCGACTAGAGCAACAAGTACTCACTCGCTTTTTTTGCTAGCTTATCTCGCCACTATTCACCATTGTGAACATAGTGATAAACTTCACCCCGCTGAAGCGTTCTTTTCTTCCGATTATTATGTTCCTTCCATTTTTCTTACTTTTTCCTTTACTTGCCATGGCTGGCTAACGCCCCCTCCTTTGCATTGGCTTCTCCCATTGGGGTGAAATAAAAACTTAACTTAATAAACAAATGAAGTATAGCGAATTCAAAAAGGTAAAAAAACACGCAACATACAACGCAACTCGGATCAGGAACCTTCGGTTATGGTCAGCGATGCTCAACTGCTAAGCTATTCTGTAGCTCGTATCCAAGCAGGGACTGTTCAACATTTTCTCCAGCCTTCGAAACACACTCTTCCTGTGAATCAACTCAGACTCGTGGGACACAGCCCTAACTGCTCCTCTAACCCTGCAATCGACCTGCAACTCTGCTGCAGAAAACAATCTATCACACGGAGAGCTCTTATACATAAATATACCATAGTCTGAGGGAAAGCTGGAAAAGGTTCGATACATTTTGAAGTATATTATACAATAGGTGACCTCCAGCGTTCCCTGATATGATTATTACCTGAACTTGAGCCTCCCAATTTGGGTGATATGTTGCTTTTTGTCGCTTTGCGTCGCCGAGTTTCAGTAATGCATAATTATATGTTCCATCGGCGAACTAGTCTCGTCATCGTCCAGTAACGTTCGGCATTCTTCGTTGCGTTGTCCTTATCGTCTTTGGACTTTTCCTTGCCTGAACATTCCAAGTTGGAAGGTTGTTGGTTTGCGCCTTGTCGATGTTATGGAGCTAGGTTTCAAGTGGCTGAATGTCTCAATACTCCTCGTCAGTTTTGTGCCATGTTGTCCCACTATATAACTTTATTCCCGTAGCTATGCAGAAGACGTTAATTCAGTAACGTCTGGCGCTAGCCAGGGTCCACACAGCTTTAATTTGGTGTTTATTTGTTTGTTTGTTTGTGTCACGCCTGGCGCTATCCCGTATCTGTCTCGTACCGTACCGTACCATCAAAGACAGCTGGCCACAAACAGCTGGCCACAACATTCAAATAGGGCTTTCAAACACAAGATCATAACGTGAGGCAACTTGGAAGAATGAGTATGAATGCGAAGTGTATAGGGAATGCCTGTAGGGCGATAGTGCGGGTTCGAATCCCAGGTTATGCCTTGAAAAAATTAGGAGAATTGAAAAATTTATAACATCGTTTTTCTTTGTAATTTTCCATTCATTTTCTGCTTTAATTCATATTTGCTTTGTTTTCCTAGCTTACTATTGCCGTGGCTGGCTCAACGCCCTTGTCTCAGGGGATTCTGTCCCTGCATTAGCTATGCTTCTCACATGCTATGAGATTGTGTCTAATAATAATAATAATAATAATAATAATCCTCACGGTTTTTTTTGCCTAGGTCATCAAGGCGGTGGACAGTGTCGTATTACCCTCGACCGTACATGTCCCGTACTGTACCGTAGCATCAAAGACGGCTGGCCACAATATTCAAATAGGGCTTTGAAATGCAAGATCATAACGTGAAGCAACTTGGAAGAATTGGTATGTATCCGTAGTGTATCGGGGGATGCATGCAGGGCAATAGTGCGGGTTCGAATCCCAGGTTAGGTCTGAGCAAAAAATAGGAGAAATTTATAAGAAAATTTATAACATCAGGTGTGCAGGAATGGACTCAGATGGAGAGCCAAGGTTTAATTTATACAAAAGGGAAAGACCTAGGAACTACAAGTTACGCTATACTGTCCACTAACACCACCAGTTACCAAGCAATCAGCTACCCCTCCTTATGTTATTTCTATAACTTAGAACCTTCCAAGTTGGAAGGCTGTTGGAGTGCGCATGCAAGATGTGCTAGAGCTGTTAGCCAGTTAGTTGTAGAACGTCAGTACCGTCGGTCAGTGTCGTGCAATGTTATCGCTTGAGCTTATTTTTTAGTAACTGGTGGTGTTAGTGGACAGTATAGCGGAACTTATAGTTTCTTGGTCTTTCTCTTTTGTATAAATTTATAACATCCCTTTTTTTTTGTCTACGTCATCAAGGCAAAAAAGCATAGTGTAGGGCCCTCAGCTTCCAAGCTCTCTCGTATAATCTGTTTACATTGGTGAGCAGTTAGTCATAACTTGTAGTCCTCCCTTTTATCCATTATTTCAATCGCTCTTTCGAGCTCCGTTTTCAAGTAGTACTGCGATTGACTGGGGCAGGCGCCCTCAGCGTGTACAGAACAGAGCTTGATCCGATGCGACCAGCGCTCCGCAGCACGTGTGTGTACGACTTGCCCACAGCTGCATGGCCAGCGCCCTGGGGCCGCTAGACGTGTGACCGGATTTCCATGTCCACGACAGTATATATATTCATGCCTTGGAATTCACAATACCAGCATTGGTCAAATCATGGATAGCATTGCAATTGTCCTCAAGTATAGCACATTACAATTGATACCGACTTACTCTGGTAGGCATTTGTCCCAATGGTCTCTGTAGTTACCAACTTGGGGATATCTTGAATGGAAACCAAATCTGACACGTCTGGTAATGCTTCTACAATGTACACATTGGAAAATCAAAAATACAATAAAATATTATAAGGAAAAATTGGAGGCGTATCCAATTTCGAAAGAAAAGGTGTCAGCACCGACGCAATTCACACAGTCAAGTAAGCCAATTTTGTAACCGAACGTTTTCGTTCCCTTCTCATTAGGCCTCAACATGTAATGCTAGCATTAAAACTAGCATAATGGGGGTGTTTGCAGAAGGGTCATTGCCCCGGCATAATGAGGCATTTCTTTTGGAGAAACTAGCTTAATTCGCGATTTTCAGCATCTCATGGCCAGAGAGTCGTAGAATACAGTACTCCCTGATCAAGTGCCTATACGTGCCACATGACCATCCAAACGTTAACTATATCATTGCGTACAACGATGTTGCCTTTGTACGAGTAGAAGTAGTCTACCACCGATCAATCAATTTTTGCGCGCATATCTTTATACCTACTTTGGAAACAGACTTTTTCGCGTACTCTTCTGCGATTTGTTTGCTGTATTTGGTAATAATATTGCTAGCATAAAACGCCCTAAACTAGCATCAAAAGCATTAAAACGAGCATAATATCCTGTTTTTGCTGGCATTCTGAAAAGCACAATCGGCTGAATTTACTAGCATTACCCGCTGATGCCTACTCCTCATCATGGGTAAGTACATAGAATAATGGAAAAATGTCAAAATACAGCAACTTATAGAGCTACAAGCCGACAACAAAAGCATAGATCGATAACCTCACGCTATACGTGTGGGAGAAAAATAAAATTCAGCAGAACTTGTCAAAAACAGGGTGAAGATGAGGAAATGACTAAAACATGACTAAAACATGACATAACATTCACCCTGTTTTTGACAAGTTCTGAATTTTATTTTTTCCCACACGTATAGCGTTGGGTTTTCGATCTATGCTTTTGCTGTAGCTCTATAAGTTGCTGTATTTTGACATTTTTACATTATTCCCTCTACTTAACCATGATGAAAAGGGAACGAAAACGTTCGGCTACAATAATATTGAATCGATATTAAATGGATACAAAACTATTAACACACTGCTCAATCTATTCCACTCCTCCCCCCCCCCCCCCCCCCACACCCACCCCTAATCCAGCCCTCATGCGCACATCAATGTAGACAAGTTTTTTTGTTTTTGTTTCAGCGGAAGCGTGAGATGGAACTTAGGAGTAGCGTTACACATGCATGAAATCAAATCCATACAGGCAGACCGGAATATTCTTGATTGGGCGATTTTACTTGGCTGTTCATTGGAAGAGGAGGAAAAAGAGTGAGAGACGGAAAGGCCAAAAGTGATGGGAAGTAAGTAGGTGACCGTTGGGTAAAGGTGATTCTAGCGAACCTGGGGCTATGGGGAGAGTGATGGTGAGAGCAAGGTCCCCGTAAGAGATATAGGTAGCCTTGGAGAGGAGAGGGTTAAATGGCAAAGAGGAAAGCCTTGGACTTACCTAGGTCTGGGCCATCCAACTTTGTCTCTCCCGAAACCGGGTCTGGAGCCATTAGAAGAAGAAGAAAGACAGACGTTGCCTGGCATACATGTACATGTCACAAATTCTATTTAAGCTGTATTTACTAAATCTGGAGACAGCATGCTGTTTCGTTATTTGCGAACTCTACAGCGCAGCACAGAAAAAATGAGGCCGAGCCTGATAGCAATGAAAATAAATTTTCCAAAGCCAGATTTAAACCAGGCCCGAACGTACCTTGCCAGAGTGCTCAAACTGACAAGTCAGTGAGCTCTGCGTAAAGCAAACAGCAAAGGCACTACTCCACATGACAGTGCTCAACTACTACAGTACAAGAGCAGGAGCGAAAATACTCAATCTGCAGACAGCAGTGTTTAAATGTACTATCTCATACATCACGAATGATTTGAAGACTAAAATGAGTGACGAAGACACTTTATCATCAGAGGACTCCTGTTGCTTCTCACGCAACACAGAGAAGGCCTGTTGGTGAAATCAACACCCCAATGCGATGTGGAATTGTCACGGAGTACCATCTATTCCTGGGTGATCGTTCTCGAGTGCCTCCTGGCGGATTGAAATCGCTGCAGTAGCTGTTTCCTTGGCAGAATTTCAGCAAATGCGTCATCCAGAAACTCATGCAGAAAGCACCAGCATCGCTTCGTCCAGTTTGCTGATCTCTCTCTCGCAGTCGCTCACGATGTGGCGGGCGACGAAACAAGATCACAGAAGAGATTGCCGAGAAGTTGATCGAAATAGATAACCACACCTGAGGGCGACTTTCAGGCGACAACCTGGCTGGAAAACTGAAGCGCAGAAAGGTTGAAGTATTCTGCGGTTACGGTGCGTGAATGGTGCGGAGTCCTCTGGGCCACAATCACGATGCGTCATCGCCACATCAAACTTACACTTAGTCCTCCCTGTTATCCATTATTCCAATCGCTCTCTCAAGCTCCTATTATCATAGTAATGCTTTAGAACACTAGCATTGGTAAAATCATGGTTGTTATTGCAATTGTAAAGAATACTACGATTGATACTGACTTACGACTGTAGATATTTGTCGCAGTGGTCTTTATAGTTGATAACTTGGGGAGTTGGTTGTAGGAAACCAAATCTGACCCGACCGGAAGTGCAACTAAATTGTACACGTTGAAGAACCCAAAATACAACAATATTGAATCGATACAAAACTATTGACACACTGCTCAATCTATCCCCCCCCCCCTCCCCTCCCCCTAATGCACCCCTCATGCGCACATCAATACAGACAAGTTTTTTTTGTTTAAGCGAGATGTGAGATGGAATTTAGGAGTAGTGCTACACATGCATAGAATCAAATCCATACAGTAAAACCGGAATATTCTTGATTGGGCGATTTTACTTGGCAGTTCATGTTTGGACGTGGAAGAGGAGTAAAAAAAGAGTGAGAGACAGAAAGGCCAAAAGTGATGGGAAGTAGGTGACGGTTGCGTAAAGGTGATTCTAGCGAACCTGGGGCTAAGTGGTAGGTAGCAATTTCCCAAAGATGCCAAAATATTTCGCAACTTATGGTTTTCTTCACCATGCCAAAACAAGGGAAGGTTGATGAAAAAGCATCCATATTTTCAGAAAAATCTCGAAAGTTGCTGATATCGCAACTCAAAATGAGCGACTCCTTGTGCATGATATCATAGCAACATTGTTCAGTGCTTACTACAACCATCCATGGTTGGCAGAGCCGGTTCAAATGGTCGCAAGACTGGGGCTCTGCCAACCGTGGATGGTTGTAGTAAGGTCACTGTTTCCAAACACAGTGGTCCTCCGGCTTGTAACATGTTGTTGTTGTTGTTGTTGTTGTTGTTGTTGTTGTTGTTGTTGTTGTTGTTGTTGTTGTTGTTGTTGTTGTTGTTGTTGTTGTTGTTGTTGTTGTTGTTGTTGTTGTTGTTGTTGTTGTTGTTGTTGCTGCTGCTGCTGCTGCTGCTGCTGCTGCTGCTGTTGCTGCTGCTGCTGCTGCTGCTGCTGCTGCTGCTGTTGCTGTTGCTGTTGTTGTTGTTGTTGTTGTTGTTGTTGTTGTTGTTGTTGTTGTTGTTGTTGTTGTTGTTGTTGTTGTTGTTGTTGTTGTTGTTGTTGTTGTTGTTGTTGTTGTTGTTGTTGTTGTTGTTGTTGTTGTTGTTGTTGTTGTTGTTGTTGCTGTTGTTGTTGTTGTTGTTGTTGTTGTTGTTGTTGTTGTTGTTGTTGTTGTTGTTGTTGTTGTTGTTGTTGTTGTTGTTGTTGTTGTTGTTGTTGTTGTTGTTGTTGTTGACTTCTTTTACTTCACCAATGGCACAGGCATGATTGCCTCCTTACCGTCCCATAGTTCCGGTTCTCACAGAAAGATGACGGATGCTGTTAACCAACAATGTACATGTACATGTACATGTACATGTACGTGTATGTGTATGTGTATGACTTTTGTTGCATTTAGTACATACATCATGTACACCATGTTCTTCTAGAAGTACACTTGTTATGATGAATTGATGCAATTTTTCAGCGGTTGTTGTTGAAGCGGAGCATCGCGGACACTTCAATGGTCTCCTCCAAGGCGCTTCTCTGCTCAGGGTTGCGGAAAGTTGCGAAGTAGTTCGTGAAAATGAAGAAAGTTGCGCTCTCTTCCACAACAACCAAAAGTTGCGAAAAAAGTGGCGAGCATCTTTGGGAAAGGGTTACTAAGGGGAGAGTGACGGTGAGAGCAAGGTCCCGTAAGATATATAGGTAGCCTTAGGGAGGAGAGTTAGATGGCAAAGAGAAAAGCCTTTGACTTACATGTACCTAGCTCTTGGCCATCCATCTTTTTCTCTCCCAAAACCGTATCTGGAGCCATTAGAAGAAGACAGACAGACGTTGCCATGCATAAATGTCACAAATTCTAGTTTAGCTGTATTTAAATGTACTAATCTCATACATCATGAATGATTTGAAGACTAAAATCCTTCACATTATTTTTACTTTTGTGTTAGTTAACCATTTTTCCGCTATCATGGTTGGTTTGGATGGTTGGTTTTTATGATTTCAGTTCGTTGCCTCAACAGTACAAAGTACAAATATTGTAATGTAGTTGAAATCTATCCAGGCAGTCGGATTTTGCTTGTCAATTACTATTAATACTAGTCAGACATAGTAGTATGGTCTGAGCCCATCATTGAGAAGCAGAGGGTACCAGGTTCAAGTCCGTGCCTGGAAGCTGAAGGATTTCCTAGCCGTGCTGCAACCCAAAGTTAATTGAAAACTCGTGGCCTGGCACGAGGGAAACATGGAAGCAGTGAATGGGATTTTCGGTCTTTGACCATTTTGTGGTGGGTCTGATCTACATAGTTGTACTCACCTCCATCCACTTAGGGGCTACATCTGCGCCTTGATCCTAGAGGGTGGTGGCGGCACTGCAGATGCGGAAAACTAGGCTTGCAGCCGTGTCGCACGCGAACTGTGATCCTTTTTTAATGCTAACTCATTCACTTTATAGCACCGTTGGTGGCTCTCCACTACGGAGCTTGTGCTTTTTCGCTGACTTGAATTCTCACTTGATTGATTCACGACTGTCATGCAGAGCACACGGGAAGTCCACTGAAACTTCTACACGGCAAACTGGCATGAAATCATCACTTCCATCGCATTACACAGGGTTTCGGGGGAATCCACCCTTTACCCGCTGATCTTGAGTCGGCTGAAAATGAGTGTGTCTTCAGAGAGAATGTCTGAGAAAACCAGAAAAGCTGGGCTAGGCCATGTCTCCGATTTCGCTCAAATTTTGCAAGTAGGTTTCTTTTGGGGTCTACAACATCCATGCGAAAGGGTTCGTTGCATAACTTACGGACACCGTGGAACTGGGGACCACCTCGAAATGGGCCCCAACTACGACTGAATATTGGGTCTAAACACTAGCGCTTGTACAGCGTACACATTGGAGCTAAGAACCAACAACCACCATGCCAACATTACCTCATCTCAGTAGTCTTCACACCACCACCGCATTAAGTCATGGCTACACCCAGGAAAGCAATGGCCATCATCTCCAAGTATCAATAAATTGCATGGCTAAATTAGCCAAATTGCAAGGGCCATAGAGGGACCCATTTACGGCGTCTATTTTTCTGAACCATGCACTGCAGGACAGTGGACTATCTCCGCTACCACTCGGGACATGTCTCGTAAAAGCGTTCAACGTTTTCTGGAAATAGACAAATTTGAATATTTTCACTTCACCACATTGCAACATTGCCAATTTCCTACCCCACGACGGAAAGCGCCTCCACAAGCTCCAACACCAAGCACCGCTCCTGACGCCAGCACGCCAAACAATGCAGCGTGGTCAACTCTACCGATTCTGACAAGGAATTTGAACTGATAACCCTTGTCACTCCAAACAACAACCATTTCCTTCTTTAAACGACTCGAATTTCAGTAGCAGCAACGCTCTGCAAAAGTGCAACAAATATTGAACAAATCTTGATTTGTGCGATCGAAGGACGATTTTTTCGTCCTGAAACTGGCCGTGCGCTGACCACCGCGTGATCAAATGTTTTTGCACTTCTGTAAAGCCTTTAAGAGCTCCACATAAATACATGTAGTGCACTCAAGACCAAACCATAGGCAGTGTTGCAAACGTAGAGAGACGCTCCGTTTCCAGCGCGACAATCACCTTGTGAACACCAAAGTGCAGCGTGACCCTCGTGCTGTTTATTGATCAGGAAGTCGTACTTTCTTGCAGGTTTGCTCAGTGGAAAATTCGATGTTCTCTGGATGGCAGTCGTAACTCAATGAGGGGAAAATTCAAGTCTTTTAGAAAAGGCGCGAACTAAGTCCTGCGTCTCCAAACTGCTTCGTCGTAAGGACAACACATCCCTGCAATTGTCCCGCATAATCCAAGACCTCTGCTCCCTCAAAGACCAGCGGCAGGTCTCCTGCATTTGTTTCTTCGACCTCTCCAAGAAGTTCTCCATCGCCGTATACTGCGCATCATATTTCGTACAGATCGTTATAATATCTCAAATCTAGACTTGTATGCTGCTGCATCCACTACCAATCTGCAACATTACTTTGATGCTTCCTAGTGCACCCTGGCACATTCAATTTTTCTTGACCAGCACCCCGCTTATTTACAGTCCCTTAATTGGTTCAAGTCAGGTGGCACCACCCGAAGCTGCGTTCGTCTCCCTTAGCTAGGTCTACCCTATTCGTAAATTCCCCTTTCTTTTCCTCCTACTCCACGTGGCTCCAACTGCCTCCCAGTGCTAGACAAGCTCCAGATGTGCCCAAATTCCGCACCCTCGTCAGACAGCACTTCAGTATCTCCTATTAAACAAAGTCACAGTCACCACTTCCGCTGCATAGCTCGCTGAACATCCCATTGCTTTGTAAGTTGCTAATCCCTTCCCACTTTGTGTACGTGCTCTTCATTTTCTTTTTTTCTCTTCTTCCGTGGTTGGTCTCACCCTCTCCTCAATTCAATTGGCTGTCTTGACATGCCACGACGTGCAGAAATAAATAAATAAGGTGTAGAGAGCAAACAACTTTCCTATAATCATAATACCGTCGACCTTGCTTCCACAAATTAAAAAAAAGAGTGGTAGCGACTTCGGCCGCAAGAGTCATGATTTCTTGATAAATATTTTAAATCGTGTGTACGACACTCTCGTAAGAAAGTTTGAAATTTGTAACGAGAAATCATATCTTCACCACACATCCCGCGGCCAATGGTAAATATTGAAATGCTGCACAGTGCTCTTGTGTGCCGACCAAATAAATACTACCAGATTTGAATAATCAGACTTACTCTTCGTTTTCGATAAATCGAAAGAAAACCCATTCGTCCTCCCAACCGAAGGCTCTTCTCCAGCAACCTTGTTCTTCCCAAGGATTTCCACGGCCTGTATGATTGCTAACACACAAAGATATCGGAATAGAATACATTACCGGGATAGACGCAATGTTCGTTCATGTCCATAAACAATGGATCACTCGTAGTGCTTTGCTACTCTGAGTTTACTTTTGTTCACCTTCCCATCACCAGGAGACATAGGCCAATGTGGAAGGAGGGAGGCGATAACCAGCCATGGCAGTAAGTAAAAGCAATGCAAAATAACAAATTACAAGAGTTGATAACCTACACAGGGCGAGAGGCAAAGCGAAACATATCTGAATGACGTTTCACGAACTGTGTGCATTCATCAGGCAAAGAAATCCAAAACGTGTAAGGGAAATTCTGAAGAAAGCATGGATTTTCACCACCAGGACTCGAACCAAGGACGTTCGCTTGAGGCCAGCGATGCTTTACACTCAGCTAAGGTGTGCCTATCAACCCAGCAGCGACCGATCGACACTCTCTTCAGACTTCGTAACTTACACTTTCTGCGATTCCACACATTCGGGTGAGATAGAGCCCCCACTTGACCCACACACAAAGGTTCTAGGTCAGTTTGCCGAAAACAACTTCGGCGAGTGACATTTCATTACCGTGGGCGGGTCAAAAACCACGTCGATAGTTGGACAAATCTCGACAGGCACACTTCGTCGATTTTCTGTTTAAGCCATTACCAATATTAGGACTCGGATGGAGAGCCAAGGATAACTTTATAGAAAAGATAAGGACCCACGGTTCTACAAGTCACGCTATAATACCCGCTAACACCACCAGTTACTAAACAATCAGCTCATGCCATAACATTGCACGACACTGACCAACGATACTGACGTTCTACAACTAACTGCCTAACAGCTCGTAGGAGAGGGTTTTTTCGACTACACAGCATTTCGCCGCAGTCTTACACACCTGGTACCAAAATACAGAGTGAAAAGGATTGTTAAACTGGCCTTCAGAATAACGAAAATACTTGTACCTTGAAACATTAGAAATGCCTCCCCGCTGTGCGTGTTCATGTACATGTCCAGTACCACCAGTACCACCACGTTAGCTGGTGTAGGCGGAACATTGTCAGCTGCATTTCGGGCTCTGCGCCCTGCTCACGTCAGAGCTGTGGAAGATGGCAAGCTCGCTAAGTAAAGGTCTGCAGTCCTGACTCGTCGCGGGTTTTTTTGTCTTCATGCGGCCTCTGCAGGACAGCTCCAATCGCTCAGTTTCGCATCTCCCGGAAAAAGTCTCGTTTCTTCCCCTCTCATTTTGCATATCCAACCTTGACTAGTTGGGGTTTGCCTCGCAACGTTTGGCCAGTAAAATCGGGATAAGCGTCCATGATAGATTCACCAAGATTTAAAAGGATTTCATACCCACGGCTTACAGTTTTTTCAGTGAAATTCGGCGACAGGGTCGATGGTGAAATTATAGGTAGGACTCAGACAGCAGTCAGGGCTCTCACAGCAGTCAGGGCTCTCACAGCAGTCAGGGCTCTCACAGCAGTCAGGGCTCTCACAGCAGTCACTGCCCCTATCACCAGTCATACAGTCATAGTAAAAAAAAAATAATAATAAATAAAAAAAAAACCCGCTAATACCCGTCACCAGTCCCAAACAAGTCACAGAGAGCCAACAACAAGTCACAGAGAGCCAAAAACAAGTCACCAGCTTTGATGTATGACATAGGTAGGTTGCCATTTGAAAGTATGGAGAACGAACGCGTTCAAAAGTATGCTTTTCACCGCTGATGTATGACATGGGTAGGTTGCCATTTGAAAGTATGGAGAACGAACGCGTTTAAAAGTATGCTTTTCAGCGCAAACAATTTTTCCCTATTTCGATCGTGTTCTTGCTCAGTTTCGCTCCTTGTAGGGAAGATGTAGCTTGTTCCCGGTAATGTCGACGTTTTCTAGATGCGGTGGACGCTTGGAGAGATCAGCTGTGGCGATGTCGGCACGGAATGCGACTCGAAATTGCAAATTTGTATCGCTGATCCCATCGCAGTATTCGCTCTCCAAACAGGAGCGAGAGGGAGGGCAGCGATGGCCTTAAATCGTCATGGCAAGCGTAATTCACCAGCCAGCGACTGCTTCTTGTCTTCTCTTTCACTTACATTACGCTGGATGGGAGTGGATGAAGAAAAATATTGATATCGAATCGCCGGGACACAATAATTATTGGACACATAAAGCAGTACTACTTGCACACCATAATTATGTATCTAATATTGACTAAGTACGAGGTCAATATAGGAAATAAAAGCCGAGTAAAAGACCAAGGCGAAGCCGAGGTCTTTTACGAGGTTTTTATTTCCTATACTGACCAAGTACGAAGTCAATATTAGATTTATCACGCCAAACAGTCCGTATTTCAAATTCCAGAACGATAACCTCATGAATCCCGGTTTTATGATTGCACAACCGTTGCACCACCACCTACTCATGCAGTGACAATGCTGCACTAGGGTGCGCACCGTTCAACTGCGCAACCCCTAAGCAGTCAAATATAAGCAGTCAATATGGCCCTAAGGAGTGAAATATGCAGGAATATTAGGCTGCTTAGGTATAGCAAAAATCAATGGGAGTCAATACTAAGAGAGTGATAAATGCATGTATTCTGACTCCGTGCACGCGTGATCGAAAAAAGGGCAAGTCGCGGCATTCTGTGATTGGTTTGTGGGCACCACAACTGGTTTCTCAAAAGACGCAAACTGTGACTGGTGTGTGAGTGATTTTGACTGTATGACTGACTTTGGGGACGGTAACTGCTACGTGGAACGTGACTGCTGTCTGAGGCCTACATATTACTTCGTCGAAGTGTACTCGCCGAATATGTTATGCAGCGTAAAAATCAACCTGTGAAGCAGCGCAGTCGCTAAATGTCATTCGCCAAATTGAACACATCGAAATGGCAGGTGCCTAACCTACTACACACAAGAGTGTATTTCACTATTTTTGACTACGCGAAGATCGAGAGTTGATCAAAATCATTCCTGCTGAAGTCGGAAAGAAAACCCCTTATCTTTGTTGATCCCGTGAATGCGTTCAGTTCAGTCGTTATAATTATTTCGAAGTGGATTCCGTGACAAACCGGTGGGTGACTTTGTGACTTTTCTTAGCGATATAGAGAAAATAAGGATGCAAATATTTCAAACACATGTGCACGTACATGTAGTTGGGAAACGTACCTTGTGCCGCTTTTACTTTCGCCGCCAATTTGCCTATTCCAAGATGACAAAGACAAAGATTTACCAACAAATAAGCATAACAGTACCAACGATCAAGCAGTTTCAAATTATATCTTAGGTGCCTGAGAGTAATGAGATCCATCCTGCAAGGCATTAGTGATGGCAAGGATTGTGCTTCAATAATACTAATCGAATATAGCTCCGACTTTTGAAGAGCTTTTCAGATGGCAATAAAGACAAAATAATGTCGTTACACGAATAGGCCCAGAGGTCGCCCAGTGACCAGATGCCAGCAGATGGGAAGACAACATTAGGATTAACTGTTTTTTTTGTCTACAGTGTACATGGCTCTTTTGACAGCGGGGCAACTTGCCCCAAACATAATGCACTGGTTTGACGTTGTCGACAGATATACATGTATGACCGTAATTTTTTTAACGAGCAAGGAAAGTGAAATAGAGGATGAAGATCGATGTGGAGCGCGAGCCCCGCGCTAAAACGCCTTCGCTGGCTTGCAGCGCTGGTCCAGCGCATCTAGTGGACTCGAGTTTGGGCTCATTGTCTACCTCTCGTCCGGGCCTTTCGGGATGCCCAAGATGATGACAATTGTCCCAGGGAAACTAAAGTTACGTGGAATTTCAGGTAAAGATTTTGAGGGCACAATTCTCCACATACATTGAGTTCAGTCCATAACGGGTTGATGTGAGCTATATACGTGCTGTATTATTTTTACTAGTGGTTAATTGCACTTGTAGCCAGGCAGGCACAGTGAGTTGGTCTAAGACCATGATTGAGAAACGAGAGGTACCAGGTTCAAGTCCTGCTTGGAAGCGGAAGGATTTTTTCCAACCGTGCTGCGACCCACAGTTAATTGGGAACTCGTTGCCTGGCATGAGTAAAACATGGATGTGGCAAATGGGATTTATGCCTTTGGCCTCTGGTTGGTGGATCTGATCTATCCTCCCCCACCGTTTAGGATCCGCATCTGACGCCTTATCATGGGGTGGTGGCGTCCCACGGAAGCGGAAAGGTGGTTCTTGACCAGGGAGTTGTACGACTCCTTGTTCTTGACGTGCCCGGTACGCAAACCCGTCGAATTTTCTATTTTATTTTTTTATTGCACTTCTATCATGATGTTATTTCTAACACCTTTCTATTACAGTACTTAAAGGGGAAGTTAAGGCAAAAATTAAAATTTCACCAGTTGTAGTCTTCGGGGTGCTGAGTCGAATGGTCTTGGTCCGAGAAAGCTGAGACGCTCCCTTCCTACTTGAATCCCAATCGAACTCGCGCACTTCCGCCGAAACTGGGTGACTGCACCCTACTAGATGGGGATTTGTATGCAAAATGTCACCAAAAGCGCCATTTCGTTCTTATAAAAGAACGGATGACCGCGATTGGCCCATATGTTGTAGTCTTTTGGACGCTGAGTCGACTGGTTTTGGTCCGAAAAGGCTGCGATGCAGCGTTCCTCCTTTATTCCCAATCGAACATGGTTGAACAAGCGGTCACATGCTCCTGCGTTCACCAGTCACCTGGTCACCGTGCCTGCAGGGTACAACTTACTAGCCTGTTTGACCTTTTTTGGGTGCAGTCCTGTCACTCGAGTTGAACTCGAGTTGAACCTTGGTGTGAAAGTTGTCGCCTGCTGGCGTGTTGACCAGGTGATTTGGGCACCCAGGAGCACCTGACCGCTTGTTCAACCATGTTCGATTCGGAATAAAGGAGGAATGCTGCATCGCAGCCTTTTCGGACCAAAGCCAGTCCTCTCAGCGTCCAAAAGACTACAAAATATGGGCCAATCGTGGTCATCCGTGCTTTCATCAGAACGAAATGGCGCTTTTAGTGACATTTTGCATACAAATCCCCATCTAGTAGGGCACAGTCACCCAGTTTCGGTGGAAGTGCGCGAGTTCGATTGGTATTCAAGTAAGAAGGGAGCGTCTCAGCTTTCTCGGACCAAGACCATTCGACTCAGCACCCCGAAGACTACAACTGGTGAAATTTTGAATTTTGCCTTAACTTCCCCTCTAACTTCAGTTTCTTTGGTTGTATCCTTTAGCTCAGTATTTTTTCCCACTGATGATAGGATCGAGAAAATCGATTCTGGGTTTCGATAATATTTTTGCGCACTTTTCGTACTTCGAATTATGCATTCGAATTTGACTTGAAGTGACTTGCAGAAGATAGGTACGACGAAAAAGTTCCAATTACACGGAATGTTCGAATTATACCGTATTAGTATTATTATTATTATTATTATTATTTATTCTTCTTTTACTAGGGAATTCCCAACAGGCGTCAGCGCCTTTTTACAGGGAACCCTAGGTATAATTTGATGGATGAGCGAAATTCAGCTGGTGAACTAGACATGCGGCAAGCCGGTGGAAGTGTATTCCACCTGGCAGCGCCCAAATAAGAAATTGCACTAAAGCCATATCGGGTGTTAGCGGGGGGCAGAACAAGAGCAGCAGAGACTTGGCCACGGGTGGTGGCTGCAGTGCGAGCACCATGGGCGCGCAAGGTAAAGCGGTCTCGCAGAAGAGGACTAGCAAGTCCATTCAGGCAGCGGTAAACAAATACATAGGTTTTGAAGTTGAGGCGTTTCTCAAGGGCGTACAAGTTAGTATGACTGTATAGAAGAGTGGTGGGAGTCATTCTATCCAACGAAAATATTCTCTTTAATGCTACGCGGCTGGCAGTAAGAAGCTTGTCATATAGGGTTTGTGATAAGCAATGAATATATGCAGTGCTGCCAAACTCAAATGTGGACTGAATGATCGATAAATAGAAAAGTCGTTTGCCAAAAATGCTGATATTCTGCTTTGCATGGACAAATGCTCCGACCTTCCTATTGACAGTTGCACATACTGCATCCACTTGGGTTGAGAAAGACAGATGTTCGTCAACCAGTATTCCTAAGTACCGAGCGTAAGCAGATGGGGCTATGGAAGTGCCCCGTATTCGAACTAGAGGGAGTCTACCTGTATTAATAATTTTTCGAGTGCAATAATTATGTATTTTAATTATTCAAGGACAACGGTGGGACGCCATTCGCTGTACGCACATACTTCACGTACTTGGTCCGACTTAATAAAATGCGCGTTCCGTTTCGAACGTCAACCAAACAAATTCAAAAAATCTCAGGACGGAATTAACTATCCAGCGACCCAACACTGTCCTTCAGTTGTCAATTTGTGATGTTGAAGAAGAAATGCCTCCAACTCCAACGGAGGCAGCGCCTCAGGACCCTAGTCGATTCCAGCATTTTGCGTCCAAATTTTGTCGTCAGAGGACTCCTGTTGCTTCTCGCGCAACACAGAGAAGGCCTGGTGCTGAAATCAACACCCCACTGTGATGGGAAATTGTCACGGAGTACCAGAAACTCCTGGGCGATCATTCTCGAGTGCCTCCTGGCGGATTGAAATCGCTGCAGTCGCTGTTTTCTTGGCAGAATTTCAGCAAACGCGTCATCCACAAACTCGTGCAGAAAGCACCAGCATCGCTCCATCCAGTGTGCTGATCTCTCTCGCAGTCGTTCACGATGTGGCGGCGGACGAATCAAGATCGAGAAGTGGATCGAAATAAATAACCGCCCTTGAGGTCGACTTTCAAGCGACAACCTGCAAGGAAAACTGAAGCGCAGAAAGGGTGAATTATCGAGATATCCTGCGGATACGGTGCGTGAATGGTGCGGAGTCCTCGGAGCCGCGATCGATATGCGTCACAAGATCGCCAGTCTTTGGGGCGAGTGGATTCGTGAAACAGGCAGGGAAGAGCACACAATGTGGTCTGACTGCATGACAGTCATGTTGCGTGGACGCAGATGCAGTGCTGCCAAACCGTCCGATTTTTAAGACAGTGTCCGATTTTTGAAGGGTCTTCCGAAAACCGGTCCGAAAAGGGAAACGTCCGAAAGCAGCCAAAATGTCGGAGATCATTACTTTCCTATGCAGAAGTCCTGTACTTTCACTTTTCAGCGCAACTGAAGGCACAATTACAAATCACTGTACATTTGCTTCTAAAAAGGCAAGCGCTTGGCTGTGGAAGTGCAAAGTAACATGCCTGGATCAGGCTGGATGGCATGTACGCTGACAGTCTGTACAGAGTCAGTGTGCGACCACACTCATCATTACAAAATTCATGACAATTCTGGGGTTACCATGGCAACGAAGCGAATTTTCATGGTGTTTCAGGCGATATTTTGAATTCTCTGTAAAAAGAATTACCGAGGAGAAAAATTCGCACCGTGTGGCCAGCCTTGGCGGTGAAGGGTGTCCGATTTTGCGGGAAAATTATTTGGCAGCACTGCAGATATATCAGACTCAGTACGCGCGCGGCACATGGTGGTGAGAAGTGATTTTTTATGCGTGGTGGTGGTGACCGGTGGTGTACTGGTTTGCCTCATTTGAAGGGAAAGATAAGCGAAAACACCTACAGCCACCATTCTAGCAGTCGTACTGCACGAGGAGGAGGCGAAGTCGAACGTCTAAATCGTGCCTATGGAGTGAACAAATCAAGGAAGCGCAGTGTAGCTTGGAAGAGATGAAAAAACTGTCGACGTTTTGCAGGTTGACGCACTTGCAGATGCGCCCTGAGGCACCAGCAGAGATGAAAACTAGAAGGCCAGGCCAAGAAACGACACAGTAGTTAACTATCTACCGTCTCTTGGTTGATTTTTTAGTACAGGTGCTCCCTTTTTACATATGCTTGAGTTTTGAGGCGAAGCCCACATTATAACAAGTCGGACCAAGCACAAACTAGTACTCGGGGAGACCCAATCTGATGACAACATGAACAAGGATGTTGAGCAAGTTTCTTTAAGCAGCTGCAGGTGTTGGAAGCTGTTTATTTTCGTACACGTGACCCTGTCTTATGCAAGCAAAAGGAACATGTTGTACTACCCACACTCTTCAAATAGTATGTACTCACCATTTCTGTCCGCAGGCACCCACAACTGCAACATTCATCTACTGCTACCATTCTCAGATCCACTGCATACGTTCACACTACCGACGTTATGCATAACCACGAGCTGCTGCATACCCACCCTCCTAATCATTATTATTATCCCTTGAATATTGCCCTCTATTGAATATTTAGTGTCCATCTGTGATGGACATTGAAAAACACAGTGGCCCCCGGGGCACCTAACACGCTAGTATGGTCCTCCATCAAATGCATTGGACATATTGCACATACTTTGTTCTTGGGCTTCAGTCTCTTCGGCCTGTGTCTCGCCCTCGCCAGCATCTTCGGAAATTAGAAGAAGACAGAAAGAAGGCTCAGTAGTCGTGCATACATGTAACAAATACAATCACATATTTAGCAGCTTCGCCGTGATTTCATCTACTACACCTAATATTATGTACATGTAATTACAGAGGCAATTTGCTTTGGTTCTGCAAGAGTGCTCAATGCCTGATTCAGGCAGAGCGGCGTACACAAAGGCACACAATGAAAACCTTGGCAAATTGACAACGTAATTAATTTGCCAAGGTTTTCATTGTGTGCCTTTGTGTACATGTAATTACACAGTTGCTGTCTGATGATCGGTTAAAACCGTGCAACTCAGAGTTACAGAAGAAACGCTTTTCGTCCCTCTCAAGTGTGTGTACATGTAATTACATGTAGTTATATTTCAAATCCGTCTTGGCAAACGATGCCTGCAGTAATGGACACGGTTCCATGAACAAGACCGTTCAGTCCTTTACTCCTCAACTATACTTTAATATATACATGGATAAGGACGGCTCATCAGGTGTGCAATAATGGACCCGAATGGAGAGCCAAGGATATATTTATAGAGAACAAAAAGGACCAAGGAACTACAAGTTACGCTATAATGTCCACTAACACCACCAGTTATCACAAAATCAGATCGTGTGATAACATTGCATGATACTGACCGAAGGTACTGACGTTCTGCAGCTAACTGCCTATCAGGTCTGGCTCTTTTACATAATAATATTAATACTCAATCTGCGGACAGAACTGTTTCGTCCTTTGTGGACTCGTCAGCGCAGCACAGAGGAAATGAGGCCGAACCTGATAGCAATGGAAATAAAAATTTCCAATCAGGCCCGAACGTACCTTGCCAGAGTGCTCAAACTGACAAGTCAGTGAGCTCTGCATAATAATATTATTATGTACATATTCAAATCCGTCTTGGCAAGCGATGCCGGCGGTAATGGACACGCTACCATGAAAAAGACCGTTCAGTCATTTTCAGTGAAATAGACTTCAATGAATACATACCGGATGTAGGACTTATTATCAATATTTTATTGACCCTCCCTTGCATGCTTTGCACCGCTCAAGCAACAGTGTTTGGCGAAAACTGCATTGTTGAAATAGGACACTGCAGTGTTACACACTGCTCCTTTCTTCAGGTAAAGTCATCTTGCCCCATTCATAATTTATGATGGATACCGACTTACCCGGAATGTTGTTTAAATTCAAAGTATACTGGCCGGTGTTTGCTTTCGGAAGTTCTTCTTCAGGAATCGTATCAACGGTTAGCGCCTTTAACAAGCTTGCCGCAACTAAAATGATGTACAGTAGAGAGAAAGGCAGCCATTTAGTGAGATCGGATACGAAATACACTCGGATGAAGAGCCAAGGATACATTTCTAGAAAATGAAAAGGACTAGAGAACTACAATAATGTAAGCACAATTTTTGAGGCGTATCCAATTTCGAAAGAAAAGGTGTCAGCACCAACGTAATCCACGCAGTCAAGTAACTGAAGGAAGCCAATTAGGTAACCAAACGTTTTCGTTCCCTTCTCATCATGGGTAAGTACAGAGGATAATGGAAACATATCAAAATACAGCAATTTATGGAGCTACAGCAAAAGCATAGATCGAGATCCTCACGCTGACATTTTTCCATTATTCCCTATACTTACAAGTCATATGATGAGAAGGGAACGAAAACGTTCCGTTACCAAATTGGCTTACTTGACTGTGTGGATCACGTCGGTGCTGACACCTTTTCTTTCGAAAAAGAACTACAAAGTTACTCTATAATGCCCACTAATCAGGATAGTGACTAAACAATAAGCTCATGCGATAACATTTCACGACACTGACCACTACCAGCTCTAGCACATCCCGGACGCGCACTCCAACAGCCTTCCAACTTGGAAGGCTCTAAGTTCTATTTTATTAACATTAGGTGGGGAAGGTTATATTGTGCTGTGGCCAACTGAACATACTTTTTAGGCAATTATGATAAGCTATTCTTGTCAAACATAGGTGTAGGAGGTAGAATACACAAGTCTTCACAAGTCGCAAGCAGCCAGCTTGCGACGACAGAGACTGAGCCGCCTCACTGCCTGGATAAAGCATCAGCATTTCCATTACTGGCACCCGCGCGATAGAGAACGTCGAATGCAAACAGCCGGAGGGCAATGAACCAACGGGCCACACGAGCATTCCCGCTGCTATCTTGGATGATCCATTGCAGAAGGCGATGGTCCGTGATGAGGGTGAAGTGCCGACCGAGAAGGTAGGGCGCAAACTTTTGCAGCGCCCACTTGATGGCCAAGCCTTCCTTCTCAATGGTAGCATAGCATCGCTCACGGGGAAGTAGTTTCCGGCTGGCATAGGCGATGGGATGTTCCTGCTCCCCCACCGTCTGGGTCAACACGGCACCAATAGTAGGCCTCTCCCAGCAAGTCGTCCTCGGACAGGTCGACATGACCTGATGTCGGAGTATGGGGCACAGGATCCTGCGGGGGCGCACCAGTTGGGTCAACGAGCAATGCGACTGACTCGTTGCGCTTTCGACATTTCAAAGCAATGTGCCCACGTTCGTGGCAGTGGTAGCACCGCGGCGGTATTGAACCGGGCGCTCACTTGGGCGGGAGTGGTGGCCTGGTTTTAAATGTACCAGGACCGGGCCCTTGCCAGGAGGGTCCATTGGCGTCGGTGGTGCCAGTGCCCCATGGAAAGAGCCGGATCCTGGGCCCTTACTCCCAAAGCCTGTCGCCCTAGGCAAAGGTGTAGCTGGGTGACCAGTTGGGTTAGCAGAGACACTTGGTCCGTGGGGTCAACGCCTTCACACCCAGCTGGAGTCGACAAACTAGGGGCACCAACTGACACATCGCGCAGTGGTGCCATTTGCGGGAGCGATTGGTGTGCTTGGAAGCGGGAAGACTGCTGCATTTGGGCTAGTAGTAGTAGTAGTATTCTTTTATTTATAGTGGAGAAACCAAAACAGGCACACGCCTAATAACAGTGGACCCACTGTGTAGGGTGGTGGAGGGGGGGGGGGAGATATGGCTAATGGTAAATAGCGGCGACGAAATAGAGCAGTTCCAGCACAGCTACAGAAACATGGGCGTAAAGCTATAAGCAAGCAAGAATGTTTTGCAAAACGCTTGACTTGAAGGCGGCCGGTTTGGTGATGCCTCGGATATCACCAAACTGGCCGCCTTCAAGTCAAGTGCTGCCTCGTCCGTACGCTTCCAGTGCTGGAGTTCTCGATATGGCTGGCGCAGCAATCGCTGGGTCACTCGAGGGGCGTAAATGTAAGTGTAAGTAGTTATGTGATTGGAAGGCCAACGGGAATGGGAGAAGCAGTCTCTAAGACCATTCCCGTCACAATCTTGCTGCGCCCAACAAATGCAACGTTCAATGCTCGAAAACTTCAACGTTCCAGACTCCTCTTGTCTTCCGGAGAAACAGCTGACTCCATCATGACATATACTGACTTACCCGGAGTTGTGGCTGACATCTGAATCAACTTGGATATATCATCTACGGCTGAAACGGGGTTTTGGTTCCCGGCAAGGCTATCAACCAAGGTATTAACCAGGCTTGCTTCATCTAAATGGACAGTACCAAAAATAGAAAAAAATGGAGTACATGTATGACCGGCGTTAGAATAGACAGTCTGTTGTTCAATTGTCCCTTTCCCCATCCTTCCCCAACCAACAAAATTCATTTAAAAACGCACACACAATCTGACCATTTGACGCCAATCACCAGAGGCGATGATCAGCAGAAACTATAGCAACTTGTGCTGGGATTGCACTATTCAACAGCTTGCAAGGCTCAAGAATTGATCGCCAGTATTCAGCCTGGTCTACACCACACGGCTAAGAAGTGGCTTTTCTGACCAGTAAATCCCTACTTTTTGGTGTGTGTGTTTTTTTAATTTCCCAACCACACATCACACCATAATATGGTGCTCCGGTATGCACGGCCAGTTGGTAATCACCAGGAGAATGACATTTTTTTAGAAGGAGTCTCAGAAAGAGAAGAAGGACGTGTGTGACCATAATCTTCGGGAATCGAACCCACACAGAGCCTGATCATCGCGGCACAAGACCAGGCCTTGGCAACTAAGCCCAACCCTTCCATCAGGGCGGAAGCTCCCCGTGTCGAATGTGTGGGAATGCATGCGAGTCGGTTGCCCATATCCTATGCGAGTGTTAGAAGCTCGCTGGACGTGATTACTTGGTGCGCCATAATCAGCTGGCCTATCTGGTCTACTGCTTGCTCTCTCGTCTACATGCCACATACCACGTGAAGACAAGTACTGTAAGCACCACTGTGATCCGATGCTTGAGCATACCAAAACCAATGCAACGGTACAAGAGCATCCTGCACCTAAGGTCAGTAAGGATGACGTGCCTGGAGCTAGAGATACTTCACACACCAACATCGCTCCGCAGGACCAGAAGATCAATATTCTGTGCGATTTCATCATCCAGTGCGATCGCTTCATTGAGCACAGACGGCCTGATATTGTTCTCGTTGATGGACCTGCCAAGAAGGCCCTGATCAATGACATTGCTGCACCTTGTGATCCACGCGTTGCTGAAAAGGAAGTTGGGAAACGTGCCAAGTATCAACTTCTTGCCCGCGAAATCCATCGGCTATGGCAAGTTGAGACTCAGATTGTTCCTGTTGTAGTTGGGACTTTGGGCACTGTTTACAAATAGTTGCCAGGATGCCTTGACACCATCGATATCACCAGCTACTAATGCTCTGTGTCTAAATTGCAAAATAATGCTCTCCTTGGCTCGACAGCTATCCTGCGTGAGGTCCTTGATTTGTAATACTCTGGAGTGGGTGGCGGAGTTCTTTTGGTCCTATTTTCCTCCAGATCCTCTCGTGTTTCCAATGATCAATATTTAAAAAAGTGTTGGGTGTTTCTCTCTGTTCTTTACCTACCAGCATAGTTAATATCCATAGATGCATGGTCCCACTTTTGGCTGCTGGATGCTAGCCCGGTGGGTACCTCTCTACGGGATTCGGCCTAGTGCTGATGGATAATAGTAATAAAGCAGGTCGCGTAATGAGGCAGCATAAATATAGATGTACAAAGTCATGATGCCTCGTCCGCTTCTGTCCTGGGGCCACTACCCTGTGCATTGCAGCGGCGAGCAAAACCAGCTCAGGCTGAGAGTTCCCCCCGTGATTGCTTGTCCAAGGCGCGTATTCTGAGCCCACTCAGATCGGTCATGGTCTTCAGCGGCATGTCTCTGGCAGCAACACTTGCCTTGACTGTCATGGCGAGGTTCGATTTCGGGCGTACACGCACAATAGTGAAATCGCGACGGAAGTAGTTATCCATTTCCTACTGTGACGGGGCGTCTGAGGGCATCCTCAGAACATGACCTAGCACCCGGAAACGGCGGACAGCAGCGGTGTGCGAGAGTGGCTGTGTGTGTGTGTTCGGGAATATAGGTCTTTGCTGGAGATGATGGCGGGATACCTAATTCCGAACAAGTTCCGTAATTGACGTCTATGGAAGGCGTTCAGCTTCTCCAGTGCAGCCCCGTCCGTCCCAAGTTTTGTAGTTGTATAACAGTAGGACGGTGTCATTGTAGAGAAGAATGCTGGTTTCCTCGGATACAAGTTGACTTCGTATCCAGAGCGGATACATGCGGCCATACGGTGTTGATGCTTGGTCCATTCGTCAGCTCAATTCCTCCCCCAAGAGGGAACCTAGATGTGAAGCCACTCTGTCCTGGTGCTGTTAATTAACGTTGAGTGACCAGTCACCCAGGCCGTCAGCTATCACGGGTAAGGAGTTGTCCAGCCACTGTCGCTCAGTCGAATAGAAGGAAATGTCATCGGCATATCCCGTTTCCTGTGGTACTGCTGCATCAGTGTCTGGGCGTGGTGGTAGCTTGCTTCGTGTCTCCCGCAGTGCTGCTTCCAGATAGCAAACGAACAGAATTGGACTCAGCACATCACCCTGTGGTGTACCTAGCGTGCTAACAAACGCCTCCGCTTAAGTGGCACCCACTTTTATAGAGAGTGTCGTACAATGCAAACAAGTGGTGAATCAGGCATGTCTCGTCAGGTCCAGTAATCGCTGACATACCAAGGAGCTTTGTGCGACTAATGGCGTCGAATGCTTTCGACATGTCGAGGCCAAGGACGTGGCAATCCCACACAAAGTGGGTTGTTTTAGCTGAAATCCAGCGCTGTGTCCACACCACATAGGCAGTGCCACGGCCAGGCCTGAAACCGGAACCTACAGGTGAACAATAAAATATCACTATTCTTATGGTCTCACCATGCCGTAGTAAGTGGTGAAGTACAAGGCGCAGAAAAATGATTAGAGGACATTAGAGTATCCATCCCGGGATCCAACTCCCAGTGAAAGAAATACTTGCTGGCTAAATCAGAGCGGATCTGTATAAGCTTCACTAGCACCATTGATAACACGATTGAATCCAGCCAGAAGCAGTCCATGTTTGGCCATTTGTATTTATTCCCGTAGCTATGCAGAAGACGTTACTTCAGTAACGTCTGGCGCTAACCAGGGTCCACACAGCTTTAATTTGGTATTTGTTTGTGTGTTTGTGTCACGCATGGCGCTATCCGTATCTGACGGCAAAAAAGCATAGGATGTTATAATTTTTTCAATTCTCCTATTTTTTTTTTAAGGCATATCCTGGGATTCGAACCCGCACTATCGCCCTACATGCATTCCCCCATACACTTCGCATTCATACCCATTCTTCCAAGTTGCTTCACGTTCTCCCTTCGCCGTGACTGCGCTCACACAGACAGAGTAACCCGCGGCCAAGTCAATTATTCCCTTTCCTTACCCATTGTGCAAGCTCAAGCTGGATACAGATCTATTTCATTCCTTGGTGCTGACCGCTTTAATGCGCTTCCCGAATCCCTTCGCACAAATCATATCCCCAATTCATTTCGCCAGGAACTTAACAATTTCATTCATCTTGGGCACCCTGTAAGAAGACCTTAGGGTCTGTTGGGAATGCCCAAGTAAAATAATAAAATACAATCCAAAATACAATACAATTATCTTGCGTTTGAAAGCCCTATTTGAATATTGCGGGCAGCTGTATGTGGCCAGCTGTGTTTGATGGTACGGTACGGTACGGGAGACGGTGTCGTATTACCCTCGATCGTACCTGTCCCGTACCTATCCCCTACCGTACCGTGCCATCAAAGACGGCTGGCCACAATGCATATTCAAATAGGGCTTTCAAATGCAAGATCACAATGTGAAACAACTTGGAAGAATGGGTATGAATGCGAAGTGTATGGGAGAATGCACGTAGGGCGATAGTGCGGGTTCGAATCCCAGGATATGCCTGAAAAAAATAGGAGAATTGAAAAATTTATACCATCCTATGCTTTTTTTGCCGGTAGATACGGATAGCGCCAGGCGTGACACAAACAAACAAATGTATGCGAAGTGTATCGGGGGATGCATGCAGGGCGCGCGATAGTGCGGGTTCGAATCCCAGGTTATGTCTTAAAAAAAAATGGATTTTTTAAAAGAATTTATAACATCCCTATGCTTTTTTTTTGTCTAGGTCATCAAGGCAAAAAAAGCATAGCGTAGGGCCCTGAGCTTCCAAGCTCTCTCGTTTATTTAAAGGATTCCCAAAGGCTGTTCACCTGTCGAAGGGTTTCCTGTTTTCTCTTGAGTAATGAGATCCGTGGAATGGAAAACTGGTAAGAGAGGAGGAAGAAAAAAAGAAGAGTAAGAAAGGAAAACGAAGAAGCAAACAAAAAACTAGATTGGAGTAAGCAATAGGATAATGTAAGGCACACAAAGCATAATAAATCAAAGACAGAAGAACAATGGGAGGATAGCAGAGTGGCATCTAATCCATTACTCGACAGTGAAAGTTATATTTAAACAGATGGAAGCCGGCTTGCTACTTAAAAATCAGACAGGGAGGATACACAAGGAAAAATAGAGGAGAAGTATCGACGATGAGTTCGGCTTTCGCTCCTATTTCGTAATATGGGTTGTATATCTAGGAGTTCCTTGCTCTTGTGTCCTCCTCGTATGATCTTCTAAGCGAGGCCTCTTCACATCTTTGGTTTTCGCGACCAACGGTATGTGCGTTTCAGAATGTTCCCGTGCTCTCAAAAAAAACATTGTTCAGCTGATTGTCGAGAAGCAGTCAGAGATTAATAATTCAATAGTAATGTCGCATTTGCGCTGCAAGATTTCATTTATTTTACTGAACTGGCCGGATAACTTGCTTTCGTGGGTTCAGAGTTTCATACTGCCGAAAGCGTGTAGCAGTTTCATTTCTGCAGCAATGTCGTTTGCTGCAGTTGTGAGTGGAAATAGATAGGCCCTTCATGTGCTGTGGAGGCCTGCTGGTAAATTCAATACATTCCTGCTGTAGGTGCATGCATACTGTGGGTATGTACTTCCTCCGCGTCATTAAAATTGTCGCTTCCCGAGCGATTTTTCGAAAATTATTTGTCCACTCGAAGGGCAAAGAAATCAGCTAATAATTGAGGCAGAGCATTGTCGACGGACCAAGCTTTAGTTTGTGGCCCCCCGTTTCGCTGCACTTGCACCTAAGGTCGACGTCTTCATCAGACTTTGAGGCAGACCCTTCAGCACTCCACAATACGCTGAACAAGACGCGCGTTCAAATTCAGGTCAAGAAATTCCGTTTTCAGGCGATCCATGCCCCCAGTTGGCAGGCGATGAAGGCAAGCTAGCATTTTTCAAGTACACTGTAACGACCTTCCAGTGGGATAGGGTAAGCAGTTCCGCGCCTTCTTTCCTTGGCAAGCGCTTCGCTGGTTTTGTTGGTGTTTTCAGACCTGCTACCTTCGCAGCAACATGCGCCACAAGTAGCGCATTTTAGGAATTCGAGATCACTTTCAATTTGTTTGTTCTTGCCATCGTCAACTTCAGCAGTTCGTATTCAGGAGAGATACCAGGATTCTTATACCCGAGCTTGCAGTCTCGACAAATGCCCACGCGAACGATGTGGGACGGCATGAACTCCAGAAAACGAAATGCGCTCTGGGGCGGAATAGTGCGGAGCGCGATGAATTCACTTGGTGCGGAAGAGAGCTGACAAAGTTCGAGACCACCACGGCTTCAGTGACAAGTAGACATTGCGCAGGAAGGGTCAAACCAGTGTTCGAACACAGAAAACAGCGATTCCGACAGTCTGACTAAGACGAGCCAAGTCACAAATATTGCGATGTGCGAAGCGACAATTTTAATGACGCGGAGGAAGTACAGTAACAAAATGTTTGCCTGCACCTTTGTAGGTTCATACATGATAATAAAAGCCGGCTGGCATGGCATAATAACATTTTTTCATTTTTGCAGTGGCTATTAACCTCGGATGGTTGCTCACATTCTGTATCGCTTTTTGTGCATTGAGCAATAGAGATGACTACTAACTGAGCCTCTGGATCCATAAAAGAGGGGGCTTTACGTCATTTATGAAGGTTTTATCCCTTTGGGGGTTATCTATACCATGGCATTGCTGTATACAAGCAAATCTCTCTTTAAAAAAACTAGGTCCAAAATCTTTATCTTTCACAGAGCTATGGGCGTTTCAATAAGTGATTTATACATCGCTGAATACGCAAAACTCAACTTTCAAAATCCAAATGCATTTTTCTCAATACTGCGCAAAACGACATAAGCTCCCTTTTCGGATCTAGAGGCCCAAATACATCATGTCGTGACCTCACCTAGGTAGAAAACATTGCGAAAAATGTCTTCAAGGTTGCTACGCGTCGCACTCATCTGCATGGTTACCACAGTGAGTGTTACCCTCTATACACATACCCGTGAGGACGCCCAAACACCTGTGGGAGCCAGCCATCACACTGCTCCTTTCGCAGGGTTCATCAGATGAAAATCTAATCTATATTATTGTATCCGGATTCGACTGATGGAAAATTGCTAATCAACTGCATGCAACGGATCTGCATCTGGATTCAACCAAACAATCACAGACTATTATACACCATTTGTCTCTTTTTCGTTACAAGAGTACATGTACTGCAATCATAGTTAGCAAACCACATAGCAAATAGAAGGCGAGAGAGAGAGAGACAGGGAGAGACAGAGACTTAGAGAGAGAAAGAGAGAGAAAGAGAGAGAGAGGAGAGAGAGAGAGAGAGAGAGAGAGAGAGAGAGAGAGGGAGAGAGAAAGGGAGAGAAAGACAGAGAAAGAGAGATAGAGAGAAAGAGAGACAGACACAGAGAGACGGAGAGAGAGAGAGAAAGAGAAAAAGACTGGTAGATGGAGAGAGAGAGAGGGAGAGAGAGAGAGCAATAGATAGACAGAGCGAGAGAGGCATAGAGGAAGAGATGAACTCGCAACAGCAAACGAATGTGCTAAAATTCATAATTCGTACAGATAACTTGCTACGTCATTTTTATGCCGTATATGGAGACAAGAAGCAATAATAAGGTACGTTCTGCGATCAGAAATACATATTGACGAACAACAAGAATGTTTTCCAAAATCGATTTTCATGTCACAGTGATGAGTGTAATTTTGTCACTGAAAGTTTACCATGACGAACAATTATTACTCCATCTGTGGACAGAACTGTTTCGTCCTCTTGGACTCATGAGGCGCATCCTAGAGAAAATGAGGCCGAACGTTGTAGCAATGAAAAACAAATCTCTCCAAAGCCAGGCCCAAACCTACCTTGCCAGAGTGCTCCAACTGACAAGTCAACTGCGCGTTACGCAAACAGAAAAGGAACTACCCCACACGAGAGTGCTCAACTACTGTAAGAGGGTGAGAGAAATACTGAATCTGCTTCGTCCTTTTTGGACTCATCAGCGCAACAAAGAGAAAATGAGGTCGAACACTCAAAGTATACATTCTATAGTGTGAGCCAAAAAGTAAATAAAGTGCTAAAGATAGGCTTTACTTTTTGTCTCACCCCTTTACACTCAGCTTTCGTGTCACATTTTATTTTCTCACATCTTTGCCTTCTATATAGCATTTTATTTCGTTCTGGGCACGCACTATTATAAGGTATACTTTTGATCACATTCTCTCTCTCTCTCGCTCTCTCTCTCTTTCTCTCTCTTGCTCTCTCGCTCTCTCTCTCTCGCTCTCTCGCTCTCTCTCTCTCTCTCTCGCTCTCTCTCTCGCTCTCTCTCTCTCGGTCTCTTTCTCTCTCTCGCTCTCTCGCTCTCTCTCTCTCTCTCGCTCTCCCTCCCCCATCCACTCTTGGTGCGTCTAGGTGGCCATGAAATCGACACCCTAGGTCGGCGGAGCTCCCTAATCCTCACCACCACTGTCACGATTCAGGTTGTGCGTGCTTCCCCTAGCTGCATCTCATGTTTGGCATTTAAGTGGTCCTTGTAAAAAATTAAAAAATTAAAAAAACTGTTTTGCAGGGTAAACCTTCGGTCACGCACGATATTCCACTGTTGAGTGTGACGTGAAAATTGATTTTAGGAAACCTTTCTTACTTCGTTGATGTTCAATGATGATGGCAGATTTTATCCTATTTATTTATCTGTTGTATCTGTATTCATTTTATATCGATATGAAACGAGCATGGCTGCCCAATATTATTATCCGCCTGCTGGAATCTGAATCAATGTCAACGATTATTATGGCAGCCTGTACAGGGACTGTGGAGTTTCTGTTCATTGGACTGTTGCTAAGAAGAAGAGAGTCGTGATGATGTCATAGCTGGGGTTTCCTGATGAACAATAAGCCACACTTAAACTACCTCTAAAGTATACTGCTTATTACGTATAGAGGTATCATCAAAGTGTCAGTCTCCTCAGTGTCCTATTTCTGAAATAGGTAGTTATTCACAACCGGACACACTTCTTCGGAGGGGTACAATGTCACGTGACTCTATGCCCTAACCAATGATTATGTGCCTGTCCAGCCAGGTTGTGTTTTCACAGAATACATGATTCTACATGCCTGTACTATAAGTCTTTTCTGCATACAGTGTAGTTGTAAACTTTCCACATGGTGATAATTATTTTTCGAACGTTATCCTCTTTACTAAGGAGCCATGGCCTTATCAATTGTAGGTTTGATTTGGAATGGAATATTCGTCAATTTTCGCTACAGATGCAACATACATGTACCAGTACCAGTATGCAAGATAGCAACTAGTGACTCCACTAGCAACTAGTGACTCCACTAGCAACTAGTGACTCCACTAGCAACTAGTGACTCCACTAGCAACTAGTGACTCCACTAGCAACTAGTGACTCCACTAGCAACTAGTGACTCCACTAGCAACTAGTGACTCCACTAGCAACTAGTGACTCCACTAGCAACTAGTGACTCCACTAGCAACTAGTGACTCCACTAGCAACTAGTGACTCCACTAGCAACTAGTGACTCCACTAGCAACTAGTGACTCCACTAGCAACTAGTGACTCCACTAGCAACTAGTGACTCCACTAGCAACTAGTGACTCCACTAGCAACTAGTGACTCCTCTAGCAACTAGTGACTCCACTAGCAACTAGTGACTCCACTAGCAACTAGTGACTCCACTAGCAACTAGTGACTCCACTAGCAACTAGTGACTCCACTAGCAACTAGTGACTCCACTAGCAACTAGTGACTCCACGTCACAATCAGACTAACCTGTGGTTGACGAGGCCGCGTTGAGCAAGTCGCCCAGGTTGGTGTCCTCGATTCCAAGGTTACTTGGCACCTGTCTTGCCGTTCTAACTGGCACTGCTGAGCTCAGTGTTGAGAACGCCAGAAGAAAGAGAGCTGGAAGCAGGCCTTGGAGGACCATGGCTTTTGCCATCTCTACCAGCAATGCTGTCATGAGATGAATGCTAAAAAATGACACTACTTTCAACTGGACCTGCTTATACATATGCTTCTCTGAACATGTGAGAGCAAATCCAGCTGTTGCAATGATAAAGATATTGTGTTGGCAAGCACACAGGGCTGTGACTGCACGGAATCATCAACCTGTAAAAGTCAAGGAGATCTCTGCTGTCGGTGGTGGTGTTGTGGTGCCCAGCACATTGCATATTGCGGGAAATTATAGCGAGTCAGTGCGGGTCATTCCGACCCATCTGTAACTGTCGACAATTCCAAGCTGTCGCGTACAAGGGAGGGGGGGGGGGATTGCACCAATACCACAATACTACTCTATCGTTGAAGCGGTGCATGTAGTCACTCTACATGCTAATTGTTAAGTGTGCAAATTAGCATCTAGAGTGGCTAACCCCTCTAGTTGTGTCCATTCACCTTACAAGTATTACTTGACAAATTGTCTTCACTTCATAGTACTGCATACATGTACATAAAGCGTTCCTCTCACTGAATGGGGCAGAACTTTGTCGGAGTGAGAACAATGGATGGCGTCACCAAATTCCTCAAATACGCAGTGCACACTCGTGAGACCTAGGGCACTTCTTCGTCTGGCACCAAGATTTCTGCGGGTCATTCGCATTCGTTATCTTCTATTCACGTGACACGAATACTTGCCTGCAAGAGAGCCGCATTCATATTATTCTTTTCCCACGAAGTAACAAAATACATAAGGGATTGTGGCATCTACCACTAACCAGGATCCACAACACATACTTATTGTACTACATGTATAATTATGGGTAGCCATCAGACGCTCAAACAGAGCGCAATCCTTTGCCACGACATATAAAATATACACTCTCGCAGCTTTGGGACCCGATCTTATTCGGTATTTGGTATGAATGCATGCTCTGGCGCATTTATGCCAAGTGCCCGTGGCTATGAAGAGTTGTGGGCATCAGAATCAGCTGGTAAAGGTATGCACTACTTGTACTATATCCCCCTTCGTCTCCAGGTGCCTACTACACAGTCTATGAGTGAGGCGATTAACATTTTACCAACGCAGAACAGCCTTGTATGAAGATCACTTGTCGGGATGTCGGGGGTGTCAGGGTCTGCGTTTCTGCCGCGGGATAATGCTAGGAATGCTCGTAGCTACACTCTTGTACGTACTAGATTGTCTAATCATTTCGTGGAACCAATTTGAGATTGACAGCCACGGAGACTGTGTTGGAAGGGCGCGCGAGTAGAACTGCTCCATGAAACACTGCGTACACAGCTTGCGCTCAAAACTTTCTACCTACATGCATGTATACCCAGTTTACATCACCGTCACAATCGCTTATGACCACTGACCATAGTTGAGGACACCTCCACGACGAGAAGTTCAAATCTTGCTTAGAAGCAGTGATGCTCCAAATGGTGTTTTCTTCGAACGGATAATTATTACCTCGAATGTTGCTTTGGCGAACGAACGGATATTCTATATGCATCTGTTCTGGCTCCATCACTTCACTCAATCAGACCCAACAGCCATATTTAAAGCATATCACGTGGATAGTAAATATCCAATGGTGAAAGAGGAAATTTGACCGAAGAACAAGCTTCACAGTTCTCAGAACATATTTTTTTCCTTCTCATGCTCAACACAGTCACCAAAGGGGATATTATGGTTGGAGCTGCAATGCAGCACGAATCCTCGGGTATTCGAATATTCTTCCTCCGTTCGAATATTCTTTCTGGTGTCGGTATTCTAGAATATTCCGAATACTAGAATATTACTGTGCATCACAGCTTAGAAGTCACCGTCCCCTCATTCTGCTGTATCACCGTGCAGTAGTAGGGACCGGCGGATTCTGCTCCACAAGGTGGCAGATTCTGCTCGAAAAGCAGTGAAATTGGCAGAACCATACAAACCTTATGGCGGGCAATTCCTCGAATTCTGCTCCATTTTTTTATCCACATACCAAACATGCATGAAACTTACCAGAAAAAGTACCGAATTCTGCCAATTTTTCTCTGCCGGCAGAATCCTCCGGACCCTATGCAGTAAGAGGCTTTGGGAATTGAAGCCGGCAGAACAATTGAAGATGTTACTTTTTCTGGTATGTTTCGTGCATGTTTGGTATAATGTACATGTGTGTGCGGAATTTAAAGGGATTACTTGCGATAGCGTTTGTATGCTTACTTTGCCATTGCCAGCCACTGGCTTTTCAACTCTGTTGTTGTGTGATGTGTAGTACGGGCGGAGCACAAAGATTGCCAAATTCATTGCATTTCGAGCAGAATCTGCCGATTTTTCGTGCATTATCCATCAACGGCTACCGTACAGAGGGTGCGATATTCGTGAGTTCTCCATGCTTGACATCCCAAAGTGAGAAGATACAACTTTACTCGTGCAAGAATGTTGTGATGTGGAGGAACGAATTTTGAAGTATTTAATACCGTGGATCGTCTAGGAACCTTTTGCAGTATACAAAACTGTGGGTGATTTAGGAATACTTTGTCGAATGAGGTGCGTTAGGGTGCATAAACATACAACAAACAGAAAAAGCAGTCAAAACAACCGCTCTGAAAAGGTGATGACCCGTCCCAGAGGACAACTACTTGGAACAAGGGATGTGATCCTGAGTCCAATGAACCTTGAAGGAAATTATACAAATTATACAACTTCTGCATAAGAAGACCGCTTGTACATGTTGACTACATTGGTTAGTTTTCTTTAGTGGTAGCTTTTCATAGGTTTTGTTTGAGGGTCCACCTTGCAAAGGTATATTTGAGGGCTGGGCGTGTGCCTGTTTTACTGCGACGTCATTAGCTAAAGAAGCAATAAACTTTGTCAGCCATCAACGTTTTCTTGTACCTCCTAACATTGTTGTTTAGAAGGGTATCGCACCTCACTATGACCGCAGCAAACTCCACTAGCCAGCCTGAAGATCACAGTAGCCTAGAAATTGGACGCTCCTCCCACCAATTTAACCACGCTGTGAAATCATTATAGCCACTCCATAAGTATCCCCACGCACACACCTCACACCCAACATACGCACCATTATCCCAGCGCTCAGTCAAGTTGTGCCGATTTCTCCAGCTTATGAGAAATGCCTTCCAGACATTGCATTTGGGCACGCTGACAGAGGCAACGCAAAACTCACGATTGTACATCGGTGTGCATCAGTACACAGAGGCCCTAACTTGCTATCTAACTACCTGTAGAACTTACACTCTACTTCTTACACAACAGTATTGCGTCACCCCACATGCACGTGTTGGTGAACAACGTCATGTTACATCAACCAAGCATGCCAGCAACACGACTAGGAGCAGAAAGAAAGAGGGTTATTGGGGCAGGAGAGAGTGTTGTCATAGCGCATACTGCAGAACCCATTGGGAGCGCTTAAGCCGTTTTTCTTGCAGCCGGATTGTGAAAGCTTGCCTTGAAGTTGTATTCAGTCGTTCGAACGGCTCTGCGACGAAGCAACAGAAGCCAGTAGTTTCAATACGGCACGTCGACGCTGCTGCTGCTTTTGCCGCAACGCAGCTTGAACTGCAGACCGCCATTGCTGTAGCATGTGTGGTAGCCGGGCTCGAAATGCATGACGTCGTTGCTGTGCCTGTTGCTGCAGGTGCTGGCGTTGCTGGTCGCTGAGGCGCTGTCGAAGCACACGTAGCACACCATGCAACGGACTAGCAGAACGACGGACCTCGTCCAATTCTGATGGAAGTATCTGCGCTGGCGAACGCATCCCCTGAGCTGGACAGCACGCAGCAGGAAACATTAATACACTGGGATTGTTATGAGGACAGAAACCTACAGTCCATTCATCGGAAACAGTCCCGCAGGCTTTTGAAAGTCCGATTTGGGCCGAATTGAGGATCAAAACTCCAATTTTTAATTGAAGAAATCTGGGTTTGGGATCTGCTTTTCCAAACATTTTGCCATGCCATACCTGTCCTAATTTTGTAAAACCTGGCTGAATTTCTATTTCTCTGTTCCTGGACTTTTCTGCCCTCAACAGATACTCCATTAGATAGAATAGACTAATGGCGATGAGAGAGAGAGAGAGATAGAGAGAAGAGTGGCGTCCGAAGGTGATAAAAAGAAACACTCCGGCTACCTGGTGACATGATTACTCCTAGTTCTTTGGCCGTATTGTAACCAGCAGACTTTGTTAACGGTCTCCGGGTAGCCATGACAGACCCTAAGCCGGCGGCCCAACGCGAACAGCCCCCCTACATGTGTATATTCCGACTGACCTTATGTCCGGTACATATGTATTTTTTCGACATGACGTGCGGAATTACCTCTGCAGCGACCCTATGACGAACCTTAACAAATAATCAGCCGTAGAGATATTATATCAACAGTCGAATCGATGCAGTCTCTGTTGATAAATTGAAGCCAGCCTTCTTTGATAGCGGTTTTGGAGAGCTCTCAAGCCAGCCGCCTCAGGGGACCGTCGGAGCCAGTGCCTCAGCAGGCCACGCGTGCAACACGGCCTGGGCGCAGAGTTCAGATTCCAGTCAGATTGAGAGACTTTGTCACATGAAAGCATAAAATCGACTAGCTAAACTCCATAATTATACCTACTCTATATTACTGAATACTGAATGCTTCGAGAATTGTATTATTTCAATTAATTTTTAAATAATTTGAATTTGTACTCGGATGGAGAGCCAATGATTAATTTATACAAAAGATAAAGGACCAAGGACCAGGATCATGTTATCGTATGAGCTGAGTGTCACTAGTTAGTAACTGGTTAGTAACTGGTGGTGTTAGTGGACAGTATAGCGTAACTTGTAGTTCCTTGGTCCTTTCTCTTTTGTATAAAATTGAATTCGTTTTAGACATTGATTTGAATTCACTTTTCCATCATTTTACTATAGCAGGGGAAGTATTTAGCATGCGTGCTAATGCATGCGTCATCTTCACCAGCTAAAGCTCTTACTGTTATCTACCTCGTATAATGTGGCATATGCACTCTTGACACTGGGCACACTTGCACGCTCCTTCTTCTCACATCTTTTGCCTTTCACGCAGTCAGTTTCCCTTGCTTGTCGTCAGTTGATGTCATCCAATCTATTCATTCTGGTGATTTATTCGAGTCAAGAAGGATGATTGACTTCTCCAGTGTCCACCGTGTGCGCTTTCACCTTGCTTTTTACAGCCCAGCCCATGCCCAATTGTAAAAAAATTATACTGAAATGGTCCACAGTGCTAGGCCTTTGCGGATAATTCCGGCAGAAAAATTGGCAGAATTCGGTACTTTTTCTGGTAAGTTTCATGCATGTTTGGTATGTGGATAAAGAAATGGAGCAGAATTCGAGGAATTGCCCGCCATAAGGTTTGTATGGTTCTGCCAATTTCACTACACAGGGCTCTTGTATTCAGATCAAAAGATACTTCCAAGTTCGATAGATACTGACTTACCCTTAGTCCTTTTTTTAGCCAGCGAAAACTCATCTGTCATCTCTCTCCGCGCGGACTCTTCATCAGCAACAGCAGTCCCGTCCGGCAACGTCAAGGCACGTATGATCGCATCTATCTTGTAAGATAACATACAGAGAAATGAGATTAATATCAATAACAGAATAGACGCAATATTCTAGTATATCCTTATAGCTGGAGCCCATGCACACATCAGTGTATCAGTTTATTGTATATACATGTAGTACAAAACTGTCCACCTTTCCACACTGCGCTCTTTGCATATATAATACACCCATACAATTGAATACCACCTCAGATATTAGAAAATATACAGTACACATAAGATAATAGAAAGGTGTGCGTTGTCTATTAGACCTCGTTAACCTCAAATAACCTTTTCTATTACAGTATCTGAGATGCACTTTTGCCCTTCACAAAGTGTTTTTTTTTAACTTTCAGGTTGGTTGAGAACATCCTCGCCATTGAAAGACTTGAAGAAGGACGAGAGGCATAAAGACGAAAGATGAAAGCGTGCAGATAAAGATGGCATCTGGAAGATGATGGTTTGAGGTCGAGGGAGAGGATGAAGGAGATATCGTGCCATCCTTTTTGTGGAGCATTATTTTTTTACAGTGTTATAACTCGACTAAAGTATTACACTATTCACAAATTTGAGGGAAATTTGCAAACTGGAAAAGTCTGAAGTAAAAATGGCTGTCGCAATCAGGACTCGAACCAGCGATGCTCTACCACCAAGCTATGGTGTAGTTGGCATCCAGGTAGCGACCGTTCAACAATTTCCCCAGACTTCCAAACTCCCTCTTCCTGTGAATCCACACAGACTCGCGGGATGCAGCCCTAACTGCAAACCCAAACTCTGCACGTAAAAACTAGAGCGCGCAGCTCCAATACATAAACTTACAATAGTTCGAGGGAAAGTTGGACAAAGGAAAGGTTTGATACATTATGAAGTACATTTATATGAACAATAGTTGACTTCTTCCTTCCACCGCCTAACACATGCAATGTTTCATCCTTTTAAAGACTTCAATGTTTCAGACTCTTCTTGTCTTCAGGAAAAAAGCCAATTCCATTTTAAGACAGATTCTGACTTACCCGGATTTGTGGCTAATGTGATAGGAATCACCTTAGAGCCAACATTCAGGGTCCCTTCCCCGCCGATGTTGTCCATCGAAAGGATACTAAACAAGGCCTTTAGATTCCCCGCATCTAAACAGACAGTATCCAAATTGAAGAAAATGGAATAGGATTGGTAATAGATTAGACACTCTGTTGTTCATTTTTACCCCTCCTCCCATTCAACAAATTGCGTTCAGAAACGCACACCCACACACCCACACACACACTCATACACACACACCCTGAAACTTCAACTTGCCCTTTGCCGAAGGCAATGATAGTGAAAGGATAAATTTGGCAGGGACAGGCAGAGAGGTTCATGGAATTTGAGGTGGCTGGTACGGCGACAGGTCATCCCTCACTCACTAAAATATTCTGGTTCGAAGGAGACATCACGGGGCCTCGGACGACGGTGGATTACCTCCCTAAACTCCGCGCGGTTCTGCATAGTGTCGAACTATTTCTTCTCCAAGAGATGTGAATGAATGCGGTTGAATTTGTGCCCAACTATATGCCGCCAACGCTTGCATGGTCCGTGTCGAGGCCGAGTTCCAGAAAGCAGGGTACACTTGGGCAGACGGTCATCGTCCATGCGACCAACATGAAGGAGCCAAGCTAGCCGACACTCACGTAATGCTCAGTGGATTTTTCCACCAGCTGAAGCGAAATAGTCATTGATCATATCCACGCATCGGCGACCTGAAACTGCACTGAGAATCGAGAACTCTGGAGCACGGACTCGACGAATGTTGGCAGGGGGCCCTGGATAATGGGTGCAAAGAGATTTGCCGGAACGTCCAACAAGCTGATTCCCCTCCAAATTTCGCACTGGTGTAAGCCGCCATTCGTGGGGATGGGGGAGATGACTGCATCACGCCAGTCAAAGAAAACAATGTCCTCCGACCACAAAACACATAAGTTCAACAAGATGTGCGTGAAGTTTAAAAATATATCAAATTAAATTAATACCGGCCGTAGAAAGAGTGTAGGCAGTACAACAAGAAAATGTCAAAGATCACCATGGTAGCTTGTACAGGCTCAGTGGAGTTTCCCGTCATTGAACTATTACTAGGAAGAAATGAGTCGTGATGATGTCATAGCTGGGGGTTTCTTTATGAGCAATAAGCCAAACTAAAATTATCTCTAAAGTATACTGCTTATTACGTATAGAGGTATCAAAGTGTCAGTCTCCTCAGTGTCCTATTTCTGAAGTAGGTAGTTATTAAACCGGACACACTTCTATGGAGGGACACAAGGGCCTTTATCTTACTCATATTCGACTATTGTGATACTGCTTGATGTGGCCTGTCAAAAATGCTTCTTCAAAAGCTAGAAGTACATCAGCGCTTATACTCTTATTCAGAAGTAAAAAAATATTATTATTCCGCAAAGACTCAACATCCTCATCTGAATCTCTCTATACTCTTGGGTCCTCCCTTGGTCTTTTGCTTCTTTATCCCGCTCCCCCTCCCCCGTTTTCCTCTTTATTCCGAGGCCATAGCCGTATCGTTTACACTTCAAGTACATAATGATAATTATTATGTTGGATTTTGAATGAAATAATACTTCAGCACTCTTCGCTACTTCAGCAACATGCCAGTACTAGTACCGGTGTGCAAGATAGCCACTCGTGACTCTCACGTCACATTCAGACTGACCTGTCGAGCCGACCGCGTTGAGCAAGTCGTCCAGGACGCTTTCTCTGATCCCTAGGTTACTTGGCACCTGTCTTGCCGTTCTGTCTGGCACTGCTGAGCTCAATGTTGAGAACGCCAGGAGCAAGAGCGCCAGAAGCAGGCCTTGGTGGACCATGGCTTTTGCCATCTCTCCCAGCCGCCGTCCGATACAGACTAAAGAAGGTGACACTGATTTTAGTTTGACCAGTTATAGAGGTATGAACTTCTCTGAACATGACGAGCGAATCCAAATGTTTTGATGATAAATTATTGTATTATCAAGCACACAGGGCTGCGAGGACACGGTATTATCAACCTGCAAAACTCAAGGACATACCTGCATGCTGTTGGTTTGGTGGTTGTAGTGCCCAGCACATTATTGCGAGAAACTATAGCGGGTCAGTGGCATTCTTTACGAATTACAAGCTGTCGCGTACAAGATTGCACCAATGCCACAATACTCCTCTATCGTTGAACAGGTAGTCACTCCACATGCTAATTGTTAAGTGTGAAAATTAGCATCTAGAGTGGCCAACCCCTCTAGTTGTGTCAATTCACCTTTATTACGACTATCACTTGACACATTTCCGTCACTTAATACTACAGCATACGTACATGTATGTATGTACGTAAAGTGTTCGTTTCACTGAATGGGGCGCTGCAGTAACTGTGATCACCAGTATACAGTACTACAGCACCGGAAATCGGACCTCCCTTCTCCCCCCCCCCCCCCCTCCCCAAGCGGTGCGCTCACATCGCAAAGACCCCGTGTGGGATTGTAACACTACAAAAAAGAGGACGCTAGAAAGTGAACGCTCCACCCAGGGGCTCGGATTTCCGTTGCCATCCGTTTAGGTGGTGATTACAGTGGTTACCGCAGCTCTTTGTGAAGAGTTTTGTCGAAGTGAGAACAAGCCCTTGAAGGGACGGCCTCGTCCCATTGCGCAAGTTAGCAGTGCACGTGCGAGAGGCCTAGGGCACTTCTTCGTCTGGCAGCAAGATTCGCAAGAATATTTCTCTATTCAGGTGACAAGAACCTTGCATGCATGTGACTTTGTAAGCCGCGTTCAGTATTCTTTTTCCGAAAAGCTAGGGAAACACACATCATGAATAGTGGCGTCTAGTACTAGCCAGGGTCCAAAACATGTACAGTCAATATCATCAGGCACTAGGTACTGTATACATGTGCTTGTTTGTTCCTGCACTGCAGGGTGCCTATCAAGACATGTTCCAAAAAAAGAGGTTTTTTTGTCCATGACTGTGGTATGGTATTTGTAGTTGCTGCATTTCATTCTATTTTTTCAAGGAGAAGGCGGCCACAGCCGGGACATGCTGAGCTGGTTTTCAATGAACTGTATTGAATTTGGCCCGTACAAGAGGCGGGTCCAGATTTAAAAAAATCAAGAGTTGTGTGATACCTTGAGAACATGCACTCTATTTCTTGTACAACAGGATCGCGTCTCCCAACACGGAGATATTGTTGAACAACGGGGTTACGTCAACCATGCATGAAAGCAACAAGACCAGTACATAATGCCATTATCCAAAAGCACATATCCAGTGATGTAGCTTGTTCAACGTTACTGCACACTAACGAAAGCATGAATTTTTACAAAATACACAACTCACCGGCAGGCACATGGGGCTAGCATGAGGTGAGATATCATAGACGAAGAAATATAGCCAAGCAGGAAGACAGGTACACAGACTTGTACACAGACTTGTGCCCGCAGGGACTTCTGTGTACCTAAAAAACACTTAGCGCATACTGCAGAACCTAAAGGGAGCGTTGGTTAACTATGCTGCTTATTTTGCAGTCGGGTTGTGAGAGCTTGCCTTGTTTTTCTTCGTTCAAGTAAACCGTCTTCCGCAACAAATCATCAGCAGTAGTTCTAGTGCGGCGTTTCGAAGCTGCTGCTGGTTCGCTGGAACTGCAGACCGTCGTTGCTGTAGCAGGTGTTGTAGCCTGGCTCGAATTGCATGCCGTCGTTGCTGTAGCTGTTGTTGCTGCTTGCTGTGCTGGTCGTTGAGGCGCTGTTGAATCAGACGTAGTACACCATGCAACGGGCTAGCTCGAAACACGCCCAATTCTGCTGGAGTTACCTGCGCTGGCGAACGCATCCCCTGAGCTGCACAGCAGAAATACACTGGGATTACTGTCGTGGCAGAAAACATTAGATACCCCATCAGACATTCCGCGCCCCAAACCTCGGCGGACGAAGCTCGCGAATTTGCATTTTTGGCTCCAAGAACAGTGAAATTTGCGAAAATAGACGAAATCTATAATAGCAAAATAATAATAGAAGAAAACACAAGGAAACGAGGTATGAAGCAAATATCCTCGACTGTATGAACTATGAAGATAATAAGCAGTCAGAAAGTGCGATAACAGGGCACACAACTGACAGTCTAATGAGACATTCAACGACCTCTTTTCGCACTGTCTGACTGCATATCATTCTTCTTACAGTCGTGGGTAGTTGCCTCATAACTCGTTCCTTGTGTTTTCGTCCAATATTTTACATTCATTACTGGTTCATCATCTGAGATAAATGTGTAACTCGGTAGAGAATTCCCCAAAATCCTTTCCTCTTATCTGCATTTACCTCTTGTACTTGGAGACAAGATTATCTATTTTTGATAGAAATATGACACAACAAAATCTATAATCAACGGACACCGATTCCTTATGACAGAAAACCTTTCTCCATATTTCATTACTAACTACGTCTGGTAAATGATGGGGAATGAACGAAGTAGGTCAACGTAGCAGCAATACAGCTACGCCTGGTATTAAAAACAGTAGCAAGGAGGAAGGCAGCAACATGGTGCGAAGGATAGCACATGGCCAAGCCAAACACACACAGCACATGAGTATAGGTTCACATAGCCACACAACGTAGAGGAGCAGCGGTTCTGCTTCTGCCTGCAGAGGCAGCCGGTATCTAATAATAAGTCCCAATCTGTCATTGCCACCCATTTGGCAACAAAATTAATAATCCCAAATGTGTTGATGTTCTTTTCTGACGATTTTTTCCATTGTGTCACGCGGATGTTCTCATCGTCATTTTGAATGCGTTAGAGTTTCTTTATGTCCACATTCAGCAGCCAATCTCTGCAGGCAGAAGCAGATAACTTGCATCTATGATTGACACTGACTTACTCGTTGACGCCAAACTGCTCCGTTGCGAGGCTTGCTGAATTTCTGCATCTTCATCTACATGTTGAATACCCAAAATACAATCGAAATTAAATTCATCAATTGAGGGCAAAAGTCTGCGGAAAATCGGAAGACAATTCACTGTCACCACAAGGAGAAAGACAAGAAGAACATTGGGTTGATAAAAAGGGTAGTGGTTGACGGGAGAGTGAGGAGAAAAGAGTTCGTGGGTAAGGAAGAGAGCAGGGAGGCCATTTCGAGATAGAAGTATTGGAAATACAAAGAGCATTTTTTTAAACATAAAACCATGACATACCTTCAATTATCTTGACAATGTGCTTGTAATATGCTGCAGCATCCTCCTCATTTGCCTTCAACTCGTCCTCGTCCCTTTGGTGATCTACAAGATGAAAACCATATGCAAGGAAACAATCACACGCAAGCATCCACACACAATCACAACATTTTACCGTTTGAGTACATGTACATATTTTTGTTTCCAGATAGCAACTTCCCACCGAAGTGCAAGAAAATGGAAACAAAGCAAAAAAAGGACAGAGAGAGAAAGATAGAGAGAGAGTGAGAGAGAGAGAGAGTGAGAGAGAGAGAGATAGTGAGAGAAAGAGAGAGGGAGAGAGAGAGAGAGAGAGAGAGAGAGAGAGAGAGAGAGAGAGAGAGAGAGAGAGAGAGAGAGAGAGAGAGAGAGAGAGAGAGAGAGAGAGAGAGAGAGAGAGGGAGAGAGAGGGAGAAAGGGAGAGAGAGGGAGAGGGAGAGACAGAGACAGAAACAGAGAGATATACAAGTTCTTACATTATGACGACAACAGATGTGCTAAAATCAATACGACCTAATGATGAAAGTATTTCTGCGTACAAATGACATTGATCCCTAATACTGTACTTATTAGACCAGTGAACAGTGATGTGGCAATACAAATGATGACGTCATAATTGGGTATTTTGATCGCTGATTAGTCATGCTGAATCTCCGTAGTACACTGTTTTTTACGGACATGTACATGTACATGTACAGGTACATGTTTGGGGTAGCTTTGGACTGCTCAAAATTGAGAAGTATCTCGGATACGAAATTTAAACTACACTTTCCTATCAGGACACACTTTTATGGGGGAATACAATATCATGTTAATCCGTAGACCTACCCCGAACAATGTAATATGCACAGGGCAAGTATGCGTCTCCTCAGAGTACACGTATAAGTATACTGTAGTTCTCTTCTGGTGAAACAAGGAGAAGGAAAATATTTTACGAGTGGAATCAGTTCTCTTCTGCTCGTAGTTCTGCAGTTGTACTAATCCGTTACACATGATAGCACTGTCGAACATTTCCCTCTTTATAACGGAGCCAGTTGGTAGGTTTGATTGGGAAAAGGATAGAATTCAGTATTCTTTCAATATAAATGTGCGCGCAGAAGCCAAGTACGAGTAGTAGTATGCAGAGTCCCAACTCGAGACAATTTCGACTCGACGAGCATTCAGACTAACCTAACGCAACGTCGTTGAGCAAGTCTTCCAGGTCGGTTTCCCGGATCCCGGGGTTACTTGGCACGTTTCTTGCCGTTCTTGCCGGCACTGCTCTGCTCAATGGTGAGCACGCCAGGAGCAAGAGCGCCGGAAGCAGCCCTACGACGACCATGGTTTTTGCCATCTCTACCGGACACTGACTTCAGCTTGATCCTTTGGCTCCGCGCTATTCCGTCGATGACGTCAAACAGCCATACCTCAGTCAAATAGTGCACTCGCGTGAAAATCTAAGTGTAATAGTAGTCTATAGCCTTCTTGTCACAAGTACAAGTAAATCCAGCTGTTTTGATAATAATCATTATTGTATGGACTAGAATAGAGACTGCGAGGGCACGGTAATATCAAGCTGCAAAACCCAAGACAAGGACACCTTTCCAGCCACTTGTGTGGCAGTACAATGTAGTGCTAAGTACTAGTATATCGCGAGAAGTTACATTGTATGTTGTCGGTCAGTGCGGATCTTTGAGACTCATTTGTCACTGTCGCCTATCCCAAGCTGTCACATACAGCATTGCACTCTTCTATCCTTGGACAGCTAGCCGCATGCGTATTGTCAAGTGTGCAAATTAGCATCTAGAGTGGCTCCCCCCTCTGGTTAACCGGTTGTGTCCATTCACCTCACCACTAGCACTACTTGACAAATTCAGTTCACTCTACTGTACTGGAAGGAATGCGTAAAGTACTTCAAACATTTCACTGCCCTTATCGTACAACGGACGGCCTCACCGATTCCTGAACTGCTGAAGGCACTTTCGCGGCAAGATACATTGTACCTCTAGGTCAGGTATTTTCTATTCACGTGTCAAAGTGATATTCGCGTAAGCACTACGTTGTATATGAACAAAGTCTGTACGTGACGGCTAATGTTGCAGTCCCTTTGCAAAGTACGATAATGCACACGACGAGGTGATCTGCTATTATTGTAACATATTTCAATATTATGTAACAAATTGAGTAAATTGTGCTTTTCCTCGGGTCTGTCGAGGCCAACCTGAAGTTTCTTTTTGGCTCTCTGGAGCTAGTAGTAGTAGTAGTATTTATTATTTTACTTGGGTATACCCAACAGGCCTATGGCCTTCTTACAGGGTGCCCAAGGAGAAATTGCATTTTCGACATGTGCTGGCCAACCACGTACATGTATGGATACCTGGCTGCAAAGTAGTTGTACATGTAGTATCCACTCTGGCTACGCGTCACTCAGAATGTTCAGAAAAGACTAACGAGGGTACGTGTTGTCTTTAGTTATTTCGTGCCCCTAGCTAGGCGGCTAGGCCCTATTATAATAGTATTATTACTTTGTACGGATACAGACTACCGGTATCGCTCCTGCCTACTACTACATGTAGGCTTGGTAGATCTACCACTGTACTAGTAGATGTACAAGGTAGGGTGCACCCGTCCGTTTTGTGTTTTTCTGAGTGTGTGTGTGTGCGGCAAGAGCCTGAAAAGGGTGTTGCACTTGCAGAAAGACTGGCATACAGCGAAACATCGCAGCGATACCAGGTGCGAAAGTGCGGTGGCGCGGCGCAAGAGCCTGTCTCAGCTGACTTCAAGTAATTAGTTAGTTCAACTCAATAATCATTACTAATACATGTAGTATGTGGTACTGGCTAGATAAACTCTTGTGTAATCAATGGTGCTAGTGAAGCTTTTATCAGATCCACTCTGATTTAGCCACCCACACTAGTACCAAGTATTACCTCTACTGAGGGCAGGGGTACCTGCAGTTGGATCCCGGGACGGATACCCTGATGCCGTCAATCCTTTTTCTGCACCTTGTCCTCACCCACTTACTGAGGTGTGGTGAGCCCATAAGTGGGATCATTTCAAGTCCACCCTAGTTTGGGGGTTTCAGGGGGGTGTCGGCCGTTGGGTGGTTCAATGGCCAATTGAGTCATCTTTCCAAGGTTCCTTTTGAGTCTCTCTCCCCTCTCCCGGGGAGACCCACGTGACCAGTTTTGGCAGTGAGCAAGTACAAGTACAAGTACATGTGGTACTACTAGTACATGTACGGTAGATCTACGCGTATCTACCAGGTGATGTTTGTTGGTTGTTTGCGCACGTTATTTTTGCAGGATCTTATCCAGAGGCCAGAGAACGTTACAATGCTCAGAAATCTCCTTGAATGCCTTGATACCAGTAGCGAGACTAAGACACGAACAGTACTGGGACGACAAAAAACTCTACGTCGTCGCGGTAGTACTGCCGTGCTGGTTGACTTTAGGAAGAGGTATGGCGAAGGGCCACTGGATGAGACATTTGGAGTGTGTATGTCCGGTGGGGGAGTCCGCAGCGCAATGTTCTGCGCCGGTGCATTTGAAAGTATTCTGGAGCGGGATCTAGAAGTGGACTATCTGAGCACGGTGAGCGGAGGCGGATATGTTGGCAGCTCCTACATGGACTGGAAGTTCCGCAACGGAGGCAAAGATTCGCCCGTTTGGCATCAGCGCTACTTCCGTCACATAGTCGACAATTTCGTGCTGCAGTTTGCGCGTTTCGAGATCAGTAACTATCTAGGATGTCTCGATATGGTGTACAGAGCGTTCGCATTGGCATGGGGTGTGGGCTTCATGACGTTCTGCGCACCATTCTCGATACTCTTCTGCATCCAGTTGCTGTACGCAACCACCGTCAAAGAGCCAGTCCGCAGTTTGTTTGACGTACGACCTCCGTCAAACATTGGATCGCACTTGCCAGTGTGCCTATTTCTGTTGGTGACCTGCTTCCTCTTGAGCCTGTTCTCAAACTGGCTGAACGAGCTATTGGAATCCGGGAGATCATTTATGTTGCGGCATTACGTTCTCATTTCGCTAGTGGGTGCTCTGTGCCGCCATGGACTTATCGCGTCTCTGGTAAGATTCTGAAGAAATGATTATTGTTTCTCTTGATGACTTTCTATAATATTAGGCCGCCATTTCTATATTTCTATGTTTCGCGCCAGTTCAACTTCCAGAATCATAATTACAGTCAACTTCGCTTACAACGACACTCAGCGGGGCATCAGAAAAGTGTCCTTATTCGCGAAGTATCGTTATACCCGAAGTCTCATTATAATTATGTATTACAGTGGGATGGGACTTTGCTCTGGGCATGGAAATTCTGTCGTTATTCGCGAATTGTCGTTATATCCGCAGTCGTTATTTGCGAAGTTGACTGTATGCGGGGGTTGAAGAAAAATAAGGGAGCAAAATAATCAAAAATAAAGGCTCATCAGAGTTGTATAGCATGTATATAGCACAATAGCTTGTGCCTGGTGTACATTTGAAAGAAAAATCAAACCACGAAGCACAACATCTGGGTTATCAGCATGAATAAATATTCACTTTGGACAGAAAAGGCGACCTTTGGTGTCCATGCTTCGCTGGGTTATCGTACTCGGACTTCAGCAGCGGTGCAAAGAGCTGTGGAACAACGCATCCTCTCAGCTTGAAGCGATCGATGCGGTCTGGTGTAAGCTCATAGAATACTGATCGCAGCTGCAGAACAATCGATATGCCAACGCTGGCCTCAAGGCCATTTTTGAATCCCAGCTTCGACGTATGCAACCAGTCCACGCGCATGATGACTCACACGATCGTACACTCACTGTACATATGCATTTTCTTTTTTTTATTTCCGAAAAATTTTTTAAACAAATGCGCGCGGACGACGCAAAACATAGATATGAAAAACGATGGCCTTATTATCGATCTTTTGCACGAAAAGAAAAAGTTACGTTTATGGATGGGTGGGTGAAGGAGAGTTTCGTTTTAAAAAAACATTGATATGTGAGACATGAACGTATTCTAGCTGTCAAGTCAATCTATTTTTCGTTCATTGGGGTGGGTGGGTGGGGGAGGGTCCTAACTAAACTTTTCGTTTCATGAAAATTATGGATGATCATTGATGCCGGATGGACCCTTATGTCAGTTAAAAAAGTATTTTGGAAACCTCCATAGCAGAGCCAGGGAAGATCTTTGCATCTTTTTCTTGTGACATCAGGCATGTTTTCGCATGGCAGGAACCGTGTTTGGAGTGTTGCAGATGGACACAAACATCTTTCTCACCACTCGCTATCATTCATCTTCATCATACACCCTGTTTCCTATTTGTAAACATAATCGGTAGACTGCCAAACCTGAATTTGGAAAATTCTGCATCTATCTACCACGCATTTTCATCCCGCGCGGAATGTGTACTCATTCTGTGCGGAATGAGTACACATTTCACTTTTTCTTTGGAATCGCCAGATTTGATTCTGCACTATTCTTACCGAGACTGGAGTTGAAATCATGCCCAACAAACGCATCAGGACCAAAAACCTTTCGGAATGACTTCGGGATTACCTTGGAACGACGCACCGAACAAACCCAACCTTAGTTTGGACAAAGACTGGTTTGAATGTGACCAAGCAGTCTAATCTTACTGTCCACACTTTGCATGGTACAGACATGCATGCTTGCCTGTGCTTGCCCGTCAAGCGCACGCTATGGACGCACATCTCCAGTGTTGATCTGGAAGTCTGTACCCTAATGTCGAGTGTTAAAAACACGATTCTAATAGAAGTGGATTTTTCAAAGCGCACCATGACACAGAAGCACCATTTGAAGCATACGTGCAAGTACCACGTCCCATGTATACGCCCGTCGCAAGAGAAGCAGGCAAATCTGCAAATGCACTGGATGCGCACCCACAGATTTTCTCTTATAGCATGGCAACGATAGAGAACAAGATCTGAATGAGACAGATCAAGACTTGCGCCAGATAACTGTGCAAATACATGTAGTTGCACAGTTCATGTGTGATAGTTGACTGAAGATGTTGACGTAGAAGCATAACTTGAATAGAAGCATGATTTGAACCCTGCGTATATAGCCATCAGTCCAGTACCTGCCTCTACAGGATACATTTTAAGCCAGCCATGGCAGTTTGCTTTGCTATTGTATAAAAGCATGAGGGCATGGCTGGAGTAGAAGCCGATTTTTCAAAGCTCACGGTAACATAGAAGGAAAGCTGATCTCTGCCAAGTGCTCTCTGCCAAGTACACGTGCAAGTACTTGCATGTGTAGACTGATGATGTTCACGTCGAAGCATGTTTTGAATAGAAGCGTAAGTTGAATAGAAGCATGGTTTGCATGAAAGAATGACTTGAATGGAAGCATGTTTTGAGAAGCATAACTTAAAGAGTAGCATGATTTGAACCCCAGCCTAAATGGCCGTATGAAAGCACCTGCTTGTTTACACGACACGGTATTTCTGTTTTTGCTTTTTTGGATGGTCTTTGAATATAATGGTCCAGAAAGAACGAAAAACATCGACAGCATCGATTTGCTTACCTTTGATACGTGAAAAGGCAGAGCTACTCGTAGTGCAAACGATAACAAGAGGATGGAAAAAGTGTTTTAAATCCGAGTTTCATACAGTGATCATCAGAAAACTATGTTTTCTGATGATTGCTTAGTGCGTGAAACTCAAAACACTTCTTTCATCCTCTTGTTAATGTACATAGCTGCTGGCCATGCTTCTTGTTCTGTTTGCGACTATCCTGCAGATCTGCGCACGCCGCGAGTATGCCGAGCTGTCGGAGTTGCTGTGCTCGACGTGCGAGGCAACTGACGCCATGTCGTCGCGAGAGTGCACGGTCTTATCTCTGTTGTTTTCCGTCGCTCCGCTGCTCGTCATATGGATCTGTACCAGACTGCTTCCCGCCAGTGATACGTCTCGACTGCCAATCTACATAGTATATGTGTCTTTATCGGTCTTTATCTTGGAGGTAAGACTAGTATAATTCACAGACGAATCTCTCTTGGTTCTTGTTAACAAACAATAGTAAGAGGATGAAAGAAGTATTTTAACTCTTAGTGTCACGGACTAAGCGATCATCAGAAAACAGCATCAGAAAACAGTGTACTGTGTGAAACTCGGAGTTAAAACACTTTTTCCATCCTCTTGTTATCGTTTGAACTACGAGTAGCTCTGCCTTTCGGTATTGAACTATTGGACAGCCTGGAACCTCTCTGTTTTACAGGTTCTTGGTAACATATGGAACGGAAGATGGGGTTTTGTGAAGTATAGTGTACAGTACCTGCTGTTACTGACCCATTCCCTCATGCACGGACTGTTTTACACAGAAACTGCAATGGATACAGCGACTACCTGTCTAGCGACCAATGACCGACGTTTAGTGTACCAAGTGCCATGTCTGACCTTCGTAGAGCGACCAAAACGAGCCAAAAGTGCTATCCTGGCTGGCAGGCTTGACTGGAACAGGGTTGAAGTGGGCTCAGAAGCCGGCGCATACAGCCAACAGAAGTGACATGTGTAGGGTGTGATGCATGCACTTGAGTGAGGCGTGTACTAGTGAAACGATCTCACTGGATACTCGTTACCTCCCTTGCCAGAAACTCGGCTCGTTAGTGCGGCCAGCTGATTTTCACTAACGGACACTGTATACTGTAAGCCGTAAACATGGCAGTACATGTCGACCAGGGTGTCGTGAAATATTTCACGTCTCCCTGGCCGATAGTCCATTCCAGCGCAAAGTGAAAATCACTCGCAGTCACGGTGACTGTATGCCTGCACGACACTGAGTTGCTTCAGCTGTCTTTCCAGCTTTGTTTGGACTCCACTGGTGTCTTGTTCAGCATCTGCTGACCTTTCACAGAACATGCATCTGTCAAGTCTCCGTTCAAGGGAAAGTTACGCTCAGTCGTTTGGAAGTTTTCTCCTGCGATGCAGCGAAGAACGGGGCTACATGCAGTCTTCGCAAAAGGGTCTATTCTTACAAAGGCTGCTCACCGACGGCGCTGAAAAACATCTAGACACCAAACAGCCATCCGAAGTGAAGCCAGCCAGAAGCAGCAGCAACCCCAAATGCCGTCAGTGAAAATTCGAACCAGATGAATTTAAAAAATTATATTTGCCACATCTGCCATAATATGTTTTTCGTATTGTATACTATTGTGTGTGTGTGTGTTTCTGTGTGTGTATCTGTTTCCATGTGTGTGTGTGTGTGTGTGTGTGTGTGTGTGTGTGTGTGTGTGTGTGTGTGTGTGTGTGTGTGCGTGCGTGTGCAACTGTGCACATGTGTGTGTGTGTGTGTGTATGTGTATGTGTGTGTGTGTTTGTGCACATGCCCTGTGAACCGCTTCTCTATGCAGAGGGAAGTGTTCCTGGAAGAATCAGAAAAATGGCACAACATTCGCTACTTCATGATTCTGTGTTCGCTGCTCAACCCAATCCTGATGGTGTACCAGCAGAACTTTTCTTTCCTTGCATACAAGTAAGTATGAGAAGAGTGCCGCTCAGTGAAATCCGATGGCATGAGTCAAGGACGTGGCGTGTGCCCTTGATCTGCAAGCACTGGGCTGTGCAAAGGGTCATTGAGCAAACTTTACCCGCATGATCTCGTTTCATTGATCAGCACTGTACGCATAATCCGTACTGCAGTGCCGCCAACCAACTGGGTCTGTTTTGCGTAATGTGACGTTGATTTTCCGTATGTTGCAGTGTTTTTTGCATACTCTGCCAATGTACTGTCGTGAAAAGTTTATATTGCTTGTACCGTGTTTCTTCACACGCACAGGCCAGTCTCTTGCTGTACTTGTTTGTGCATGACATGCGTGACTTGTACCACGATAATATTATGATTTTGGTCCTACTTCATGTAGTTGTAGCGCTCGCTTTGGCACACGGATGTTCACCGCTTGGCTTGCACTTCCCATGTTTCTACATACTGTGGAGGCCGAAAATTTCGTCGGTCAATATTTTCGGCCGACTCCAAAAAAACGGAGTTGGTCTGGTTGAAACTTTCGTCGATGGATCATAAGAGTGTATTGGAAAGCTGGACAAATGTACATTAGTCCGGCTTTTTATTTAGTCCAAAAGCAACTTGGACGGAAAGAGACGAAATTAGTCCGGCATTTTATTTAGTCCAAAAGCAACTTGGACGGAAAGAGACGAAATTAAATTCCAGACGACTATTTCTGCTTATACAGTAGCTGATTGATCCCATTCCATTTCCCGTAACATCTTGCTCAAATTCTGTAGTACGAACGGAGGCGTGATTTTCTGTAGAAATACTGAAAAATGCTGAAGGTGGCAAGCACTGGTATTATTATTATTATTATTATTATTATTCTCGTATCCGTCCCGAATGGGACTCACGACGGCAGAATTAACCGTGAGCATGTGTGTGTGAGAGTGGGAGAACGAAATGAAAAAGAAAAGAAGTCTTGTAATAAGGTCAAATTTAAGAAGAGCAGTACTAGACTAAATGGCTGAGCAGATGTTACTCCATTGTTTTCTGTCGCGGGCATAGGTGCCGAGATCACGAAGGCAGCTGGGCTTAAAAATGCAGATAGGTGTGAGGCGGACGTCTCGCTGGAGACTTGTGGTGAGGCAAGAGCGGGGTGCACCTATTCGAAAGGGCTGACTGGTAGCATATGTACAGAAAGCAGTGAGAGCAACATTCGCAGGGATGTCACTTGGCTGGCGTAATATATGTCCTAATAGCTTCCACCTGTCCCGCTTGGCCATTTCAGATACAGAGCACTGGCCAGTAACAGCATATAAATCTGCATTCGAGATGACATCTGGGTAGGTAATTCCAAGGGTACACCGCAGCTGTTTCCTATGAAACACATCTAGGCGCTTTTCTTGTGCACGGGACAGGCCATGGCAAGCAAGGTTGTAGGTCAAGATTGGTAGAACGAAAGTGTTGTATAAACGAATTTTGATGGGTGTAGAAAGCAGGTTGTGTTTGAACCATAACTTCAGAGTGTCTCCAAATGCTCTTGCGGCCAAGCCAATACGGCGCGTTACGTCCTCCCCGGAGCCGTATAGCGAGCCGAGTGTCTTCACCTGTCGCCAAGCTTCTTTACCACGAGTTGTGCCGACCTTTCTAGATGTTGTAGAGGTGGCATCTCCCAAAGTGGGTTCCAGGTAAATACGGATCCACTCAGTCTTACTGGTATTGACGGTAAGACCCCATTCGGAGAAGACGCCTGCGATGACGGGTAGGGCGCTGGTAAGGAATGATTTTGATGTGGAGATGAAGTCTACGTCATCGGCGTAAGCTGTTTCTTCAGGTAGAATGTTGTCTGCTGATGGTCGGGCTGGCAGTCGGTCACGTACCATTCGTAGGGCTGCTTCCAAATAAACCGTGAACAGTACCGGTGACAAACCATCGCCCTGGGGGACCCCCCGAGGTGTCTCAAAAGGTGCGGACTGTGCTTCGTTCACGCGAACTGTCAGCGCCATGCCAGATAGCAGGTACCTAACCAGTCGTAAACCGTCCGCGTCTCCAATTTTCTCTTGCTCCATGACATCAAGCAGCTTTGTGCGGTTTATTGTGTCAAAAGCCTTGCTCAGGTCCAGCCCTAGCACGTAGATGGTAGTGTTGAAGCGTTCAACAATTGATGCCAGGATCCGTTTGCAAAACACAATGTCTGCGGTTGATCTGTTTTGACGGAACCCGGCTTGCGATGGAGATATATATCGCTCTACGTCAGCTCTGATCCGGCTAAGTGTGATGAGGGACAAGATTTTTCTGGCAGTAGTCAGCAATGTTATCGGACGCAAATTGTTCATGGGGCCTTTGGGTTTACCTGGCTTATGCAGAGCGATTAGTACACCATCTCCAAGGGACGCTTGGCTGTGCTGAGTGAATACATCGTTGAAAATGCTGCTCAGGCATTCTGCAAGTGCAGGGCCTCCGTATTTGACCAGCTCGGCCGGTATGTCATCAGGCCCGCAGGAGCGTTGGTTCTTTAGACGACTCATTGCGCTCGCTACCTCTGCTGTGGAAATCGGTTTATCGAGGGGTTTCGGTGTTCCTGTGAATGGCGTAACCGCTGGCTCTGCAGCAGTAGGAGAGAATTTCCCAGTGTAATGCTCAGCTATTCTATCCGCTTGCTCTCCTGGCCCAAGGACAGCCTTGCCGTTGTTGTCTACAAAGGTTAAATCTCGTGGGCACTTTGGTTTCAGCAGTTTTATCGCTGCAAACATCATTGGCCCGTTCTTGAGTGACTCCACTTCTCTGATGCGGCTCTCAAGATGCTGTAACGCCAGCTGTCGAGACAGGATTCGGATTTCCTTCTGCACTCTGTTACGCTGCACTCGCAGCTCATTTCTTCTACTCATGTTTGGTACTGGCACTGGTATTGTGTTTTGTATTTAGCAGGATTAACCCACATGCATTTCTGTTGTGGTTCTGGTAGACACAAACTTCTTTGTGTATTGGAGCCCTGAAAATGCCATTTGAAGGGAAAGTACCACCTGAACGAAGAAGCCTGTAGCCCGACACTGTCTTGACTGAGTCCAATCAGGCCTTGCCCTCCCGTATAAACAAAATGTCTGGGGTCAAGGCATGCCAGATGACAACTCATAATATAATGGCAACGTTTATTTTTCACATCCAAGGATATTTGAGCTACACTATGGATGATAGTCCTCAAAGAGCTTGCCTGATCAAGCAATGTTTGCCCACGTTGCCTTCACAGTTGCATCTAAATATGCGTCCTATTTCAAAGTAGTCTATTCATACCTGTGTGTCATTGGCTTTGGGTTTTCTTTCTCCTTTCAGGGGCTGTATGCGAAGAGGCTTCTTCCACCCGGACGGCAACCTCACCACTTCGCTAAAGCAAAGGTTCTGTCCTTTTGCTGAAAGCTTGGTGCGGGAACGAGGATTCTCGTCTTGGTTGTTTGGCAAAGGTGGCCATGACAAACGGATTGGGAACCAGCAGAAAGATGGTATTGTCTTAGTTTTTGCATACATTATTCTTGAGGAGCATACTCTCTTGCCTTCTCTTTCTGTCAAAAGTTCAAAATTTTCATTTCTCTTTTATCTCTTCCTGTATCTCTCTCTCTCTTTCTCTCTCTCTCTCTCTCTCTCTCTCTCTCTCTCTCTCTCTCTCTCTCTCTCTCTCTCTCTCTCTCTCTCTCTCTCTCTCTCTCTCTCTCTCTCCGCGCCTCTCTCTATCTTTCTTTTTCTCTATATTTCTCTCTCTCTCTCTCTTTCTCTCTCTCTCCTGTAGTATCACTCTCATTCCATCACACTTTGTCTATCTTTCTATCTCTGGCAACACTTTCCATCTGTATGACGTGCAGGCCAATGACCATGTATTGTTGCTGTGACCTATGTTCTTCATAGAACTAAGATTGGGTGACCTGTGCGACATGAAGCCGGAATGGATATGTCAAATGACGCTGAACAAGTGGAAGTATGATGCAGAAGATCCGCGAGACATCAACTGCAAATGCTTAACGTTGTCCAATAGACTCGTAAGTTAGGACAATGTACCACGTCAATATGTGTAGTGGTACGTGATATTTGTTTATGGATGAGTCATGCTTTGTGTTCATTGCATGATTCATTGGCACACCATTCATTGGCACACCATTCATTGGCACTCCGAAGCACCGCGTAGTCCGTCTCTCCGCCTTCTATGGCTCGAACCAGGGACCTTGCTTTTCGCGAGCAGTGCTCTAGCCAACTTGGGTACAGTATGACTCTTATCTACAGTGATGGCAAATTTATCCTTCATCGATCAATCAATATCTGGCTTGGTTCGTACTGGCAACCCACACCACTCAAGAGGGCCCTCGGCCATTCGCTTGATATCATGGGGAGCTCATCAAACTATGTACACTGCGAGCAAACACAAATTGCAATTTCAAATTTGGACTTCACGGAGAATTTCAAAGTATTAGGAAATTAGAGGCCACATGCCGCGTACCGCTCTTTTCTCTCCGAAACTCAAAAATCATGATGTTTTGGATTACGTGGACTAGATGCATAGCTGTGGGGTCCCCTCGCCAAAAAAACAGACTGCATTGTATGCAAGTACGGGGACAAGGGTCGATATAGCTCAAACGGCTTTGAAATACAGCACAGTAGGGAGATGGGTCTGTAAGCTAGGCCTACTGTAGTCTTGTGCGCCCGACCGGCAACCTTTGCTCTTATAAATTGGGACCATCAATGCGTATTTCCAAGCGGAAGGAAAATTCCAGACGACAGAGAGAGATGTTAAAGAACAGCGATAGCGGATATGCTAAGCTGTCTTGGGGCTGTTTCAGGATTTCGTTTGGTATACCAACGTAACCAGGAGACTTTTTATTGGGGAGACTGCGTATGTATTTGGTTATAGTATGGGGTGAAATCGCCAGCGATGTAAACGTTGACTCTATAGGTATTTGGTGGATAGGAGGACTTTGGTCAGACCGTGTGATTGCTGTTAGACTCGAGCCCACTGACAATGCTGGTTTAGGAAGAGATGTTATAAATGAGTGAAGTGATGGATGCTCGCTGGCGGTGAGAGAAGTAGTAATGGACTGGACATATTCCTTATGGGCTAGACGTGGCGATGTGTTTGCTATACTCCTCTGACGTTTGTGCTGCGTTGCATTTGACGGTGTAGCGTATTTCTTATAGATGCTGTAGAGGTCATGCTTGTGTTGCATCCTATGTCGTCCCCAGGTTGATATCATTGACTACCGTGATGCTGACATGTCCAAGTACTTGGATCTGACTCCGCAGGATGTCACCCTCAGTACAGCTATGACCATAAGTGCTTCCATGCTAGCTCTCTTCACAGGCAATTTTACCATGTACTGTACTCTATCTCGATCACACCCCCCCCCCCTCCCCTCCCTGCCCCCCCCCCCCCCTTTTCACCTCATGACACTTTCACGAATATTTACACCTTTCTCATGCACCACCGAGAGTCGTTATCCGCAAGATTGAATGTCGTTCGTTCAAGGTTGTGTTCTTGTCTTGTTATCTGGACTGCATGCAGGTCATCTGACGGGTACACTGATGGATACGTTGCGTGAACTGGTCCTGTTCGTTGGCCTGCACGTCGACACGCACATACCCGCTTGGTTCGTCGGCGAGCACCGGACAAAGAGTGTCTTCTTCTTCATTAAGTCTGTAAGGAATGCATGAGTGTACCTATGGAGGATCTAAGTATATTAATTTATTGCTGAGTGTAAAATTAGCATTTTCTCCTGCCTGTAGCATCTTCACATTGTTAATAATAAACTTTGCAATTCAAGGGCTGCACGCGCAAGCGCGCGCGCGCGTGTGTGTGTGTGTGTGTGTGTGCCATATGGTGCAGTGGTATGTGCAGCGATTTCCAATCGATGGGTTGCGGGATCGACTCCCGACGGTTATGGTCACACTCGTCTTTCTTCTCTTTCTCAGACTCCTCCTGACTTTTCTTTCATTCTAATGGGTGGTTACCAACAGCCAGTGCATGCCGGAGTATGTGGTGTGATGTGTGTGCGGGAAGAAAAATGAAAAAAGACCAAAAAGTAGGGATTCACTGGCCAGAAAAAGCCACTTCATAGCTCTAGGGTGTAGACCAGGCTGAATAGTGGTTGTCAATTCATCAGCCTTCCAAGCTATGGAATGGTGGAATCCCAGCACAAGTTGCTATGGCTTCTGCTGTGGCATCGCTATCATCGCCTCCGGTGATGAGCGTCAAAAGGTCGAAATAATGATGTGTCACTGTGTACGGTATACATCTTTCCAATGTGTGCGATAATGATTGGAAGCTGGTGTGCACATTGCACGTCATCGTTCTGTCTTATTTCTTGTCTCTGCTTTCTAGCTGCTGTGGTCATTCTCGCTTCAAATGCTTCTCTTTGCCGGACTTGTTCTGCCTCACCTGTTTCCTGACCTAGTCGTCAGCCGAACACTGTTGTTGATTGCTGGCGCTACTTTTGACCTGGTGTTCTTCCTGTTGTCGCTGTTTCCGTCGTCTGATCAATATCGTAACAGCACTGGACTAACAAAGACTGTCGGAAATATGGCAAGGTAAATGGCCTTCTCTTTGTCTACGGATTTTCTCCTTTCCAAACTTTCACTGGAAACAAAACCAAGGGTGAAATGTCAATCGTTTCGGTCATTGGACATCATTGTTGAACTATGGACGTCCTCTTGTAAATGTTAACTTATAGGAGTGTGTTCTCACATACCTAACACAGTCAAACCTTGTCAGGACGAACTTCAAGGGACTGAACAAGTTTGTTTGTCTTATAAGGGGCCATCCGTAATTATCGATTTTTTTCACGAAACGAAAAAGTTTAGTTATGACCCACACCCACCCACCCACCCCCCTGAAACGAAAAAATTAATTGACTTGAGACTTTGTGCAGAAAATGATCTTGATTGGCTGTTACAACACAGCGAGGCCACATTTTGTGTGATTGTGCAAGTAAGTAACAACGTTAGTTATGTTTTCTTGGAAGTCTGGTACTACTTCTTGACCATGGACACATTTTATTTTCACCAACCACACACATACGCTGCTGGCACCTCTACGTCTAAACACGGGAATTGTACACTTGCAAATCGTCAGAGTCCCGACATTGACATGATACTGCCAAAACAAGTCGACTTCGGAGCGGAAACAAACGCCATAGCTATCACAGACTTCAGTGGGTGTGCCTCGCTCGCAAATGAGAGCAGCATCGCCCCAGAATCGCTGTCGTAAAGCTCCGTAAGGTCGCACGCACGCCGCGCTGCGCTGCCGTCTATCAGGTACGTAGAAAGTCGATGGCCTAATTTTCCGTCTCCGGAAGACTGTCGACACGGGGATCACTCTCCATGGCTTCCCCAGCATAAGCACGATCAGATTCTTCCAGGTACATTACGAGTCTTTACGACGACATCGTCTTCAGCGGCTGGCGCTCCCCATCTTTGCGTGAGAATTTACTTGGCGTGCGCCCCGCTCCGTAATTTGATATTCTCTTGCATCGGCGGCTGGAACGAAGTAACGTTATTATCTATCTGTCGTCGGTCCCAGAGTGAATGACCATGATGACTGCTAGGTCCTCGTCGGAGAAGTCATCCAAAGACGAAAGGAACTCACTGCACTGAGTACAGAGTGGTATCAGTGCATCCATGCAGCACTTGCTTGGCCGCGCGACATAGACTAGAGTCTACTGTCGATCTACTTCGATGTACACAATCATTATGTATGCATGCACTGATGCAGTGAGCGTTGATTTTTCCGCTTTCGATGTTTTTTCAAAACGAAACCGGTCGCTACCCACCCACCCATAAACGAAACTTTTTCGTTTCGTGGAAAAGATCGATAATTACGGATGGCCCCTAAGGCGGTCTTCTTACTGAGATCCGATCCAAAAATTGATATGCGTATCATATGAATTGTATTTATGAGAAGGTGATTGCTGTGGCACATGTAAAGCTTTCTTCAAAGCATAAGCCAGCAACAGGTATTTACAATGTGCAATGAATTCATGACAGCATGTCCTCGAACTTGGAACATGCTGTCAATTCCTTTTGCCCGTACAAGAGGCCTCGACTATCGGACAAAAATACTACAGCTAGCACACGCGCATGTACCGAAAGTTCGCACTAGGCGCTGATTTTGTTCTAATCACGCTTGAAATTAGTTTGTCTTCACGAAAATTCCCAGTACAGGAGTTTTTCGTAAAGGAACAATTTTGACTTGATATGGTGCCCGGCCAAACCATAGGACTGACCCTAGTTCGTACTAATGGACCGTTCGCCTTATCATTGTTCGCACTATCGAGGTTTGACTGCACATGCATACAGTATCTCTATGTGCTTGTGTGTGTCTGTGGGCCCGGGTGTGGGTGCATGCGTGTGTGTGTGTGTCCGTGTGTGTGTGTGTGTGTGTGTGTGCGTGTTGATGTGTGTGCATCTGTGTTTTGTGCTTGTGGCTTGATCTCTGTTTCTACAGAATGCTAGTAACGCACTGCACACCGTCACTGCTACTGCGAGAGGTGGTGCTAGGCGACACCTGCGGCAAGTATCCTGACTTTGTGCTGAACCTGTCCGATGGCGCACACCTTGATAACCTTGGCTTGCTGCCTCTGCTCCGACGACGAACTTCCAAGTATGCCATGCCACGATCAGCTTAACTAGAGAGCTGTACGGGGGGGGGGGGGGGTGATGTGATGTAGTAGTGTGTGCTGTACAGGGGGGGGGGGGGGGGGGTTGATGTATCTTTATCAACTACCGTATTTCCCCAGATATAAATAGCACCTTGTTACACTTGCACTCAATGACGGATAAGGAGGTACGAGTCGGCAAGCGTGACTTATCATTATTATTACAAATGAGTGTCCTCCGACTTTATGCAGTGCTCAATATTCATTCGAATAGAGCTATCTGACACACGGCACAGAGCACCACGCATCATTCGTTGTAACTAATAGTTTCATGGCCATAGGCAATCATCAGACAACTGATACTGGATGAACAGCCAACACCCAAGTATATACAGTAGTGTAACACAGGCAGCGATATGTGTGTTTCCCGCTACACTCATACCTTGATTATCCGGACTCCGAAGTTACGGGCACTTCGATCTGCCGAGCACCCTTTTTGGGTGAGTTTATGTGGAAATATTACTACTCTTTTTTCACTTTTCGTGGCAATAGTGACGTCATATGCAATATCTTTGGCCTTTTCGCCATCAAAGATGTGTGTGATTCGGAGTTACACGCAATTATATACACTCACTTTTGAACTTAGATTTCACGATGGTTGATTTTCGCATTACGCTCTACAGGCGAAAATTTGAGAATAGTAGGCAGTTTACGGTATTGTGTGTTCTGGAAACATGCCATCCCCGCTGCTTAGGATAGTCCTCCTGGATGCCTCAGCGTACTACACTGGCGATCATTCAGAACTGCTCACGGTGGCCATGGACTTTGCCAGGCAGTGGCTCGAGTGCCGGTTCAAGACGCTGACAGGAGAGGATGTCGACGAGGACTTGATCCGGGCGATGGGCGCGGCGACAGGCGGCAAATCACCACACTGCTACCGTCTGGTTGTGAGTTTTGAATCTAAAACATTGATACGTGCATTGAAGCAAATTTGGAGTCAGGTCTAACTGTTAGCCAAGTGATTGAGTTTCATGTTAAAGTTTTAATAGTACATGCAGGTGTGAATTGTTATGTCCTCGCAGCGCTCCTCATTTATTAACCCATCCTAACCAGCGTGCCCACTTCTTTCCTGATGATGGTTTGTGACCGAAACTTTGAATTTTTTCCTGAAATGAATTTGTGAAAATCAGTGATTGAGTGTGAGCCGGTGTTGCTCACAAGCCATTTTTTACTTATGAAGCTGCGAGATGCGTCCTACAAGATTTTAACTTGATCCTTGTTAGCAAAAGTACCTCAAACCCAGAGTATAGAGCTCGAATGGGTTGCTGTCACAGCGGCGAAAATCACAGATTACATCATTTTAATGAAAGAGAAATGACTGGTTTTCGTTTCTAAATAAATATCGGTATTTGCGGATGGCCCCTCAGAGTGATTTTTTCCATAAATAGTTTTTTTAGGATCTTGGCCTCTTGAAGTCGGTACAGGGCACCACCGCAGCCTAAACACCATAGTCACAATAGGTTACAGATCCCATTTTTTCTCTCTCTGGTTGTACCTTCTCCGTTCTGTATTGGCGCCCGGATGTGAAATTATTTTCGTTCCTCTTTGTTTTGTTCTGTGCAGGTGGAGTATGTGTCCAGGCTCGAGGATGGTGTCTTGGAAGTGGTTCAAACGGGAGAGATCCTGGTGGTGCAGCCGCGTCACCCAGACGACCTTGTGGAGAGCATGAATAGCGGACCAGTACAGGATCACTGGACCAAGGAGTATGCGGAACGGCAATGTGGCTTCTTCGCCAGGTAAGTAAAATGTGCGGCTTTTCTATTGATTACTCTCCAAGACAGGAATTTAGAATTTAGGGTGATGTAATTGCTAGGGTGGGGGGGGGGGGGGAGTCGACCAGCTCCGGTCTGAATTAACGGCACGGTGGTGGCCGAATGCACCACTTTCTCCCTCTGAGTTTGTGTGTGTATGTATGTGTGTGCGTGTGGGTGGGCGGTTGGACGGGGGTGGTTGCTTGTGGGGGTATGCGGAGGGGGGGGGGGGGGGGGGAGGGCTACATGGGTGTGTGTGTGAGTGCGTTCATGTGTTTGTGTGTGTTGGTTTGCAAGGGTGAAACATGGTGTCCGGTTCTATCAAAGTAACGTACTGTTTTACAAAGGTTTGCAGTAAGTGTAGGGTGTGCATAGGTTGCTGCCTTTGCCGTCCTATTCCGGTGTGCTCTGTATGGTGTAGACCAAGTGTGCTTTGGGTTCGCTTCTCATGGCTACACATTATTGTGGATGAGGCAGGTATCCGGCGCGAGTCTTGATCTGTTTCATTCAGATATTTTCTCCCTCCACATATACGGGCACACACAGAGACATAGACAGCAATAGTGATAACGTACAAAGTGAAGGGTAGTTGGCCGCAGCCAGATGTGACTGATCTCGCCCCTGGCGACGGCTGATTACCCAGTGGCAGCTGCAGCTATAGGCTACTGTAGCAACTGCAGTGGTCACTGATTTTGCTGGAGATGGCATGGTTCTTCGTCCTGCCAGTTTTGCGTGCAGCGTCATCACCAGCATCAAATCATCACCGCAATATCCCAAACTTTATCCCTCCGCAATTCTCAGGAGTTTGTTTCATGTGTACATCAGGCTCGCGCATTGATCGATGGATGACATAGCGCCTTGCTGGTGTCTCGGCCGGCGAGAAATACGCCTGTTTGCGTTGTTATAAAGAGAACAATTGTGGGTGTACATTCAGTGCATATTGCTATGCTTTCTTCATTTGCGTCGGGCATACATTGTACATGGTGCAAAGCTCTCTGAGTTTATCTCAGTTAGAGGACTCTGACTTGGATCATTCAGTTTAAAAATCTGTTCAGCCAGTAACTCTGAGCTCTGCTGACGAGCTAAGAAAAAAGGATCAACACAGCTGGCTGTCCAGAGATTGAATGTGTGTGTGTGTGTGTGTGTGTGTGTGTGTGTGTGTGTGTGTGTGTGTGTGTGTGTGTGTGTGTGTGTGTGTGTGTGTGTGTGTGTGTGTGTGTGTGTGTGCGTATGTGCGCACGCCCACACGCCAGTGTGTGTGTGTGTGTGTGCGTGCGTGCTCACATGCTTTCATTCAAACGTTGCATTATTGCTTGCTTGCGAATGTTCCCGCGTGTTTTCGACTGGACCATTGTGTTCTCAAAATGTGTAGGGATAGGCTGTTGCCATGGTTGGCTATCACCCTTCATTTCGCATTCAGTCGTTCGATGAGCCAGGACATGTTGAATAGATACAAAATATGCTACAGTACCAGTTTTACTTTCCGCAGTGTCTGGATTTTCAGAAATGTATGCGGCGTAGTACATCATTCTGTATATGCACACCAGTATGACTCTGAGTACGCCTTTAGTTTCCTGATGCCAACTAGACCGGGCTTGGGAGTAAATTTAGGTAAAAGAGGGGGATGAAAACTCTAGACGTATCTTGTTTTCTGCTCATGGACTATTCATGTGTGTGTGTGTGTGTGTGTGTGTGTGCGTGTGTGTGCGTGTGTGTGTGTGCGTGTGTGTGTGTGTATTTGAGTGTGTGTGTGTGTGCGTGTGTGTGTGCGTGTGTGTGCGTGCTTAAGTGTGTGTGTGTGTGTGTGAGTGTGTGTGTGTTTGTGTGTATGTACATGTGTGTGTTTGCGTGCGTGTTTATGTTTGTGTGTGTGTGTATGTGCGAGTGATTGTGCGTGTGCGCCCCTCACAGACGCTGGAATGGCTATGTACCCTCGTTTCTTCGTCCCATTCACGGAGTGTACCCAAACTACCTGCCACTGCATCTTGCACCTACTGCACAGATGTGTGAAACGCTAATGGAAGATGGAAGGAGAGCAATATCCGCCCCAGCCGCCATTTTCTTTCTGAGAAAGGCAAGTCGTTGTTCTTTGGTTCCTTCGTAGAACATGCAACGATAACACAATCTGAGCACTGTTTAGTAAGTCGGTACAAACTCAGAGGGAGCGAATGGAGCATTCGTCCGCCAACCTTTCACAACTGAGACTTTCGGTCCGTGCTTGTCTTGGTTGCGCTCACCTTCCCTGCCTATGTTATCATAAATTCGAACTGTCCAAGTTGGAAGGTTGTTGGTATTCGCATCCAAGATGTGCTAGAGCTGATAGCCAGTTAGTTGTAGAACGTCAGTACCGTCGGTCAGTGTCGTGCAATGTTATCGCATGAGCTGATTGCTTAGAAGCTGCTGGTGGTGTTAGTGAACATTAAAGCGTAACTTGTAGTTCCTTGGTCCTTTTTCTTTCTATAAATTTATCCCTGGCTCTCCATCCTAGTGCAGAATACCAGCGCCGTGCCATGTCGTATTATTAAATCGCACTGATCATTCCTTGAACAGCACCTTGTAAGAAGACCTTAGGGTCTGCCGGGAATGCCCAAGTATAATAATAAAATGCAAGACTAAAAAAACAGGTGGCACTTGTCTGCTTTAGTAGTTTGTTTGACACCAGTGCTTGCAACACACTGTTATTAATTTTCAATGGGCCATTGCTATTGGATCATGTTAGGCTACAGTATTTTACGCTGATGTATGTCGCCATCATCTTATCTCGCCTTATATATACTTTATGCAATGCCAGAATAGGAACCTGCCGCAGTCCACAAGGTTTTAAAAATCAAGCTAATGTTCTATGCCATATTTGTTCCAATTTGTCTTCCCTTGGCTGACTCTGCTGCTGGCTGACCTCAAATTTTGAGCGCCTGAAATTAGAGTGTCCCGAAGCGATCAAGTCGAGTGGGAAGACGATTAATATCGCCGAGCGAGCCCTGATGGAGTAATGAGGGATTAGGTTGCCAGCGAAGATGTGCCAGCGCACTTACCAGCGCACATACATGCATTATTACATCTCAAGACTCATGTGTATTATTATCGTTGTTGTGCACTTACGCGTCAATGTCAGCGGTGGTAACCCGCCCACATATTCGCACGTGCTGGATGGACTTAGGAAATGAACACTGAGCATTCGGTTCGGCTTGGAAATAAAATCATTGAAAGAAAAAAATTAAAATAACAACAATAAAGCAACGGCAACAGAAATGCCTGTACTGGCAAACATGTATTTACGCACATGTGCGTGTTTTGCTAGGCGTTCGAACGACTACATCCCCTCGTTTCTTCGGCCCAAACATGGAGTTTACCCATACTACTCACCGCTGCAAATGGCGCCAACGACGCAGATGTGCGAAACCCTGAAAGAAGATGGCAGCAAGGCAATTTCAGCACTAGCTGCCGTAAGCTTTCTGAGAACAGCACATCTAGCACGGCAACCAATGGATCAGAATTCAGAATCACGTCATATTAAAAAAAAAAATTACTGCAACCACTATTTCAAACTATTTGCCGCAAGGAAAAATGCGAATAGCTATCAACAAAATTTAACTCTCGCTCATGTCAAAAAACAAAGTAGCAAAGGTTTTGTTCCAAAACGTTTATTTTCTCCACGCCAACAATTAACCAAAATACTAATCATATTCTCTCCACTACCATAATTATGATGGTGGAGAAGAGTATAAAAGTAGCAAAGCTTTTGTTCCAAAACGTTTATTTTCTGCACGCCGACAATTAACCAAAATACTAATCTTATTCTCTCCACTACCATAATAAATATTATGATGATGGAGAAGAGTATAAATCAATCTACACTGACTACAGGCAACTTTGCATATAACGACACTCGGCGGGGCATCAGAAAAGTGTCCTTATTCGCGAAGTCCCATTTGAATGTATACAGGTTAGATGGGACTTACTAACAAGAGTGTAGCGTGCCCCCACCATATTTGAATAATTCGTTCCATTCTTATTGGATAGACTTATTCTTCACTGCAGACTGTACCGGCATGTGAGGCATCAGTGTTCCTATTGTTTCCTGTCTGGTTCTGGATACAGAATCAGGGCTAGTCCACTGGATATGATGCCCTTCAGCTGCAGCAAACCACTGCCTGTCTTCATCAGTAACAGGCCGTATAGCATAAGGTACACTGGAGTATAGTATAAGTCGTACACCCCCCCCCCACCCCCCCCCCCCCCCCCCCCAGTTTTGCCACGAAATACAGACATCTATCCTAGGGCACGTTCGATTGTGCGATTCCATGGGCCCCGGACCCGGATTCGCCACATTCGTACATGTTCGATTGTACGAATCCGGATTGCGGTCCCACGGATTCGTATCCAGTCAACCCACCTCACAGATCCGGATTCGACGGGTGCATTTGCATTGTACAGTGTATCTACTAAAAACTCCAAGTATGCGTACAGGTCAAGAGTTAACCATAATGCGTACAGATACTATGGAATAGTACGGGATGAGCTGTAGCAACGTGGTTGCTAAGGTCTTGAAACGGATTATAAGTGTTTCAAAAGAAGGATCCACGAGCGGGAGTCCTTGCTACATAAGTTGTGCCAAGAGTACATTTTTTATGTACTCTTGGTTGTGCGCATTCGATTGTATCCGTCCGATCTGGTCGGCGGGGTTTGGTATAAAGCTTCCGAAATTGAATACAGCCCTATTTATCACTGCTAATTTGATCACCGGATCGCGGAGTGTAAGCCGCACCCCGTCTTTGGGCGAAATTAAAAAAAATATTTGAGTGCACTCCAAAAAAGACTGTACTTTTTTTTAGTGTTTATTTGAATTCGGATAGATCAACAGTACAGAAGTACAACTACAAAAAGTACCGAATAGAAGGCCCCGAGAACGGGAAACCAAAAAAAAAAAACAAGACAAAAACAGCAACATCAATTAATAATATTTACTGATTATGCACATTGCTTGAAAGCAAATCACAACAATGATTAAGAGTTAAGCTGTCTTTTTGCCAATTTGACGCGGAAATCTGCAATAGTAGTGCAGGACTTCAGGTCGTCTGGTAAATAATTCCAAAAAAACCGATTTACTTGAAAAGGACAGAAAGCAAGACATAGATCTACAGGTCAGACCTCGCTATAACGTAATCTCTGGGGGATGGGAGAAATTATGTTATAGCGAGGTTTATGTTATAGTGAGTTGGGCACACCAATATGCAATATGTATGTCAAAATGACACTCTTCACTTACTGAATACAACTGTACTGTTTTACATAAAAGTATGATGATGACTAGCAAAGATGTGCGCATGTGTACAGGCTTGTCAGCAAAGGGGCGACAAGAGCCATTTTAATTGTAGTGCGTGTACTTGTACATGTGAGTCGTGATGTGACAAGATTAGAGCCTATAAAAAGTAATGGGAGTAGTAGTAAAATACCGGTATTTTACTACTCCCTGCTTCCGAGGTGGACGCCTCAGTCTCGAATTCGTTGCGAGAAGGCATGCATGCCGTGTACATAGTCATTTTTATACGAGTTTTTACGTTATGCTGAGGTCTCCGTGCGCCCGGGACCCAGCAAACAGTGCGTTATAGCGAACATTACGCTATAGCGGATTATGTTATAGCGAGGAAATTTTGTACAGAAGTGATGCGGTTTCGGCAGGGACATTCACATTTGTACGTTATAGTGAGGTTTATGTTATAGCGGGGGTCGTTATAGCGAGGTCTGACCTGTATAGCGATTGATACTCATGTTATGAGTTGTTGAGCGGCGAGTAGTTCGGGTAGACGTACAGATGGGAAAGAGGGACTGCAAGCAAACAGCCGGCTTAATACTCACTTTTGGATTGGATTTTATTTATAGTGGTGAGTCGCACTGGTGACTATAACAGACAATTGCCTAATAACAATAGACCCACTCGAGGGAAAGATGCAAAAATATATGAATTATTAATACTCAATCTGCGGACAGCATGCTGTTTCGTTCTTTTTGAACTCATCAGCGCAGCACAGAGAAATGAGGCCGAACCTGATAGCAATGGAAATAAAAATTTCCAATCAGGCCCGAACGTACCTTGCCAGAGTGCTCAAACTGACAAGTCAGTGAGCTCTGCATAACGCAAACAGCAAAGGCACTACCCCACGCAAGAGTGCTCAACTGCTACAAGAGCAGGAGCGAAATACTCAATCTGCGGACAGCATGCTGTTTCGTTCTTTTTGAACTCATCAGCGCAGCACAGAGAAATGAGGCCGAACCTGATAGCAATGGAAATAAAAATTTCCAATCAGGCCCGAACGTACCTTGCCAGAGTGCTCAAACTGACAAGTCAGTGAGCTCTGCATAACGCAAACAGCAAAGGCACTACCCCACGCAAGAGTGCTCAACTGCTACAAGAGCAGGAGCGAAATACTCAATCTGCGGACAGCATGCTGTTTCGTTCTTTTTGAACTCATCAGCGCAGCACAGAGAAATGAGGCCGAACCTGAATTATTAATACAATAGACTATTGAGTAGGTGATCATGTTCGCGATAGAACGAATGGTGGAGGCAACAGACGATGGGCGCCCAACTTTTGCATACATTTTGCATAGATGAAAGTCATAAGTACTAGCGTGAAAAAGCAAGGCATTGGGGTAACAGTTTCTTAAAACGGGCGAAGTTATCCACACAGCGAGCTAGAGGGTGTAAATCATTCCACAGCTTAGCACATTGGAAGGAAGCGCCATGACAAAGGCAGCTCTGAGCATGGGCAACTTAAGAGTGCGTGATACAAGGCTACGCGTTGAAAGACCATTATTTTAAGTATAGCGCTCGAACATTTGACTTAATGTGACACTACAGCGGCCTTCCAAACAGCGCCACGTCTAATACAGTAATTTTTTTGCAATACATGCCAAACGATCTAGACCAAGTCTCACAAATAAAGGGCTTGATGGGCTACAAAAACCAGTATCGTACACTGAACGCAAAGCTCGCTTTAGCATTCGTTCAAGCCTACCTAACTGGGTTAAATTAAGGAAAGGCCAGCAGAAAAACAATTTTATGCATAATTATAGAAACTCTGGCAACGCTAGGCACTTTACAAAGGTTTCTCGGCAAGTCAGCGGAATATTGTGTCGATTTCGGAACAGAATACCAATTTTACTGGCAAGTTTGGTGACCATAGAATCAACTTGAGTCCTCCAAGAAAGATCCTGGTCCAAATGTATTCCAAGGTACTTTGCACATTTCACTTGCTTGAACTGCACTCCATGACAGTAGACTGCAAATTGGTGGTCAGTAATATGTGGCGTAGACAGGAAGAGCACTTGTGTCTTCCGGCCATTGATAATTAAATTGCGGTTTGACAGCCAGGTACTAATGGCTGAGACAGCTGCAGACAGGGAGTTGCTAAGAGCATTCTTCTACGTACCGCAAACATACAATAGAATATCGTCAGCAAATTAAAATTTAACTTTCACACAAAACTCGGAGACAATGGACTGGATCGAACGAACATAGAGTATAAAAAGCAGCGGACCAAGAACAGAGCCCTGGGGAACGCCACACATGCAGGGGAAAGGACGGCTATAGTTCTCAGCAATGTGCACTATTTGGCGACGATTGGACAAATAGTCGGCACACCAAACTAATGCTGAACCAGATATGCCAAGCTCAAACAAATCATTATTGAGCACTTGGTGCCTGACCTTGTCAAATGCTTTGGACATATCCACGAGCACAGCACCAGTAATTTGTCCGGCATCGCGAGCGCGAACAAACGTGTCCGTGACGAAAACTAGAGCGTCTTCCGTTGAATGTTGACGTCTAAAGCCAAACTGACAGGGAGGGTACAAATTCTCCTTGTCCAGAAATAAGGATAGTAGTCTATGGACAATTCGTTCTAACAGCTTCGACACAATTGGCAGGAGAGACACAGGGCGA